TTTTTGTTTTAGTTCAAGTTCTCTTATTGACACTGTAAGCCAATACAAAACATGCACCATATTACCACTAAAGGTATTGATCTTCACTTTGCTTTGGCCGATTAGTCTTCTTGCATGTGTCCTTGTCGCTAGGGCTTTACCGCACAGAGCGAGATAAGGGCACGCTGTATGAGCTGTTCTATCGGAAGGAAGACGCTGATGATTTCCGACACGTTACCTTGTTTCGTCCTTTCGGCCCTCTGATGAAAGTGAGAAGTACTTCCATAGAAGCTGCCAGCAGCATTATTAATATCATTGTACCACTGTCTGGGAGAGCAGAAGCCTTCTCTCAGTTTCTACACAACTTTAGGTAAGTGGTAGCTCTGCTTTATGTTTTTGGAGTCTCTACAAAGCCCTGATTGATGTTGGCAAATGTTTGGGTTAATGTTATCTGGCTCATTAATGCATTTAGAATTTCTGAGTCAAGCTATCGACATTTGTGTATAGGTTTGCTCTCTACATGCTGAAAAACCTTTCTTACAATAATAAGCCTGTTACACATAGATAAGAATCAGAGGTTGCTTTTCATTTAACAGCACTACCGTGTCTTGCAAAGTGAGGAAAAAATGCAGGAAATGATCAGTGTTGTTGGTTATAATTACAGAGAGGTGTGTATGCAGCATGACAGACAGGTCCATCTCACCGTGGTGTATTTTGGGCAGGAAGGCCTGCTGGAAGTGAAAACTGTCTTGGAAAAAGTAGCCAGGTTGGTAACTAAAACTGGGGGAAAAGACAATTCTTGAAGTTCAAAATGACGTATGACATTTCTGACTTAAAATGTTAATCAGGCCCTATAATTTTGAAATTGGTATAGGATTCTGTTTCAGAAAAGGGTTTAGTACTGTATTAGAGGATGAGATAACTACAGTGTATCTGAATTGCCATAGGCTAAAGAAAATGTATTTGTACTGCTAAATCATTTGCTTTGGGTAAGAGACCCAGTTTAACATGTTTTATGATGTTTACAGATAACTAATCCTCTACAAAAAAGATTTGATCATTTCAAGCATTACAGTACATATGATTTTAAAAATACTTATATTCCACCCATATACTATGTGTGTATTAGGAGAGGCAAGTTCAGCATTAATAACATTAAAGACAGTGTAAGAATCAGTTTATGGCATTGGGACTATTTTTTTTTTTAGTTAAATAGAAACCCTGAATTTTTATTATTTCAGTACACAACCTTAAGGCTTTGTGCTTTTGCAATTTAATATTTTAGACTTTTTTTAATTCTCCTTAAATCTCCAGGGAAGAAAATTTCTCCAACTATACTCTAATCCCTGTGAATGAGGAGTTCTCACGGGGAAGAGGGCTGGATATAGGAGCCCATGCTTGGAAGAAGGGCGACGTTCTCATGTTCTTCTGTGATGTTGATATTTATTTTACATTGGAGTTTCTTAACACCTGCCGCCTTAACACATATCCAAGTAGGTTGTCTACATGTATGAATCCTGCCTGCTCTGTTTTAGGAAGGCGATACAGTTTAGAAATGTCAAGCTTTATTCTTTCTGGGGTTAAATGTCAGTAAGACAGTCAGTAACTTGTAATTATTAAATGGGATGTAATGAGCATGTATCCTTCTGTCATTTTTTTGATGATTGTTTTAATATAAGACATTTTTCTTGGAGCCTAGATTATAGCAAAAACTATTATAGTGTATTCTGAACTGTTTTGTTTTCTGGTATTCAATGTTTTTAGCCTAATGGATGCAAAGGTCAAGAAATCTAATTATGGGGAATGTGGTTTAGGATTTTAAGAAAACGGACCTCAGCCAGTATTATTGCCCCCTGCCTTGTCTCATTGCAGTGAGTCACAGGTGTGTCAGAGCATATAAGTTCCTGTTAGTTCTTCCTTCTAAATACATAGGGAAGCAATGAAAATACTTTCTGTCCTTGACATGAGATGTTAAACTTTCCCAACCGATTCGTACAGTCAATAAGAGTTCTCCTTTTCAAACTGCTGTTTTTGCAAATGAGCTAATTCCTGGTTTAGGCCTGGTGCTTTCACATCTAAACTAGAGCAGTCTTTTATAAAATTTGTAAAAACTGTTTAACAAGCCTAGTTAGTAATTGTCCTGAAGACCTTACTGTTGGTACATCCTAAACTACTTTAAATTCTGACAATGCTTTAAGCACAATTTAAAACTTGTGCCATCCAACATGTTATTTGTATAGAACCGTTAAAAAACAGAATTGTTTGATAAATTTAATTGATGTTCTTAATTTTAAGGCAACATTAATTATTTGCTTAAAATTGATTTGGAAGTCTTTGCATTGACTTATGTGTTGTCTATTTCAGACAAAAGAGTCTTTTATCCAGTTGTGTTCAGTTTGTACAATCCTGCCATTGTATATGGAAATCTTGAGCTGTCTCCTCCAGTTGAACAGCAACTTGTGAGTAGCTTCATGACTGATGATTTTTTTAATTTAAACATAACACAAGATCAAAATGAAATATAATTTGTATATTTTTAACTCCTGGCATTGTCAAAATGCTTTGCAATAACACTGGGGAAAAAGGTAGAGTACTAATTTGCTTTCCCTGAAAATATCTGGGTAATAGACTGTGAGATGTGTTTTAAGAAAGTGTTTGTGCTTGAAAAGTAACACTACATACAAGTATTTTCAATTCTATATATGTTATTGCACCAAAACAAGGAAGCTGTAAAGAAAGCAAATTAAGCACATAAGATCTGTTACCGAAGATCCCTCTCATAGAGACTATCGTACACCCCTGTTCTTGTGGCTGCTTTTCTAACACAGTAAATTAGACCAACCTCGAGGCAAAGAGTCAGAAAACCATATTTATTGTGGCAATATGACTCTCTAAATAATTTGAGGTTTTTGCAACTGGTTGCTGCTGTGTGCATTGATGTTGGTAAATGGCTGTTATTATGGGCAGCACAATGAGAATTACTGTTTACCAGATTTATTCTGTATTTTTTTTAGGTTCATAAAAAAGATGCTGGCTTCTGGAGGGATTTTGGTTTTGGAATGACTTGTCAGTATCGTTCTGACTTTCTCAACATTGGTAAGTTAAGCCTTGACTAAATTTTGAGTCATAATTATCGATCGTTTAAGTGGGGAGTTGCAGCGTTCATTCTATAATGACGGGGAACTTGAATAGAAGTTTTCTAAGGCTGAACTGGGAACTGTTTTTGGTGGTAACTAAATCACCTTATTATTTGTCCAACACAGTGTATCATTAGTGTACACAGGGCTTTTTGTGTAAATACATCTGCAGAGCCACAGGCATAAGCACAAGAGCGTATGTACAGTATTAAGTCCATTTGCAAAACCTACAAATGGAATTCATTTAAATAAAGCATACGTTTTCAAACTTTTATATACAAAAGTAATTAAAAAATCTTGTCTACAACAAAAATGAAAATGTTGAAAATCATATTCATACCAGTTACAAGATGGGGCATTCAGATTAAAATCACAAAGGGCTAAAGAAAGGGATTTTGAGCAGACCCTGTCCCTTTATCCAGATGCATGGGCATGTAGATTCACATTTGAATCAAAACAGTTAGTAAATGGCTCTGTGTTCAGGATTTGTGTTGATTGCATTGAATGGACCTCAGCATCTTTCATAGAAATACCCAGATCAGTGACGGAAGATCTGGTTAGAGCTGGCAGGTGATTGTTAGGTCTCCACAGGACTCCTATGGCTGCCCGGCTCCAGCCACATGTAAGACAGAATAGTGTCAGTGCAATCCATAGCCGTCTTCCACTTGGATTGGATTCTGTTTTGGTTCACATTGTGAAAAGAAGCCAACAGTCTTTCATCTCAAAGTATCTCTCATTTGTTTTCTCATTTTGTTTTTTTCTTTAGTTATTCCAAATTTGCATGAAATGGAGCATCACAGATTACTGCAGTCATAAACCTTTTTTTGCACATCTCTTAAAATACTGTGGATTTACAAATTCCTTATATAACTGCTAAGTCAGCTCTAACTGCAATATGCTTTTTTCATTATTATTTGAAGGCACATTAGAATGTGGTTCATAAAAATGATGTGGTTTTCTTAAGGAAATCCAAAACTGAAATTGAAAGGGAGTGAAATATTAATTGCTTTTTCTCAGAACTATTGAGAAGGATATTTGATAAAATATACAAGTCCCCCTTTGATATATGGAAAATTATTTTTTTTTACCCTTTAAGAAAACTGTTTAGCCAATTAACCTAAGGCTATATGGGTTTAATTCTAGTTCCAAAGTAATGGATATGTATAAAAATATGGTTCCTTTGTCATCTGGGCTGGCTACCAGACTGCCATTTGTTTCTCTTTGTTGTGAACAAGCAGCCTATAACACCAAATCCTGCTGTTTATTAAAAAGTTTGTCTAGTTAACTGCAAACTATTAAGCATCATTATAGTAAGCATACTGATTTATGATTTACACTCTTTCCTGAATATACAAATATCAATGCATGACTGCCTTTTTGTCCTCAGTCCATATGTCTGATCGCATCCATCTGGGGAACCACTGTACCAATTAATTCAAAACTGGACAGATTTTTTGAGTAATCAAAGCTGCTTCTGCTTTACACCTCAGAAGTTACTATGATAATTTTCCTGCCCACGTTGAGCAATCAACTAGGTGAAATGCAGCCTATTACAAAAACTGCTTATATTCAAGGACTATTAGGCCATTTAACACTAACCTTGCTAGGTATCATTATATTAACAATGCAGTTAACATATGGGGATCATGTATAAACCACAGGACTGAACAAAATTTCGTTCACAAAACCCGAATTACCATTGTCTGTCAGCAGACAGTGATGTCCATATTGAATTGGAGATGTCCAGATTGCAGGAGTGCTTTATACGCCTACAACAGGTAGTCACCTACACAACAAGATAAGCAGCTTCGCTAACTGCTCTTATTCAAAACCTGTTTAGCCAAGGAATTCCAGATTTGATAAGTATCTTTTTAGTTTGGTCTTAGTTCAATCGAGGTTCACGTAAACTGTGAAAACTACTAGGTAGTGGCTTGCCGGGAGGCCTTCAAAACAGTTTCATTTGACTGTGATGTAAAAACAACAAAGCTAAACAAATTATTGTACAAAACTAAAACTGTTCTGGTAATTGACTGAGTTTGGTTATTTAAAGCATTGCAACTTCATAAATTGTAACAAGATTAACTCCCACTGACTTTCTCACTGCAGTCTTTCTTACTTTTGTATGGGAACTGAATAAATTAGTGAAGAAAAAACTGATCAGTTAGTATGCAAGTTAATTAAAGACTAATGTTTATAGATCCTATTTCATTTCATTGGTCGGATTGTTTTTTTTCTATTAGGAGGCTTTGACCTGGAAGTGAAAGGCTGGGGTGTCGAGGATGTTCATTTATATAGGAAGTACCTGCGCAGTGACCTCATCGTGGTGCGCACTCCAGTGTCTGGGCTGTTCCACTTATGGCATGAGAAGCAGTGTGCTGATGAGCTGACACCAGAGCAGTACCGCATGTGCATTCAGTCCAAGGCCATGAATGAAGCCTCTCACTCTCACCTGGGAATGCTGGTGTTCCGGGAAGAGATTGAATCCCATCTCCGTAAGCAAGCCTTTCAAACCCACAGCAAACCAGCTGATTGAAGGACCACGGACACAGTCAAGAGTCCCAGCTGTCACACATGTACCGTGAAGATTTGGAAGACGAATATGTTCTACAGTCCCTTCTTGACTCAGCTTTTCGTGAAGCCTTCCCATGAAATATAGAAAATTTATCAGGCCAGACCAAATCCTGGTCACATTTGGCTGCTTGTTCTCTACTGAAAGAAATACTGGATCGGGCACCAAACTCAAAAACAGAAACTGACTTACATTTCCAGTCACTTTGGGATTTTAAGGGCATTGGCTACAGACAGTAGTGGAAAAAAAGCATTAGTAAAAAACAGTTTTGTAAAACAGCAGTGCTAGCATTTTAAGTCTCTTTCCAATGATCTAAAGTGATGTGGCCAGTTGATCCTCGAAATTAAGTAAGGCCTGCTTCGTATTTGAGACACTGCTGTGTAAAATCAGGTACTGTAAGAAAGGTTCCTGGAGGACCAGTAGGCAACAGTGTAGCATGGATGAAGGAAGTATTATACGTCATGCTTTTGTAAGAACAGTAATTATATTCTGAATTCCAGCAGTGTATTTGGTTTTAGGCTAACACATTGTGCTGTGACCACAGTTTAAAATAGCTGGAAGAACGTATAAATTAAGATTCACACAGCCCTCTACTGCACTTCTCAGTGATCTTAGATTATGCAGATTTGTGGCAATGAGGGACAGAATGGCTTCAGTGATCCACTCCTCTGAAAGATCCTTAAGTGCTTGATTAGTTGTGTGACGTAATCGGTGTCAGAGACCCGTCACAGGGTCGTTACTTGTAAGTGTTGCAGTACAAAATGAACTATCGGTAACTGCTCCACAGCTGAAACAGTAGTTCACAATGAATCCACTATTGGGCACTCATCAATTTCTGGAGAATTCCAGTCAAGGGGCTTCAACAGATCTAGTTTTCTAACAGTTTGATTTTGATCAGTTAAACAGGAGTTTTGTTAAAGTAAATAACTTAGGGATAATTTTGAACAAATCTCTCAGCCCCATGACTGCAGCATTTCCATTGTGAAGCCTGATCTCGTCAGATGTCAAGCTAAGTGAGGCAGGGCCTAGTCTGTACTGTAAATACTGTAAAGGGAAGACCAGTAGGTGGCACTGTGGACCAGAATTTCAAAATTAATGCTCCAGTATGGTGACAGTGAACTCTATTGTCAACAATGCTGAGGCTGTGCACTTGCCTCGATTGATCTTAAACTCACATTTAATTCAACTGGTGAACATGTTTTTTACATCTCCACCTGGTGTGCTGTGTTAGTGGGGCTACAAATGCATAATGTCTTCTGCGTTTCACCCAGTAAGTGCTGCACTTCAATGTGGAGGATTTTGAAGGATTTTGGGATCCTTAGGGGTTAAAATCTAGGAAGTATTATTGCCTTTCAGCCACCAAGGACAAAATGTGACTGATCTTCTGAATTGTACAATACAAAGCAGGGCTCTCCAGGGCCAGGTTTGTAGAACCCTGGCTTAAACCAATACTGATCCTCAGATTTGAGTTTTCCACCCAGTTAAAATAGTGTAATTTGCATTTAAAATGTTTTTTTTTACATTTTATAAAACTATTTATAAAATATAAATAGTTTTTAACTATTCCAGATAAACAGGGATGTTTGGACCAAGTCAGATATTAAAAATAATGAATTGTTGTCTTTCATTTTTTATTACAACTGTGTATGTTAATACTGTAGATACCTGCTAATGATATTGAAATTAGCAGAATTACCATTGCTATTATTGTTTTCGCAACATACCTGAAGAAAAATTTGTTCCATTTCATCTGTGAGCTAGCTGAAATTGTGGCTTTGCTTTTACAACATTTTTTTGCTTATAAGTGCATTCCTTTTTTGAATACACTCACAAAAACAAGCATTTACTGTTAGTATCTTGTCAAGGTTATAATATGGAAAATGAACAGAATGAAAATACTTTAAAAATTGTGGGCTGAACTGAAGGCTATTTAGCACTGTGTTGAATAATCAACATAAATTTCAGTGATCTTGATTGAGTTGATAAAGATTAAATCATTTACTGCAACTACATTTGAGAGCAGTTCCTATAAACAATCAGGGGTATAATTCATTGTATCTTCCCTTGTTTCTTAATCTTTTCTCCAGTATCTCAACAAATCTGAGGAAATCATGAAGTAAATGATTGTGAATGGTAACTCCAAACTGGGTTCTTTAAAATTGGACAGTGTCTCATTCACATTGCTTGTTGCTTTTTAACTTTTAGCAGTTTCTTTTTACTATTTCTTATTTTTACAAGAAAATTGTTTATAACATCTTTTAATACTGTGGCCAAGAGATTTATTCAAAATTACTAGAAAGTTGTTAAGGTATGTACAGTATTTCAGTGTTACTTGATGGCACACTTTCTACTGTACAGTATATAAAAATGAAAATAGGTTACCTTGGTTTGTAGGTGCTAAGTTTAAATATAGGGATGATGGAATATTATGCACACCATGTTTAAAAATACTACTACCACACTTTATCCTCAATAAAATACCTGGTATTTCCCTTTGCTTGGATTTACAGATAATGTTTTTCAACTAATGCTGCAGTTTGTGTTATAAGCTGAGCTGAAAATACCAGCAAATTTCTTACCTTTTCTGTACCCCAGTTTGAAATTACCATTTTCTTTTCAATGTGAGATGCCACTGTACTGTACTTCCACTTCAGTAATTCATATAGAGGCATGTTTTTATAAAACAAACAGAACAGAACTTTTTTCTTTGTGGTGTAGCATTTTGTTTTCCATTTACAAACATTTTGTAATTTATCTTTCTTTTTTCTGAAAAAAGATTTTATGATATACATGGTCCAGTTTAAGTGTCATACATACATCTTTAGATTTTGCTCAAGACTGAAAAGCTTGTTCAGTGGGTGTAGTTGGAAATTATTTTACCGTTTGCAGACGAAAATAATTTTGCATTTGTTTTTCAAACAAAAACCCACACAGTCATCTTTTTAAAAGAGGATGCAAATCTTACAGCCCTCGTAACCAATTTTTATTTTGTGGAACCGTTTAATTAAATTAGTTAATTAAACATGTTATATGCCGACTTTTGTTAGGTCAGTTTCCTAAAGATGGGGAACTTACCCCAAAAGGGAAGGTTTTAAGATGTATGTGAAACACCACAAGAAAACAGAAAGTGTGCGTACATGCAGTATGTACTGTGTGGTTCAGTCTGTCCTCTTTAAGGACTGCATGTTGCAAAGAATGCTTTGCTTATTTTTTCCATTTCAGAATTCTTAAAAGCACTACCTTAGGATAAACAAAAGGGAATACAAATCAGTAGTGGCTTGTTTTTTAATTAGTATTGTGATTTGTTTTGCTTTGCTGCAAGGAAGTAAAGATAAAAATCAATGTGAATTTTTTCAGTAATTTTATTTTAGATTAGACAGCTGACTGTATTCTCTCTGAAGTGGATTCATTTTTTCCCCACTTACAGTAGGTGTTGCCACATCCAATATGATAATCTCAGGGTGGTCCTCTTATATTCTTGCCTATTCAGGAAAAAAAGGGATTTCCCAGTCTCCTCTTGTTGCCTAAAAGGGAATTGAAGCCAAACTGTGCCATTTGCTTCTTCTTAAAAAAGTGCCACTTTTCCAGAAAAGAAATGTCAATACAGGACACACTAGAGAAAACATTAAGACTTCCTTCTGTTGTTAGAACTAAGTAGCTTTGGAAACTTGTTTAAAGAAAGGTATTCCCACAGAACACAAGGAGCTACTGTATATTCTGTGGTGAATGTTTACCTTAAAGGAATCTTAAAATAAATATGCACCTACTATTTTTTCCTGTCACAAAGTGGAAGCTCTGCTAAAGATGCATTCTTTTTTTTATGTTGCGATCATTCAGTAATCATGATCTTTAAAAGGTCTTTGTGCTATAATTACATTTTATAACATTACTATTGCAGCATGTCAATGGAATAGTCTTTCAGAGTTTACAATATACAAATAGTGTACAGTATATCAGCAGAAATGCAATAAAGGTTAGAGTAGTGCAAACACCGTTAATATCGTACTTACTGAACTCCTGAGATATCTTGAAAGCAAATGGCTGAATTTAATTTTTTATGTAGTTTTTTTAGTAGTTATGTTTTGAATAAAAGTGTAACATTGCTCCAAAAATGTTGTTTTGACTTTTATTGCTTTCACTGAAGATATTGAAGAATTGTCCTTATTTTTTTCTTGAGTGTATCACTGATTTCATTTTGAGGTGTTTTTCATTATTTTTGGGGCATCAAGGTTACTCCTTTTTTTTTGCATTTTCAAAGTTGTAAATGTACGTTTGAAACTGCAGAGAAAATGAGTAACCTTGATGCCCTACTGGAAGATGCAAGTCTAAAACAATTAAATGAAGAAAAAATGTTAAGTCAATCCTCGAGGATTACAGTACTTTATGACTTTCATTCTCAGTTGTATAAAGTTTAAATTAATCTTACAGCAATGCCCAGAATCCTGTATAGATATAGTAGCTTTAAATCACAATGAACTATTGGATATAATTGTATTTCCCTGCTACTGTCCTGGGAAACCACTGTGTCATTGTTTTTAATTTCAGCTAAGCTCTGATGTGGTGTAAAAAAGAGTTGTAAAAAGAGTAAACTTGCTTCTGTGCTCATTCCCGAGATTCAAAACTACCCAACTTCAGCTGTCCCTGCTCTTGAGTTATAATGAATGCTGTGTGATCAACAGGTAAAAGTGTGCAATGGCTGTTTTTCTATAATTGGTTTAGAAGACAGATGTCTCTAGGCTTTCTTTTCATGTACTCATGTAATCAGTTTCCAGTGTAAGTATGTTAATAAAATCACCAAGGTACAATGTTTATAATACCATAGAAATTTAAGGATCACCATGACTTCAGTGCTTGCTTACAAAAAGGTTTACATATCTTTGGTTCTACTGTTTGACATTTGTTGTGTAGTTTTTAATTTTATAACCTGGAGGTAGATTTGGAATTTTGTGAATATATTCATGATCCAAAGCCATTGGTCTTTGAAAATGTTCTAACTGTGACCCCTACTGGTGGTTTCAAGCTATATGGCCTCTTCGTGTATTTTTGGTTTGTTATGGAATACTGAAACTGGAGATTACATGATGGAAAAATGTCCTACTATCTTAGCATATACCTGTTAAAAGTTTAACTTTATGCAGTACTGTAAAGGTGTCCAGTTCATGAAACTGTTAGTTAATTTAGTGATGAGGAGGGGTTTGCACTGATCTTAAAACACATCTGTAATCACATAGCTGAAGAAAGAGAGCATAGAAATGTCTTTCTTCGTTCTAATGAGCACCCAAGAATTCTAAGTTATGTAAGGAGTTTTCAAGGCTAACACTAGAGGTCAGTGTTTACTACGCTTAAACTGACAAAGTTGTGGGATTGCTCTATGTTGAGTTTTCATGAGGTGAAGTGGCAGGAAAATGCTCAAACCAGTGGACTGATCACCCACAATATACATGGGTCTAACTGGAGAGCTGAAAGATGACAAGACCATGGAAAATAAAATTGTTAAAAAAAATTACAAATTACACAATGAACTAAACCAAAGCTCATGCCCGAAGAAGGCTCCACAGCCAAAACGTTGCGTTTTCTTTCTTCTCTTTTCAGCATGGAATAAACTTATTGCTTGTTTCTAGACCAAAGAATGTTTTTTTAGACAGAATGGTTAATGTGCTGCAATAAAGGCTGCAAGACCACTTAAAACTAATTTAGGAAAAATACATATAATGTAGGTCACTTAATGGCACTAATCTTTTCAGTGTGATGTAATTTTCAAGTGTCTTAATCCTCATCCTCACAAAGGAGAGTTAGGTTGTTAGACCCACCAGCTATATCAGTGTTAAATGATGAATATTAATAATTCTGTACAAATTGTTTGAATTTGAAAAAGACCTTGTGGTGCAATTCTAAGATGGAAAACATGGGAAGGATATTAGACTTGAGACGACAACATATAAATTCCGATTAAAACAAGCCATGTCTGGGTGGCATTGTGGTCCAGTGGCTCTCATTCCAGTCCTGGATTTGAAACTGTCTAGGTCTTTGTGGATTTGCAAGTTCTTCAACTACTCTTTGCTGTGCAGATATGCTTTATTAGTTTAGTGAGTTCTGTTTTGTGGTTACCGGGATAGGCTCTCCATAATACTGTGGTTCCTGAAAATGAATGGCAGAGAGGTGTACCTGAAAAGGACCCTGCCCTTCTGTGCAGATTAGGTTATATTGACCTTGTAATTTTGGACAGAGATTTGATTTGTGACCACTTTAAACTTTTTACTGTAACTTTGTCTGTTTTGTATTCAAATTCCCCTTAGCTGACAATGCAATAATGACAATATTGGCTCTTTCATAATGATGTATTACCTGAATGCATGAAATGCATGTTTGTGTCTGGAGGGATACTGAATCTGCGTTTTTGACTTCCTTGTGTATCCCTGAGCAGGGATACTTTGCACAAAAACACTTGAGATTCCACTTAGAAGAAGAACATGAACAGCCAGCAAAATTTTGAGCATTACAAAACAGCCCAAAGCAAAGGATTGGTGATCATCAAAGCACACCCAAAGAGTGAAGAAGAAAAATGAGTTTTCAAGTCATTTCACTTTGTTTTAGTTTATTTTTAGGGGATAAGTGCAATGCTTTAATACTGCAAAATAGTGAAAGTCTGTTGATGTAGACTAACTTTCCACCGACAGTATATTTACATTTATAGGACATTAATCTGTCCAGTGAGAAAAAATATTTTTAACCTTAATCTCATGTTTCCCTAGTTCTGGGAGTCATCATTCACTGCTTTAAAGGGTGTTAATAAAAATATTTGCCTTAAAATAAGTAGCATAATCATTTAGGACAATTATGATGTTATCATTTTTGCTCATTTATAAAAATAGCTCATTAATCAGCACAGATCTAAAATTCTGCTATTTTAAATGTAATATCTTAGTTTTTATAGAATGTTCAAATTATTAAATACTGTATTTACAGTATCTACTATCTATGTGGTCCTACATTATAATATTGAAGTATTTCAGTAAAAAAAATACTACAGATACAAAAGAAGATACAAGCAAGACAGGCAATGTCAATTTTTACATTAATTGGTGTCCCCATTTTACCTAAATCTTTGAATAGTGTAAAAAATGTGATTTTTCTTTAAGTATTGGTTTCTTTCTATTGTGGATTGTTGACCCTAGTTTTCCATTGAACCATTAAATGTCACACAGCAAGATTTTCTTTAAATTAATGTGAAAAGAAAAAAAACAATTAGCAAACCTTAAAAAAAGATAATGTTTCTGCAGTTTATTGGAGTCATTGCACTCGTGTACATGCAGAATCTCCTCAGTGTAAATGACTTCAGTGGACAAGCAATCACAGACGTACTCTTCAGAAATCAGTCACACCTGTATAGTTTCCCAGGCTCCTTTAATTGACAAACTATATGTTATCAAAAGCTCCCCTGCTACTTGTACATATATCTTAGGTACAGAACTGAAAAATTCTAAGACAAACACATGGTATTATGGTGTTTGCTGCTCACTTCACTGGGAAAAAAAATCGCATATTTAGAAACTTTCAGAAACCAGAGCAATTAAATCCAGTGGACACTCAATTATGAGAAATCACTTGTAATCTCAATCACTTGGTAATGTCAGCAAAGCTCTGAGTGGCTTAGAAACAAGAAACAACTTATAAACAACTGGGGTATTGTTGTCCAGTCATGTGCTTGTTTACAATTGTTCCATTTACAGACTTCTGCAGGGCTAGCTGCTTGCTGATATCTGGGAAAGGTATTAGCAGAATGGGAACAAATATATAAGCTGGTAGTAACTAGTAAATGAGAAATCAATCAACAGCACACTTCTTGCAATGAGGCAAAAATACTGTATTCCTCAGGTAACCAAACACTTCCTGGACTAGCTCAGCAATTTATGATACCACTTGGTGAAAGTAAAATATAGATATTCAATGGTCAAGAACAAGTACTCATTTTTAAAGTAACATCTTCCTGTTTAATGTTGCATGTAATCATGTAAACATGTGTACTGTAGTAATAGCAAACATGAAATGTAAGCATCACAACCCTTTCAGTTGCTGGACAGCTTCCGTTCATTTGTGTTTTTTGCTGCTTTGAAACTAATAACATTGGTCCCAAAATAAAAACTTAAATGAGCCATAACTACAGAAGACTGTAACCATAATTTTATGTAAACCAATTAACTAATTGCATTACAACCAATTTTGTAAGATACCGTGAGATTTGATTGAAAATTGCTATGGTTATACTTCAGCTCAGAGAACCATTTGTTTCCAACATACAGTAGCTAAATGTCCCCTGGGATCTCTCACAGCTGAAGATATGGAATTTTCACTCTAAATCAGCCAATGATTTTCAGGGATATCAGCTCAACAGCATTGTATAAATGTGATGGGAAAATGTGCTTGTATACAAGGTACATTAATTCTAAATTTATTTTTGTTTTTATTTGTAATGGACAACTGAGTCTTTTAAATTCAGACCATTACATAATACTTAATTCGATGACATTGTTATTGCATTGTGGTAAAGGTATTCAAATAAAAATATCTTTAGAGAAAAGCAGAAGTGTCTTAACTGAGGAGACTTGAAAGAAACCAAAGCAATGAAAGGCAGATCTGCTCACCTTTTAACAAAGGAACATAAAACCAGAAAGAAATCAATATCTGAGAACATTAAAACATCTTAACCACATTACAATTTTTATTTTTTTCTCTAAACATAGGTGGAGATTTGGTACTACTGTAAGAATGAGTCACCTCCCTCGCAAGCCAAGTGCAAAACTGCCTCTGTCTTCATGAACAGGGCCCTGCCCCTTGCACGTTTAAACAGAGCAATCCTCTGTTGTAAGAGCTTTTCTCTGGCCAAGCAAAAATATATACAAATTTCACAATATACAAAAAATCCCAACCAGTGAGATCAAAATTCCATTTCTGCATACAAAATAATTTACTGCAAAACTGAATGTTTCTTCTGTGCTCAGGCCCTGTTCAACATTGCTCTGAAAAATAAAGAACAAAAAGAGAAAAGGGTTTAGTACTTCTACAAAATGTTCTATTCCCTCATGGTGAATCATTTGAATTTTCTACAAAACCAATAAAGTATTCTTGTTGAGAATAAACTGCGCATTACCATGGAAGAAAACACTGTACGTTAGTGACATGAGTTTGATTTTTTTTTCACAAGTAAATTTAGAAACCCATAGAATTTAAACGAACTGTCAGCAACAGGCTCTGAAGATTAAAGAGGGATGCTGGACCAAGAGGAACTTGGGAGCTTTTAAGTGGTTCTGTGAAACCACATAAACACAAACAGCCTCTGGGTACTGAAACTGAAAGGTTTAGCAGTGCAAACAAATTAGTTTTCATCCTTTGCAGTTGAATTATAGTTCTGCCAGAAAAAAAAATAAAAACAAAACAGGGATGCATTAGCTTTTACGACATGTAATCAAATTAATCTGATGTTTTTCTATTGGTGGTAAATATGTAATGCACCCCAGATGCTAGGTTTCAAGTAAAGCAGATAAAAGGCGCTCACCCACACCAGGTTTTATAGCAAGGCTGTGTGATTGGTTTTCCTCTTTTTAGTTATACAGTATATCTGAAACGTATGTAGGGGAGTTTGAATTGTTGCCTAGCAACTTTGCACAGGAAACCTATGAAATCTAAGAATAACGATTCAAAGATCTTACTTCCATCCATATATCAGTTGCAAGACTAAAAATTTAACAACTGAACATATTTTAATTTTATGATTAGAGATGGAGACATTTCACAGCTATTTCCTTATCTGGAGGTCCTCAGAGAAACATCAAAATAACTGCATGTTACAGTATCTACAGTACATACAGTATGTTTATATAATTTTTACATAACAGGGTAGCTAAAAGAAAACTGCACTACAGGACAAAGAAAAAATAGGGAACAATCAGTTTCTAAGACTGTTGCATAGTCTAAACGTTAATGTAAATGTTTCCTTCTGCAACTTTTTTTAAAGTTAAAGGTCATTTTAAACAGTCTTAAATGTCAATGTTAATTTTATCCCTAACTGGTAGCATAGTTACATCTTTGTTTCTCTAGTTAAAGGTTATGTTTTTCACTTAAAGTACTGCGAGACAATCATTTTCTTGACGGGGAGCATGAGAAACAAAAGGAACAAAAAATACTGTGGAGTATTTTATATGTGGAGATACACCTAATATCAAAATTACACACCCGATCCTATTACCATTAATACATGAAATCATGTAAACAAACACGCATGAGATACTTGGTTGCTTCAAGCATATTCTATGCTAATCAAAGCTAACAGGAAGGACAAAATAAATAAATAGCCAATAGCAGGCATTTTCTGCATGGAAAATATATCCAATTCTGATTTTATTAAAGATTTAAGGCCTCCTACCTGAGGGTTTTCAAGCTATCCTTTTCCCTGTGATTTTCTGGTCCTTCACTCTCAAATGAGGCAATATAGAGAGCTGAAATAAATAAGAAACCCATGGAGTTCAAATACAGCTGATGTAATAAAAAATGGAAAGCAAGAATTTAAATACTCATTAAATCACAAAAAGAAAACCACGGCAAATTCTGCTCAAGACTGTATAAAAAGAATTGTTTTCATTTGAATAACACCAATATGTACTGTATACTAATTTCCAATCACTGACAACTACTAAAAAAAAAACAGTACTTCAACAATGTAGGACAACAAATTATGCAAGTGTACGAAGTTCAGAGTATATCTCAAATACTTGGTACTAATTCAAGACCTGCAACTGAGCAAGGAAAAACAATGTTTGATTATTACCTGGTAAAATATTGATTCATTTCACAACATTTGCTCCTAAGTAAAGGTTTGACTGAAGGACAATTTTTGAGCAGTAATCCCTTAAAAACAACTAAAAAAATGCTAAGAAACTAAAAATCTGCTTATATATTATTTTTAGGATAACCTACGGAATAATTTTCTATCCTTCTAGAGTCATTTTATGTGCTTTTTAAATTATATTTAGCACAAATGAGTCTATGGCACAGAGAAAAAGTCACTGTTTCTGCATGATAATTGATAATAACTGTTTAAAAAACATTTAAGGCTCTACAGCATAAAGTCTTATGGGCAGTTTTAATGGTTTACATAAAACTCTCAAGTTGTTTAAACCAATGTTGCTATTTTTTCAACATGCACAGAAAGTATTCACGTCTGTAATGCTGTCTACTAAAACTACCTTAAGGACTCTATTGCAAGGTGACTAGGTCTTGATTTAACAACAAAAAGGTTTTCTCTACCTTCCTCTGTGTAAATGGGTGCAGTAAGAAGATAGTTCTGTATTCTCTTGCTGATCTCAAATGGGCACTCCACAGCCCTCCATATCATGAAGTCACTGATTTGTCGTGAGATCTCCCAATATTTCTGTGGAGCAAAAAGACCAGAGGGGGACAATTAGGAAAAAAGCCTAAATTATAAAGCCTCCAATGAATGAGTTTTGAGGACTGTTGTGCCTTTAGTCCCCTGTCTGTAACTCTTACACACTGGTTTCAGCAGCAAGGCAAGTGCAGAAAATTACAGTACATTCTGAAATGTTTAAGAATGTAAAGGACAACATCCTCAGCACGTGTGTATATGGAGACAGGGCAAGTATATCTGAGACAGAATGAATGAGAGTTGTTTCGGCTCTATTGGAGTTTAAAAAAAGAATGAACTCTGAAGCTTGTCAGATTTTTGACACAAAAAAAAAGACATCACTGTTCATAAACTGTTATTTCCCAGAACGTACTTTAGGAACTGTATACTGTACATATTTTTCTTAATTATACACAAAACCATAACATAAAAAATAGTGGCTGAAAATGCTCAAAGTAAAGTTTCTGGAAAACGAATTGAAATATCTTGTCTTTTATTAATGTTACAGAAGTTGGCTAATTTCTTTCATGCTTTTCAAATGGGTTCCAAATGATTTCTAGCAAACAATAATGTAATTTCTGTTGAATTCCCATCATTCAGCACTCACCTTGAAGTTAATATGTCCATTGGGCAATGTGTCAGAGTGCATCTTATTCAGGAAGTAGATGTCTTTGACAAACAGGCTGTAGACTGGAATTACAATCTTCTCACAGTTAGTGTGAGCTGTCCTGGAGCGCTGTGCTGCCCCCTGTAGGGCTGTACGGTAATTACAAAAATTGCTGGAAGGATCCATGTAGTGCTGCAAGAAAATAAGTAGAGTTAAAAGTTGTCAGCCTTAAAAATGTCCAGGCAACATTTCTGAAAAAAACTGACATTTGCCAAGCTCCAAAGTTACAATCTATTTAAAAGCCATTTAATGACCCAACACTTTTTTTTCTGACAATCACTGATGAAATGGGTAGTTCCATTTAATATCTGGAAATCGTTGTACCCCTTTATATAACATTCATTGTATAGTCTTGTATAAAACAGCAGAAAATATTATAGAGAACAAATTTTACCTCCAAAATGTCAAACTTGGCTGTTTTCACTTTGGACCATGTTTTCTTTAAGCGTGCAACTGGACTAAGGTTCATCCCAGCTGAAAAACAGAAAAACACATTTATGACTGATGTAAAAAAAACTGTTTGAAAAATAAAGTACATTTTTCGGCATACACAAAATAGACTTTCCTTTGATATACAAATTTTTTCATCCCTTTTTTTTCCCCAAATTAAAACCTTGTTCTCACATTCACTCTACAGCTAAATCCCACACACAAGTAAGAGGAGACAGAATATTAAAGCTATGAGTTCAAAGTCTCACTGTCACTTTTCTCACAGCGAGCTTGTGCAATGACTACTAAATTCAGTGTTCTGAGTTCCACTGAAATAATATCTAAAGTGCCCCTTTAGTTTGCCTCATTTCACAAACACGAATGTATATCACATTTTGCAGACATATGGCTGAGTCAAATTAAGTTTAACTTAGTAAGTAACACTCTCTTTTTCACTTGGCACCTCTTTTGTGCTCTTCAATGCTTCATTGGGGTTAGTAGTCACATTTGACATGTCAGAGTGGACAAAACTATTCGAAATGTAAAGGTTTACTTACAGATGATAGCCATAAGGGAGTTAAAGTTGCCAATGTTAAAGCACTCTCTTGCCACATCAATGAAAAATTCCACAATTCGAGTCCTCTGCTTCTTTTTAACAACCTGTGGGACAAGGATATTGTTATAAGGTCAAAGGTTAAAACAATCCAAAAGTAATGGCATGTGAAATGGCCTCTCTCTTTTAAGATATGTAAAACCTTGCAAAAACAAACTACAGATAATCATGTAAAACATACTGTAGTAGAGAACAATTTTCATACTTTACATGCAAGACAAAGTAGAGTTTAAGAGGCCGCTGAAAAACTTTACCTAGATTCTGCATCTACAGTATAAGCAAACATCTTGAAAGCTAAGCTATATCTTGTTCCAGGCAGAGAAATTGAAAGCACAAGATGTTCCTGTAGCCCACTCTTCTGGGCTCCAGTGAGCTATTATATAAGAATCTCACTAAAACAGCCTCCCTCTTCACAGCCTTTTTCCTGAAGAATGGTTTGTAATGCATACAGCTCCTGTAGTCTGATAAATGGGTGTTAAATAAAAATTTCACACCAAATGATTTGCACAAGAGCGTGCACAAAAGGTATTTTAAAATCTAAAAATATTTAGATTTCATTTTCTAACAGGCTAAAGGAATAGTTATGAAGGGAAGAGTGGCTTTGGCTTTGGATTTGCATCCAAATCAGAGATAGTTGTATGAATAAATTACTTCACGTGTACTGGCATTCTCTTTTACTCACCCGACAAATTTCTGTAGCCACAAGTGTGCTCAGCTGATTAAACCAGTTTTCATAAGCTTCCACATTCTGGGTCTTCTTGCTATCACAGCACTGAAAACCAGAAGAAAAGGAGTTTTGAGTTTCTAGCAATCATTTGTAGCATTTACTTCTGCAGTGCAAATAAAAAATACTTTATTAAATAATTTGTTAAATCAAATGCATTGTATATTCTGAAGAGATTGTGGTAGGAGAAATATAGTTTTAAAATTTAAGATTTTAGCATATTTAGCAAACAAACCATTTGAAAAGGGAACTTGAGGTAACCTCAGAGAGGTTTAGCATTATTTTGTATTTCACCTACAGCTTGGAACCACAAAGAATACAAATGTATTATATAATGGTGATTAAGCTATGGTTTAGAATAAAAAAGATCTTTCTACAAAAAGAAGTTACTACCCTATCCTATCTCAATTATTTTAATTACATTTTTTATTTCAAATGTTTCTGCCACTGGCATGCATTAATTGATTAGATTAATAGATTTGGAAGATGGAAAAGGACTGGATTTTCAAAACTACACACTGCCTCACAGAGCAAGTTTGAATTTCACCTTTCCCTGCAGAATCCTGGTCACTTACTTAATGAAATCCATTTATCAAGGCAAGCAATTTCAAGAGAAAGTCATAAAGGTTCAATTTATCCATAAAACTGCAATGGAATTGTGGTTTACCTTGTGATTTGGTATGTTTCCTGTTTGAATGCACAGATGTATTACATCCTCAGGTTGAATATTCCGTATTTTTTCCTATGAGAAAATTATTGTTAGCATTTGCTAGTACATTCAACATATTTGAGTGCACTAGAGAAGAAAGAAATTTCCTGCTTCTTAGCTCATTAAAGACTGATTTGCTCTATTGATTTTCTTTTGTCTGAACAAAACGTTGTTCAAAGCATTAATCAATAAAGCGTTATTAAAACTATTATATTACAATAAAAACTACATTAAAAAAGACCACTTTTCCTGTTATGCAAAGCATTTATCTTTATACACATATTAAACACCAGTATTCTGTAATTTGTTAAAAGAGACAAATTCTAGATTATGTTGTCTTTAAATTAAGATTAAGTTACAAATCAGCTGTCTGGAGATAGCTATAAGACTAATTAAGGATACAACCTCATCATACAAAGAATGTATATTGAATGGCAGTGAAAGTTCTTAAAAACAATGTTTAAAAAGACGGTCTTTTGTTGTTTTAAAACTGCACACGGTAGCTAACGGTGGTCAGATAAAAGCTGTACTTTTATTACGCAGTTCTAAGCAAGGGTGGGGTACTATTCCTTGTACTTTGGAAACATCAGGTCATCCAGATCTCATCAGTTAGGGTGGGAATGAAACTTTTGTGCTGGGAGTGAAACTGCAGGCATCTTCCTACAGCCCGAGAGCACTGCCACAGGAAAAGGATAAGGCGTTTCTCACGCCATCACTCACCAGCTCAATGTGAGTGAGCTGCTGGGCGAAGACCAGGGCGTCGCTGCACACACTGAGGATGTCCTTGTGGGTCGACTGGGACTTGACCTTTAGAAGCGTGCCCTTCTCAGAGAGGCCTGGAGTGATCTTGCCCCGCACTTCCTTGTGTTGGTCACGGGTGGACAGGGCCTCATCCAGACTCTCCATCATGTGATTCAAGCTCTTCTTTATGGTGGAATTCCCCTGGAAAAAAAAAAAACAGAACACACCACATGTGCAGGGTTATTCTATACAGTAGGTAAATAACTACAGAAGACCACATATCAGGTGTCACATTTTCAAGTCCAGACCTGATAAGTGCTGAAATATAGCTAAACGGGACTCAAAGTGAAAATTTCAAACCTCAGCTTGAAGCTATGCAAAGAAGCTGATCACAGAATGCTGTTGTGCATTTTTAATTACATTTCTCCTTGAGAAAAGTGCATTTTTGACAGTTTTGTAATTTCACAGCACACACAACGTCTTTAAGGTATGCCCACAGAGCTCCTGTTTGACGTGTCCCTTCAGTGTTTCCCATCAGTCATTCTCCTTTAACAAGCTAAGAATCAAAATAAAAGGCAGACTTCTAGTACATTATATAGTGCTGCAGGTAAGCTTTCAAAAATACTACAATACTTGAATAAACAATTGCAAATTTATATTTTTGGATGAAAAAATACCTTGGTCATATGAAAAGGTTTGCACACCCTTCCATTTTCAGTGCCCTTTACATTAAAGGTATTAGTCATTAGGAAATATAGTAACTTAAAAATTCTTAGTTTTACATTTGCACTTACAATAATAACTGTCAAACAAAATGTTTTATATATTTAGTATGTTATACATATATATTTTTGCAACTACAGACAATTTAAAGAATGAAAGAAGGCAGGTGACTAAAAGAAATCAGAAAACATTTCCCACATAATATACTCTTCTTGGCATACTCCAAACTGTTAAAGTGGAAAAGAAAATGTACAAATGTCCAGTTGGAAGTACAAGCAAAAACAGATGATAACATCTCACTTTGAAAGAAAAGGAGGTTCTGAATACACTGGCCTCAGGCCTTATTGGTACTTAGGGTATGAAGAACGAGCATCAATAATTATTGTTTATTATCTTGACTACAAATAATTAGTGCAATTATTTGAACTGCTGTATGGAAGCGTGAGCCCAAAATGTAAAAAAAACAACAAATGCTGATCTTGCGTTCTTACTATCCATTACATAACACTGGCTACATGCAGTATGCAATAGTCAGTGATTGCGTGTAGCTCACTTCCCTAAATGGTTAACTGTTGCCATAAACAAAAATCAGCTTGTTGTAGTGAAAGCAATACACGCTACCTTGAACTAAACACTGCAAACAAGTTTAATTTTGCATTTAATACTGTGAACTCTAACCACGTTAAAATATGAAGAGGTGGAAGCACCCTGATTGTCTTCCGGGACTTTAGAATTTTGCTACAAAATATGCCCACTGTTACCAAGATTTATCACTTGAATGCCAGGCACGTAAAGGAGAGTATAGCTCACATTGTTCTACGACAGTACAATTCTTCCTTACCTCATCACAGTGGCAGATCTTCCACACAATTTCTTTCAGTTCTTTCCTAGCCACTCTGTCCTCAAAGTCACACGGAAAGGTTTCAGTCCATTCTCGGAGGAGCTGAACAATTTTGGCTGAAAATAGTTTCAACTTCACCTGAAAAAAAATCAAGCCAGGTTTAGTGCTCTGTTTCAGCTTTCAGTTTCAGAGTTAAAAACTTAACTCTGCTTGGAGGCTTGCTTGGTGGTTCATTTAAAAACATTTCATTACTAAATATTGTACTTAATTTGCATAAAAAGAGCTGTGTGTTCAGAAAACAGCCATTTACCTATGGGCAGAAGGTGATTAATCAAGCAGCAGGCTGGATTAATGAAACCTTCCATGATATCAATATGGTATTACTTTTTAATTTACACACCTCACTCACATGAGTTACACACAGGTCCCAAAACATAAGTCTTCAATAGCAGCAAATCAGTAAGCTTGCTATGTCTCTCAAGTTGAAATCATCCACCAATTGAAAGCTAAGAACAATGTCTTTGTCTTACTGGGCTAAATAAGGCTTCTTTATTCCAATCCACCCCTTCTCTACAGGTCTCAAATTGTTCATGACTTAAAGAAGTACAATACCTGCTGGACCACAACTTTTGAGCTATGATTATGGGGACCCTGATCTAACAAATTAACAAACTGTTTTATAAATTGTGTTAAAAAAACAAAGGGATTATTTTGCTAGTGGGTGCAAGACAGTGCCAAGACACTATGCATTTCACTGGAGTAAAGAATGGATGTTTAGTATCCTAGCAACACAACGAGAGAGCAGTGCCACACTTGTGAGAAATTATGGTTACGCGCAACAAAACAGATCACGATAAGTACAGTCAGAGCTTTACAAAAATCAGCTTGTTGTAGTGAAAGCTGATCTCTCACTACACTGTCACTGATAAATCACAGGTGTGATTACAGGTATCATGTTTTAGTATAACAGCTACATGAACTTCAGACCTCCTGAAACCCCTAGAACACCGAATACCTCAGGAATGATGTAATCTACATTCACAAAATAGTTTTAGTTCTGTTTAATTATACACCAAGGCTATTCTGACAGCCAAAACCATCTGTTGAACGAGAGCATTTTAAGAAACGTCTGCATTTGTACCTTCTACATATCCTGCGGAAGTCTAAACACTAAGTGTTAAAACATCGACACATACATCAAACACCTCCTGCCTGTACTTTAATCAAAATACCAAGAAATATCTCTGGTGGAATGCGCCTGGTTAATTTTTGTGCAGCAGACTATGTGGTTACTAAGCAGCAAAACGGTTCGAATACATGTTTGTGCTTTAGCACATTTTGCAAAGCAATGACATTAATGCAACACAGAATAACTTCAATAATATTGATTTTCCAGAATTAAAATAGACTTAGTTATGACACTTCTCAGGTGTTTTCAATCTGTGATTGCTCAAATGTTTCTTCCCTGACAGTTAATATTATTGTAAAACAGTGTTTCAAAGAAATGCTACATAACTTGGAAATACTGTACCACTTAAAAGCTACAGCTTTTTCTAACGTGTTGTATTATATCTATAACATTACAGGATAACCTATTGTTATATTTAATGTTTTTAAAATTCTTAAACTACAGTAGATACATTGTTTTACACAACTAAAATAACTACTTTTCATAGGTTATTGAGAGCTCATGCATTCCACTGCTGATGTGCCTTGTTATTTATTATTTGCTGTGTATAAAATGTGGACTGTTTTGGCAAGGTTCCTAGAATAGCCAGGGAAAAAAGTGCATTTAAAATGTAAAGTATGCATGGTTATGCAATGGAGCCCTCAGACATGACAAACATGGCTACAATATTGTCAAAACAGCATATGTTTTTCATTTGGGTTTCAGAAATGGCTTCTACTGAGGTGTCTGACGTCAGCAAGAAGTGCAGTTTAGCTCAAGGAGTGACCTCACCCTGTGCTACTCGGCCAGTTCATATTGGCTCCTCTGCTTATGAGCTCCGTTTGTCAGAATTATACAGTACGCGCCATAAAATCTCTCATCATATGTTTAACTGCTGGCAACTGGTCAGGAAAACAGTTGCAAATTTTCAAGGGAAAAGGCAGAGCTGTTGCAGGAGAAGATGCAAAGCAGGTTTCTCTATGTTAAGGAATTTGAATATCCACATACCAAAAAAAACGTCTGGCAGATTAACAAGGAAATAACAGATCATTACCAAAGCAGTATTGCTTCTGGGACTACATTTCAATTAAAAACAACAGGTTAGCTTTAGAAGCATAGCAGTGCTAACAAATGCTAACAAATGCTTTGTAAGCTAGACATATAGTTATATTCTCCACAAGCAATTTTTTTTTAACCCAAGTACTTCTCTGACCTGTCAAAATGACCGTTTTAGCACTAATATTAGTAACAAGCCATTGATAACCACGGTATTCACAAACATGAGAATAATGTAATTTAATGCAAACACAATAACTGTAAAATCTTTAATGACTAGAAAAAGAATGAGTCATGGAGATAAAAACAACATGCCCTGAAAACATGTTTCTTAATTATTGAAAAACAAGTTTCCTTCAGGCTGCTTTTTTATCTACTGAACAGATACGACCAACACTTGTTGCACAAACTGAACTGCAGAGACATGCTGGACCTCACCTTGTCCATCTCAGGGCCCATTTCCAGCTGCTGCTTCTGTTTCAGGCAGATTTGACCCACTCTGGCCAGAAGCTCTGATGGATGAATGAAGATCCTGGTGGTCAGCAGGAATGTAAAGATATATGTCCGCTGGAGAGAGAAAAGATGGTTTTTAAGCCTCCCACCATGAAGCAAGGAGTCTACTGAACATAGAGCCCTGCAGCACTGAGAAGGCAGTCTTAATTGGGTCTGAGAAGGATAAATCCTGTGGAGTCTAAAATCCTTTATTATTTTACTGTGATGAGGCATAGTAAATGACTGGATAAAATGAAGAGATCTGGGTCATCATGTCATAAAAACATGTATAAAGAAGGCAGAGAGGGCTGTACAACACCATTATAAAATATGTGGACATTAGAAAGGCTGCAAATGACACGAGGCCTTGCAGCTCATTTACAGTAGCTGTGTTCTGTTAAAAGCTTACTGACCCAAAGATCTCATTCAGCCGTTTCTTGAAATACACCATGGTACCAGCTTCAACGGCATAGCTGGGTAGCGTCTTCCAGACTCCCACAACTCATTGCAAACAAGTCTTCTGTTCTCACTTTCAAATACATTTCCTCACATCATGTACAGTACATTCATTGTAAATACAGTATATAATTACCAAGGGCTGACTCTAAAAATCAGAATGTCAAAATGTTAAGATGAACTAAACAAATCCTACTCACTGCAACCTTCAAATGAATTTGTACTGCTTCAAAAGAATGACGGGGCCTAATTTGTTGGGGTTTTTTTCAAATAATCTCTCCGAAGCATCTGCCAAAACCTGTTTAGGTGTGACGTTTGACGTTTTCAAAGTCATATTTAACATAACAGACAAAGATATAATTCAGCTAAAGAACATATCAAATTCTGATGATTCAGTAGAGGTCTCACATTGCACACAATAAAGTACATTGGTGTTTGAGCTTTAACGGTAACTATACAGGAAAACTGTCTGTCTAGTAAGCAAAAATGCAATTACTGATGTTTTTGTTAGTTGGTTGAGTGGTTTGCTGTGACACTAAGACTCTAAGTGCTAACAATAAATAGTAGGTATATTAAGTATAAATACAACTGTCTGCAACAAAATCAATACATCAGTTTTCACCCCAGGTTCATTGACAAATACATGACTAAAGAAGGTGGAGAAGAGAACAAAATTCTTATTTTGCATAAACATTATACTTTAGTCACATTCTTTCACAAAAAAAGTTAGGAGTGGTATAAGGAAAAAAACAGGGTAAAGTAATAGGTAGTAATTTACCATGGATAACACATTGCTGCCCCTCCACCCTAAAACAAAGACGAGTTACTGTACTTAACTCTTCCATCTGCAGTCCCATAAATTGAGCATGAATACAGCACACAGTAAGTCAACAAAAATGCTTAATAATACTAAAAAGAAAAACAGATTAAACATTGTTTTCCCAAGAATATACCCAATGACCTAGATTGAAAACCATTAGGCTGCTGTAATCTAGCTGAAAGAGGAACAGCAAGCCATTCAAAATCTTTCCACAAAGAATTTAACACATTCAGATAAGGGAAGATGACTACTTGTACCCACAAGAGCTACAGACCCGTAACACTGCTGAAGAACTGACAGCAGTTTCAATCTTTAAGTCAGGGGCAGACGGCTACAGACCTCTGATGTCACCTTCATTGACACCAACATGATAAAGACAGAGGGATAAACACTTACATCAGGGTAATAGTCCAAGGTTGGCACCAGTCGCTCAATTAGAGCCTCCAGGGACCCAGAAACCAGAGACCCATCTTGGAAAATAAGATCAACAGACCTCTCCCTCATATCAACTGGCACTTGTCCACTGCACTCTGAACCAAGCATACTTGGAAAGAGTGCTGTCTGGGGCATCGTCTCCTGTGGAACATAAAGGAAAAATAAAAAGCCATTAAGGATACCAATAATAAACTTAAAACTTCCAAGAGCCAAAGACCGGCCATTACTAATAAACCAGAAAACAGCTTATATTAGTCTTCTTATTTTAATCATTATTTTGAATTTGATTTTAAAATTATTTTCATCTTCAGTTTTCATTCAAAGCTATTAACCTAATACGATTTACTACTTAACACTGTTTTATGTCATAATGTAGATACAAAGGTAAAAACCCATCATGAAGAAATACTGGTGTGAGGATTAGTCTGCATTAAAAACATAAACCCACTACTTAACCATATACAATATGATGTGTTCTTCAGAGAATTCAGTGTCTCCCCTTTATATCAAAATACAAAATCAACTATGAAATGTCCCCACAGGTTAGGAATTTCCAGGTATCATTGACAAAAACAGCACACCAACAAGCTAACAATATTTACACTTAAGAGTTTGTTCTTTATATGAAATTCCAATGTCAGTTCAAAAGATACGTCTGCAGCATTTAATTAAATCACATGATCGGGAACGTTATTACGAAACTGATATCACCACAGCTTTGCAGAAGTAACTAACATTTATTTTTCCCATACACAGGTTGAAACCCATTTGAATCTCCAGTATATGCCAATGGAAATCCCCAAAAAATACAAAATGCCAACATTTCTCCCAGCCACAAAGACATTTGAGTATTACATGATACTTCTGTAATTTTAATTCCTTTTTTTCCTGGTTGTTTCTGTTCAAACAGAGATTGTACACCTACACACACTCCAGAGAACTCAGCTTGAAGCGAGAGCCATGAATGTGTTTCACAAAAAATGTTTTTTTTTCACATTAGTGAAAAAACATGAAAATGTGAAGAAGTCCTACTGATAAACACATTTAGCACAGATAAGTGAATTAAAGGAAAGCCATTTTGTCATGCTGCAGATCATAGGAGTTTTGTTCTGTGTCAGGTGACTGAACCCATTCCTGAAGCCATTTCAGAGTTTCCAGCTACACCAGTCAGAACACACTAAAACCAAAACACACGGCTCACATTTCAAGCACTAGTTTTCATTAATTCACGCCTCTGAACAGGAAGTATGTTCTGACGAGTGATAGTGAAAACACGTTGACATACTAAACCTATTAACTTGCCTCCATGTTTATACTGTAGATACTGTATCAATATGGTGAAGAAAAACACACTTGTTGCAAACATTAGTTGTACAGTTAACTGTAGACCAAACATTACACTGACTATATTTATTTCACATTGTTCATATTTTGAATATAATCATAGTCTGTTTAATTACAGTTCTAGACTACTACCTTCACCAAAGATGTGTTTGTTCTCTTACAGGCAAGTCAATAGTCAACATTTTATATTTAAAAATAGTAATGGAACAGAGTTTTATGAATAAATTCCATTTTCTAATTTGTACAATGAGTGAGGCACAGTGGTTGGTGAACCAAAAGGTTTGTCAAATTCTATTGCGACACCCCTTGCTTGAGAACAAACAAGCTCGCCCCAGTCTAAAATCGCAAAGTACAGGCTAACTAAACTGAACTCTGAAATGACCAGTTAACATTCTGAAAACACTTGGAACAAAATGTTTCAGAGCAGTTACGTGCATTTCAGACATTTTGCAAGTTTTTTGGCACTGACAAAATGTACAGTTTTTATCTCCCTACAGCTGTGAGCGCTTAGTACTTAATTTTGGCATTCGGTCAGTATTGCCTTTGCAGTTCACTAACCTTCTGTACCACTGGCAAAATGACATCCCACGCCCTTTCCCAAATTGCAGACATTCCACCACATTCATTTTAGCTACAGTGTGTTCCATATGAGAGAAAATATGAATGTCCTTGTTCAAAACAGGCTGCGAGTATTTACTCAGATTATGTACTCCACATTGAGTGGAAAGAAAAGGTTTGCATAATGTAAATGTAGTTCAGGGGAAACATTCGCACACCCTTTTCAAACAATGAGAATAGATGCATTGTTATGGAACACAAATATCAAATACTGTACCTTATATATCACCAATGACCTTGGTTTAGAAATATTAAATTCCAGTTGGAAGTTATGAAAGTGCCCCATGATCATTGATGTTGCTAGTGCAGGCATAAATAAAAAGAAATGAAAATAGCTAAGCCATCTGAGCCATCTTCTTACAAACCTCAGAGTACAGTATGTCTTTTAATGCTCTTAAGTTATTGCAGATAATTAATACCATCTAGCTTTCCCACACATGCAGTCACTCTGACAAGAACTGAGAAAGTAAACACTCGCAGGGCCCCAAAAAGGCCAGCCTCCATAACCATGGAATGATCTGATGCACTGGTAATGCTTTATGTCCAAGACTTTCCCGGTTTGAGTTTCAAGTAGTGGAATAACATCCTGGCAGTGGGGCCTCTGGGGATGTTCTAAGTTGGCTTTGTTAATGAATCAGGTTAGAGAGAGAGAAGCGGCTTGGAATGATTAGTGTCAACTCGTGTTACTCACTCTTACTGAGAAATCATGCCCAGTGAAGAAAACAGCTACACCCATTTGACCAAAGTCCTCCTGATCTCAACAGATTTGCCAAAGCCATTGGTCATATACTGTATGCGCCACAGGAGTAAACATTTCCTGGCCTGCTTATGGCTTTTCAGACACTCCAATATGTTCAATCCTCAGCACTTACCTCTGGAGTGAATTTGTAATTGGGCATTCAGAATAAGAGAAAAACATACAAAGGAAGTGCCCACAAAAATCCTGTTTACTCCAGCATATTTCTTAAACAAATGAAAACCATGTTTGTTAAAACAATAGTTCCAGTCATAGAAAAGGAATGTCTGCAAGTAGTAATAGTCACAACATACATACATATGTATACAGTACTGTACATACAGTATATATCTAGTGACATATGACACTGCATCACATATGAAGATATATCATGAGAGAACGTCATTTTATAAAAGAAAACCACAATTCCAGCTAAGGCCAAATTGGCTAAACAGGCCGCTTTTCATAACTTGCTAGCATTAATTTTTATACCTCCTCGTATTTTAAGAATTGTCACTTTTAAGGTTTTCGAGCCTCTATTACCAGATTCCTCATACTAGCATAAGAGAAATAAAGTCAGTTTTCGCATGCTCAAAAATGTCCAGTTCAGAGGGTTTTGTTTGTAACCAAATTGCTTAAGTGCTATTTTTTTGGGGAGGAAAAGTCAAAAGCAAAATAGATCACAAAGCAAGCAGTGTAGCTACCGGTACAAAACATCTTTTAGTTTCAGTCTTGCTCTGTTCAAAACGAACCTGAGACAAGTACCATATCTACCATTTGTAAAAGCACTGTTGATAACTGTGACCTGGTGGAACCAACAGAAGAACTAGTCCTATCATCAGTAATGGAACACTTTAATGTTACTGCACCAGCACTGCTAACTTCAGCAGATTCTGCTCTCTGGGTGGAAGGAAGTCCCCAGTTGGATATTTCTGACAGATGGACTTTCCAAACACCACGTTTTGAGAAGCCATGTGAATCAGAAATCACACCAGTTACTAGGCTAGTGTGTCCCTTCCTGACCTTTTCCAGTGGGATGATTTAAGACAGTTTTCAGTCTACACAGAACAAAATTCCTCATAGAAACTTTAGCTCATATCTAACCTTCTCCTTTGTTCTGTGGAAGATACTATCTTCTTCCAGAAACTATGAAAACAAAGGATTTGGCAAGTGGTGTTTGTGGACCATTAGGAAACTCTGGACAAGAAAGAAGAGTATTTCCAAACCACTGGCCAAGTAGGGGGATAAGAGACACTATGCTGTAGGAGGTGCTATAGCTCACAACAGATGTCTAATAAAGTTACTACTGTACCTACTTAGTCATTTAAGAAACATTGCACAGTTTTTAAGAGTAGGGATGTTAGCCCCAGAATCCTAGCTAAATTCAACTTCATTTTTGCACAATCTGGCTTCCATAAATCTGCACTTTAACTGAGCTGGTGAAATAGCTTCTGACCTCTCCACCTGTGATATAACTCCTGTGTAGTGCTGGCTATGCCACCCAGGTGGGTGCTGTAACTCAGAGGTGAATGAAGTGATTCCCGTATTATCTGCAAAGCACTTTAGGATCCTTTGGGATGAGAAGCTCTAAACAAACACCAGCAATTAAATTAAATGGATAGAGAAAAGATATGGGCTATGTTATCCTAAAATAATTCTCTGAGATGTGAAGATAATTCCATTATGAATTTGTTTTTCATTTCATTCATGTTTGCCATTTTATCTTTCCACTTGTTTTTTCATGACAAAGTACAACCCCCCCCCCAAACTTAAAAAAATCATTAACTTCTACAGTATGTTGTCTTTGTCAGTAATGTCAGATCTAATTTTATATATTTTCACTCTGTTAAAATCATGTTAGGAATACTATTAAACTGTCCATGTGAACCGTGGATCAAATAACCTATTTAAGTGAAATGCATTTAGCCGTTGGACTACATTTGACAACGAAGACCTCAGAAAACATAGAAAAGTATCAGGTAAGCACAAGCGACGATGCGGAGCACAAATAAAAAATCAGACATTGTACTTGGTTTAGTGTTTTTGCACTGGATTTTGGTTAAGATTAATTATAAGTGCAGACAAACAACGCTAAAGTCACAACAATATTTCCAGACTTTCAGAGAACAATCACTGACTCATTCACTATCGCTACCGTCATTGTTATTGTTCTGCACATATGTATCCTGTTCGGGATGTTGTTTTCATAACCTATGCAAGCTTAATTACAGGATCAGGTAGGAGATACTTAGCTTTTAAAAATGTTTATAACCATCTATGAAGAAGTTAATTTTGAAGCTTATGATAACCACTGAATGAGACATTGTAATAAAAAACTAAAGGTAATGCCAAAAGCTTCCGTAGTGCAGCGCATTTCGACCAGGGACTGAAAATAGGATTCACGTTTCTAAACAAAGAAAAAAAGGTAAAATCTCAAGCAACAGAAATCAATCTGGCACTTAATATGAAATTATACTTCTGCGAAAACCTTATTTTAATTTAATGAAATCCTTCAATCTTCATTTGTAGGTTTACGGTCTTACGCTTTTAATTACTTTATGTACTTGTAATTCCACAATGATGAGAACTGTAGCTCGCATTTGGCTAAAAAGAAAGCACACAACTGAAACTTACCCTCATTTTCTTTCCGTGCACAAAATAAAATCTTACTGCGAAGCTTTTATCCTAATAATCTGCTTAACTAAAAATAAAGACGCGATCCTCCACGCTTGTAGTTCAGGCTGCTTCCCGCTAACAAGTAGAAAGCAAGCAAAAGTTTTAAAGAAGCTAAGTCCAGCCCACCAGTATTGAATTTCTGTATGGCTACATTCCCCAAGCGTGCACTGAATGGAACCACCCCTACGCCTTGGCTGTCATAAGACAATATTCCCCTTTCTGTAAAACAGGAGGATGAAAATAATTTGGTTCCTTTTCTTAAAATTATTCAGTTTTTAAGAAACAGCGAAAAACTGTTGAAGTAAGCAGTAAGCAACTTTGGGAAATAAATGGAAATCAGTCACTGTTAAAAAAAAATGAACCGGTTTACTTTCATATCAGAAACTTCCGATTTCTAATGTTTAGTCTGGCTTCCTATTGGAGGGACAAACTTTTTAAAATGCAACGTTCATTTCACGAATTAATTCATCTATCTTATTCTAAACAAAAACAAAACTGTGTAAAATCTAAAACTAGAGGAAACGTGCTATAAAATGAGTTATTATCTTCTGGTAGCCAAATTCTCACGACCTTCTTGAAGAACATAAACACATACAGTATTTACTATAATAGATCCATTTAAAGTTTAAAATATCACGGTAAAGTAAATTTGTTTGTTAAATAGACTTGCAAAAAGGCCAGGAATTAAAAAAAATGAATTTGAATTTTTTTTATTAATTTATAAATTATACATTTTATTAAGTGAGAATAAAAGTCTGACACTTCGATGATTTGCAAATACTTTGCATACTGTGGAGATTAAACTGACCTCTCCTGGCTGCATGACTCAATTACAGATAAGGTAAAAAAAAATGTCTATGCATAAACATAAATAGATATTCTAAGTACAGTACTATATATATCTTACTGATAAAGTTTATATCCTTTACCAGTAGGATATATGCATGTCGAAGGCGTCACAGGCTCAGAATACTGGCATAACGTGAGGTGGTTAGTGTGGCATTGGTCCATGATAGCACCATGGATGAGAACGGCTAGTTCAGAACTAGCCTATTACAAACCTGTTGTGTAATCAGAGTTACGTTTTTTATGAATACAATATAAACAGTATATAACTAGGTTTAGATATTTTATTTTATAAGCAGAAATAAATGTATCTAGTTTCCAAATATGGTTATTTTTACAAACCCAGCTGCAGAGAATTTGTTATTATTGTTCTTACACAGTAGATGTTGTTTCTAACAATTTTACTGTTGTAGTAAACAGCAGTGCAGCTCTTAAATGTCACCCTAAAAAAGTGAGCTTCTAACGTGCTAAATGTATTTCAAATCCAGAGACATACTAGATGATAGTGAGAAGCAGGAGAGGAGATAACTGTTGCCAGATTGCTTTCAAGTCAAGTTCAGAACAAGGTGCGTTTGTAAAGTGACAAGATACAAATTTCTATTCGGACCCAATGGCAAGTTGCTGCCACATTCACAGTGAACCAACTTCTCTGTTATTTGTTTTTTTTCCTCACTGGTTTTCTTCAGCTTCCATGATCAAGTTCGTATCAAGTTCGTATCCCCGCTTGCTGGAGTAAAACCAGACAAACCAACCGAAAGACACAACAAGAGGGCACTATCCTGACCAAACTGACAACATGTAAATTAATACTATCTCTGCATTTGACTGCCTCACTAAAATATTTATACTTAAAAGGGGCCTCAATTTCAAGGTACTTGCGTGATTAACATGCAACCGTTGACTACGGAAGGCGCGACACTTCAGCTTTCGATAGGTAAAAATGGAACAGGACTATTTCTGGATATTCTATTTTTGCTGCGATTTAAGAGTATTACTTTCATGGTTAAGCTTTCAGACCTGAAAGTGGTAACAAGTTTCCATTCTTTTCAAACATATATTACAAACACACAAATGAAAATGGTCAAAGCTATGCAATGTTCATGAAGTGATGGGGAACGGTTTCATTATTCCTGAATAATTAAAAGTTTCTAAATGTAATTCTTTTTTTGCACATATAGACGAGTGTGTTGAGATTCAAATGCTCGAATATTACTAACACTAATCCTCATGAAAATAATCACATTGTCAAATCAAAAGAAGAATCGCTACAGGTACAAAAAGTCTGAATAATAATTAAAAGATTTTCTTCTTAACACTCAACTGATAATTTAAACAAAAATACGTTGCTATTTGTAATCTTCCCTGATTGATAGAACAGTTGCTTTTAATCTCCATGGAAATTGCGTTTCAAAAATCCTTAATCAGGTCACTCGCTTGCATTATTTTACCTTCATTTATCAAAACACCGGTACTGAAGTCCGATTATGGGCTTTCTTGTGAAGTGCCTGAAGTTGAGAGAGCTGGGTCTTACCTTATCTTCACTACGGTCCTAAGAAAACCATTAAGAACAGCTCTTTCGAGAAGTACACCCGAATTAGCAATCATTTTAATGGCCCCATGATGATCCGTGGGATTTTAGAGGAGTTGAGGTGCTGCTTGCTATCACCACAGCCGGACCGCACTCAGGGAGACTGTGCACGATTTTTTTCATTCATTCCCTTTCTCTTGTTCGCTGTTATCAAGGCCCCAGTAATCTTCTCTAATAGGATCCCTACCTTCTCAAATCCCTTTCTACCAGAAATCCCCGTTAAGGATATTTCTTGCCATCACCCCCCACCCCAAAGCGTCGTTATCTCACCTTCGGGATTTGCGGAATAAAATCTAAATCCATCGGCGCACTCATTTACTTTCATTTCAATTTTTCGAGGCATCCGTCTGTACTGTTCCTAGTTTAATCTGTCTCTCAGAAGAAAATACGCGCTGCAAACCATTCGGCTATGCTAAAAAAAGGAGGTGCAAAACATACTGCTTGCTCGAGCTATGTAACATGCATTAATACTTCGCCGTCTTTATTTCAGGTGAATTATCTACCTAAAAGGTACAGCATTGACACACAACATCAACAAGGCTAGCTAACCTACGCCTCCGCACCTCTGCGACTTTAAACGAGCTGTGCGTGGGAAAATAATTCACTCGAAGCCAAGAGTGCCATTTAGCTTGGAAATACTCTATGCTACTGACTGTATATATACACAAAATGTTCCTCACCCTCATTTTAAAGACAGATTCTTATCACTACGCAGATTGGATTGTTTGAAGATTATGAATGTCCAATTAGAAGAAAAAAAAACATCCCAGTTTAATACTAAAGTAAAAAAGCAATTTGCAAAAAATACGGGAAAGGTATGAATATCGTAAAAAATCACGCGAAGAATGTATAAAATATTAAAAAGAAAAACAATGAATCATGAAAAAGACAATAACATTGAAAGTGATCATTAAAGAGAATTTTGGGAAAGTGGACTTTTTCTCTGACAAGCGAGACGAAATTCACCCAAATACATTAGCAAACGTTTGAAAATTTAAAAAAAAAAACATTCAGAGAATCAAGCATACTTTTACAGCAAGAGACTGATGGATATTTTAACCACGTGATGTCACCTGTACAAATTCCACACTGAATTTACCACACCGGAAAAACAAGTTATACATGATTTGCTACTAGTAAGCCGAAAAGGCCAGGCCATGAAGAACTGTCAACTCTTTTGGTAACAGGTAGACAGCACCAGTTGTTATTGTGACGGGGTCACAACCTACCCACTAAAAATAACAGCTCAGCTTTAATGAATCACAAGTCTTTTATTTCAAAACCATGACAAAGTTGAAGAAGCAGACACACCAGTGGAGAAAAAGACAACAGTAAATTGTACTGGTTTAATCTTAAGTGAAGTGTAAAATGAAAACGACTTCCCTGTTCAGGAAACAATGAACAGAAATACCTGTTTATTACACTGATCGTAGCATGGTCTAAATTATAATGTACTTCCTATTTAATACTATACAGGATCAGGATGAACTGGTGCCTAACCCAGCAGAGTGTGGGCACAAGGCAGGACACACTCTGATCAGGATGCCAGTCCATCACAGGGCACTCACAAAATGTAAGGAGAACAGCTTACTGATGCCAATTAACCTATACAGTATGTCATGCACTACCAGCTTGAAAGAAAGCCAGGACCTTAGTTAATTGCGCCACCACCACATCTAATCATTTTTATTCATAACCATGTCCATTATTCTGCAACGTATGAGTTCAATAAAGCAACTATGATAACTATTAGAACCAGAAACTCTGCTGAAGGCCTGTAATCAGCAGATACTGTTGCATCTGAGGATGTCATATTTGGTCTGACACTCAGACATTGATTGCAGATGAGGAAGTGTGACTTCCCAAATTCCACTGCTGTGGTGCATAGTTTTCTAAATACAGTTGTTTCAATGCACCGGTGTGTCATACGTATGCAACACATGGATACATTGTGGTAGAAGTGTGATCTGTGCTCTGATACTGTACATACTGTATATGAACTGTTACTAATTTTGATCTTTGATTTTGCTGTGATTTCCTCAATGTTATTTTCTAAGGGTCCAAAATATACCCACTTCTTCAATGTGGCACAGGCCTGCTTTTGCATTAAAACCAGACTTCTAGGTTTGTAATGGATACAATCACCAATACTTTTTAAGAGGCTGTCTGTCTCTCATTACAATCAAACCTCTAATCTTCAGTTTCACTATGGCGGAACTCAAAAAGCATCACAGAAATCAGATTCTGTATTTAACCCTATGTTCTGCCTCCCCATCTTCAAAATACATTCTGCTTGTTAAATAAGATGCCAGATTAAAGAGTATTTCCAAATTGCTCCAAATTAACAGGAAATGGCAAGAAGGATGCATTCAGTACGTAAAATACATTAAGGATTTTGATTTCAGCCTAACAAAACCTAATGCAACTCTCTATTAAAAAAGAATAACATACTCAGTGACTCACTTGTAGTATATAAAACATTACTAGATCTAACAACAGATGTCTTATACATAGCCAACCTTAAATGTAAGGCCACTATACTAAGAAAAAAACAGCATCGTTAACAGTACTAGACCTAAAAACCAAAGAAAACATACAGTATCTGAGAAAATAAGTAAGCGTGGAAGGGTGGCACAGTCTGTTTGCTCTCAGAAATGTGCCTGTTTTGGCAGGTGCAGTATACATTTAATTTTTAATTGCATGAAAACAATAATTTGGTATAGTATAGAACATAGTCTGAGCTGTTGATGTGATGGGGGCACAAACTGTTTCGAAGCAGGGTTGTTCCAGATTCAACAAATCATGGCAACAGTTTGGCACCTGGGGATGCCAGCAGCCATGTCACCCTGCAACTCACAATTGGCAACCCACTGAAGCTCAGTAGGTGTGAGCCTGGTCAGTACCTGGATGGGAGACCTCCTGGGAAAAACTAAGGTTGCTGCTGGAAGAGGTGTTAGTGGCTCCAGCAGGAGGTGCTCACCCTGCAGTCCCTGTGGGTCCTAATGCCCCAGTATAGTGACAGGGACACTATACTGTAAACAGGTGCTGTCCTTTGGATTATGAAATACCAATGGTTCAAAACCAGCATCACAGCTAGTGATGGAGCTACCAATTGCCATTACTACTGAACAATGTCCTCCTGCTTCAAAGTTCTTTAACTTCAGTTTTGGGAATACAGATAATTGCTAGGATGACCAGAAAAGTTAATAGCTTTTCAGATTGAATTTAAGAATATATCAATGTTGTATATATTTTTAATCCATATAAAAATGCAGTTTTAGCACCACAATGTAATTTTACTGTTACTTGTTATTACCAACCAAGACATCACTAATTTACCCAAATGGAATATAACAACATACTAAGAGAAAAAAAAAACAGAGGAGGAAACTTTTAATACCAACTTCCTTTTTTTCATTTACTCAATGTACTGCAACTGAATGACCAAGAATATGATCAAGTCTTTTTGCCTTTTACACAAGGTTTACTTTCTATCAGGTATGGCTTTTTTTCAAAAACACAACCAAGAAAATAAAGTAGAAAATGAAAGAGATACATTTCTGTCATGTACTACAAACACTAATATCAAAGATTAAAATTACATTCTTAAGATACAGTAATACTTTATTGATTTCCTATTATTAAGAACAGACAGCACCTGCTGCAAAGTACATATAAATGAATGAAATAATTTGCAGAGCACTTTCCAGATTTTTTAATTATTTTTTACAGAGGATGGCAGTTGTCAAGAGCCTTGCAAGTGGGAAACGTCAGACTGTCACCTTAATAGCTGAAATCCATTATTTTCCATAATCTATTTTAAAATGTCTTTTAAAATGCTTAAATTACTCACCCCACTCTCTATAGCTCTTTGCCACTGCAGTATGCAATAATCCAAGCCAAGCTGCTGCTAGTGTTTTACAAACTTTAGTTGTTTCTTGTTACATGACAGATGTTTTCAAGCACGTTTATTTATACCATCCTTAAAGCGTACAAACTGTGTCATTGCCTTGTGCAACAGTAACGGAAGGTCTGTCAACCACACATTTCCTGGTTGATATATATCACGTATCAAATTTAATGTTGAAAGTTTTGAAAGTTTCTGTGGGCTGTGGGGTCTGAAATAATTACTTATTACATGGCTAAAGAAGCATTTTGAGGGCCGATTAAACATTATCCCTTACCCTTATTGTTTGTGCAGAAATAAGTATAAAAGTTAGAGAATGTACAGTACCATCACATTAAAAGTACTGAATGGAGAAAGGAAAGAGTTCTCATTACAGCAATATGGAATACCCGACTCACATACAATGTGTGTAATGGAAAGTACTCGATCAAAGCAGAGTGGTACAGTATTCTTACAGTTTCCTTTTGAGGGCTGATATTCATGTATTCTGAAACTGAAACTGAACTGAAAAACTGAAACTGATGTGCTTTACTGGAGTAAGGTGAGAGTGGACCTTTATGTATTAACATCCCCCCCCCCCAATCTCCCAGGGTAGTAAAAATACGTATCTGGGTGCTGTAAACAAGTAGACCAGAATTGAAACTGTAACCTAGTCTAAAGAGGACATGTGCTAAACCTAAACCAGAAAATGTTTTTTTTGCCTCTTTCATCCACTGATGCCACTCTGTACCTTCTGGTACAAAGGTTCTACCTGCATATTAATTTCCCCTGGGCCACAGGGCTGTTTGGCAATACTTCATTTTTGGTCTGCATGTAGTGTATGTTTCAGGTAAATACTCACTGAAAGCTTCCTCTTTCGTAACTTAAAATAGTGTACATTAAGTATGCTATATTACATTTGTTTTCCCAGGAACTAGTCTAGCATGACATTTGAGATTCTAACCACCAAACAATCTAGGTGGGTCTCATCTTATTTCGTCACTGTTCATGTGTTCTTTACAACAGCTAGTCATATATCAGAATCTGATCCAGGTAGGCTCATATCATGGAATCAAGTGTCAATGGAGTCCAGAGACCTGACAATCTGCCACCCACAAGAGACGAACAATTACCCCAGCACCAATCCATTACACCCAGCTATCTAACAAGGAGGCTTTCTTTATTTTGTATCAAAACGATCAGGGATTGAACCTTAGCAACCCACAAACTGAGTGAACACTTTACAGGCTACCAAATTATTTAGTCTGATGAAAGACTAGGAATACAGTATTTAATAGTGTTGACTTACTCAATCACCTTAAATCTGAATTAAATGATCTATTTAAATGTATAAGCCCCTTTCATACTTTGCCTTATGTAAAACCCACCTACTTTACTTTTGAACCCTGCGATCTCCAGACATGTTGAGGTCTTTAAATTATTCCATTCCTGTGCATTATTGATTTTCCATCCCTTCTGGTTCTTTCTGCTCCACCAAATTTCAAGATGTACTTGACCTGTAAATCTAATCTCAGTTACGGCTGATCAGATGAAGTTTGAAATGTGCTCATCGGGTGGTTTTTTTTTAACCAAATAATGTTTTATAGTTTGACGAAGGTCATTGTATGAATTAACCAGAACTCACACCCAGAAATCCTTTTTAATATGGTTGTCTAGATGGTAATCATTCAACCCTGATTACATTTGACAAATTTAGCCATTTGCAGAGTACACTGATTTATGACGAGACCAGACTAAACCTAGATGTAATTTAATGAAAAAGAAAAGAGGGTGGTACAGTAGTTAGCGCCACTGCCATGCAGTGTTGGGTCCTTGGGTCCATTTCCTGGGGTGCTACCTGAATGAAGGTTGTATGTTCTCTCCCTTTGTGTGTGGGTTTTCCCCCACAGTCAAAGACATACTGGTAAATTAATTGGCTCTTGTTGTGAGTGTGTATGTGTGTTTTTTCCTGTGTGTACCCAAAGATGGGCTGGTGTCAAGTCCAGAGTGTAGACTGAAATCTGCACCCATTGCTTGCCAGTACAGGCTCTGGCTCTCCAGAAACCCTGGAATAAAGTCGTTTAAAAATGGATGGAATAAGACAACTTTGGATATTCTTTTCAATCAGAGGCTGAACATAGATATAACTGACTAGTAAAGAGTTCTGCATACCAATCTTACTAATGTTCCTTCTGTAAAGAGAAATATAATATTTTGAAAAGGCCTAGAAAAAGCTTAAAATCTTTCATCTTTTTCAGTCCAACTTACAGGCTAATCAATGTATTCTTGAATATGCAAACACTGTATAAACAAATGGGATATACTGATATATTACACCAAAGTAAAATAAGAGTTTTTTTATTTTTTGCCTCGTGATGAACAATTTCCCTTCAGCAATTCTAGAAGAGTGAGTGGGTAGCTGAACTGCTTCTCAGAACAAGAGGAGTTGTGAAAATGAACTGTGTGGGAGGGGTGCTTGGTTACATAGGCAGCCTGTCGCCTAGCAATTGACACTGACAGTGACATAATAAGAGGCTTTAAATAGTCAAGGACTTCATTGAAAACACTCCCAAATGGTTAAAATTCTCCTTGGATACCGAAGAAAACAGAAATGAAAGTGCATGTTATTTTTTCCCCCCAAAAAATGGAATTCACAAATATAACCAATAACCCGAGATTTAAAGCTTATTACATTTCAACTAGGTATTTTTGTCTTAATCCCCCCCCCAGATTAAATATTATAAATATATAATACCTAATCACTTCATGTAAACATAGTGAAAATTTTAAATGTCAACACTGAATTTTGGCTAATTAGGCCATTTGCTTGAGGACCCATTGCTAACCATCTCCAGGATGCACATCCAGTGGTGAGCCTTGCTATCACAGTCCTAGTGAACAAAAAATCCTACCAGTTACTCCTTGAAAAGAAAAAAAAAGTAAAATTCCAATGTTGTTGAAACAGATAAATCTACTAGGGATGCAAGTATATTTCTTTTATTTTGATTGTACATTCAGTTAGCAAGTGTAAAAATGTAAAGGTCAGCGTTCAGAATGCCGACAAAATGTTCTAGGGAAATCTTTGGGAATCCCTGAACTTTAATTTGTGATTGGATTGAGCATCATCTTTTCTAAATGAAATATTCATTATAGTTGATTATATTTTAATCAATTAAACATAATCATAGAAACGTGGATTATTTATGTCTTTGAACCTCATGAGTACAATAGAGAATTACATACAGTATAGCACACTTGCGCCAAACCTGAGGGTACAGTACATAGGGATAGGGATTATTAACCTATAAATGCTAGCCGTCTGGAGAATGCACTCTTTGGCCACTTAAGCTCATCAACAGTACATTAAATTAGAAAAATACTTTACATTTTAATAGAATTTCTTGGGGACATCTATCCATTTTCTGACCTCTTCATCCAATTTAGGATCATGGTTGAAGCCTATCCCAGCAAGCAATAGGCAGAAGTCAGGGTACAACCTGGACAGGATACTGGTCCATTGCAAGGCAGACAGACACAAACACAGATACACACATACCAGGCCAATTGTGCCAATTAACCAAACAGTATGTTTTTATACAGTGGGAGGAAACCACAGCACCCTTAGGAAACCTACGGAAACTTGGGGAGAACCTATAAACTCCACACAGATAGCACGCCAGGTCCAGAATTGAACCAAGGGGCACAGCACTGCGAGGCAGTGATGCTAACCACTGTGCCACCTCTTTTGGAAGACTTAATTATACAAAATAGGTAGGAAAAATAGGCACCAATTACATCTTCTTTTAGATACCCAAAATATAGTGTTCTTAAAGACCTCTTATTTTGTCTCAGTCATCATTGATAAACTGACAGACATCTGTGCAAGGCTGCAATTAGCGCACACAAATCCTCCTAAGATATCTTCAAATCTTTGTCAGTCCTGGAGTAAACCAATCTTTTTATAGTCACCGTAATATAAACCTGCAGATACAGTGTTTAATATATATCAACATTTCCTCTCGATAAAGGCAGTTATACATGTACATTCAAGAACGGTGGGCCTCAGATTAAATTTATGAATGCAGAATATTGTTACCCATTGATTCATTAAGCCGTTTTTGCCCAGTCTTGTTTCCAGTCCAAAGCTGGTGTTGCTATGTGGACGCAGCCATGGTTTGGGTCTTAGAAAGTAGTATTGAGAGGACCTATTTCTGCGATCACACAATGTAATTTGTTCTAAATTAAGGTTGCTCATAATTTATATTTAATTTTTATTTCATACTGGTTTTTCCCTTGGAGTTTTCAAGATTGTTTCTCACCACAGACTACAGACACCAATGTTTTTTTTTACTCAGAATTGAGAAAGTTCTGTTTTCTTCATTTTACCACATAGAATATAAAAAGAGGAAGTAACTCCTTAGTCGCTGCTATTGTGGCTTTCAAATCTTGCACAACCTACAACTGCATTTTCAAATTTGACTAAAACTATATTAATAGCAGTAATGTAAGAAAATACATTCTAAAGGTATTTCTGGAGAAATTATTTTTTCATAGTAACAGTGTAGTCATACTTTTGAGTCGCATGTGAATAATTGCAATTAAAACTTTTAACATTTTAATTCTATCATACGCCAGCAGCCATATCACCCTGCAGCTCTCAACTGGCTACCCACTGAAGCCAAGCAGGGTTGAGCCTGTTAAGTACATGGATGGGGGACCTCCTGGGAAGTTATGGTTGCTGCCGCAAGTGGTGTTGGTGGGACCAGCGGGGGGCACCCACCCTGCAGTCTGTGTGGGTCCTAATGCCCCACTATAGTGGCAGGGACACTATACTATAGTGGGCGCCGTCTTTCGGATGAGATGTTAAACCGAGGTCCTGACTCTCGGTGATCATTAAAGATACCTGGGCATTTCTTGATAAGAGTAGGGAGTTATGATAGGCTTGCACTGGCCCTGTGACGGACTGGCGTCCCATCCACGGTGTACCCTGCCTTGCGCTCGTTGCCTGCTGCGTAGGTTCCCGCTTCCAGCTACACCGTGTGGTTTAAAGCGGTTTGGCAAATAAAATGACATGAAAATTCTATCATACTAATTAGACATGATTTGAGAATACATTGAGTAATGACCAGAAAAGACGGTTTTTTCAAACAGTTAGCAGGTAAACGACCAAGTGCACCTTTGCTTAACAAAAACTGTACTGAGAATTATTTAAGCAAACACTGCAAGAGACATGTATCACAATTAGTCCCGTTAAACAAAATAAAAAAGCAAACCAGAGTCATGGTAAATTAATGTTTATTGTGGACTGTTGCTGTGCCTTCAGACTGAATATATGTGGCCTACAACCAGAGTAGGTTTGGCTACGTTTGTTTTTTAACAATACTGAATTGAAAAAGTCCATGATTTCTCTCACATGCCATTTAATCTCTTTTAGCTTCAGAAGCAACTATCACCAACATCAGCTTCTCTGCATCACTCACATAATATAAAAGTTTAAGAATAAACCAAAGTATTCCTGTCTGGAATTCGTTACACAGTTTAGTTTTCTTAATTTAAGACATATGGCCAAATACTGTTGTATTTATCTTGCTACTTGATCACTAGCCTGTCATAAACGTCATTTCATACTTTTGAAAGCAGTCTACCAGCTTTGACTTTCGATAAAAAGGAATTCAAAATAAATGCAGAATATATTATGATTTGGCATACAATCTCTGGCTAAGGTCATCAGTGTATGGATTGTTCAGGGCTAATCCCCATTGTCTTGTAGATTTCCTTAAGAATCAGCAAGGCAGTATCTTCAGATTCCCTGATAAAAGAAAGAATACATTTGATGGTTAGGCTGAAAATGCATAAAACATCACAAAAACCTTATTACACAGATATAGCGGATTGTTGTTTGGTTGAGTCCATAGCTAAACATGAACATTAAATCTGCTTGTAACACTTCTGACCTACTGTAGATTTAACAGATGAATCGTACACCTGACTTGATCGAATCCTGAAAGCACTGTTTCAATCTCCCAAAAATATGTCTAATACACCATTGTTGAAGTCAATGCAACTAGTAATTTTCAACAAAGAGGCCAGGAAATATGTGGAAGTCAAGACTGGTAAGATGAAATTCAGGACAGCAAAGGGTGTGGGTATGCTGTACATGTTGAACTGGGTATGTTGTGGATGAGCAGTTTCTAGAAGCACTCAAGAAAAGACTGCTTTGGTTACAACTTTACATTAAAATGACCCACGCTATCAGTAAAACAAAGTAAAACTTGTCTTCAACAAAAAAGACCACACAGGTACCCAACTCAACGGACACAAGTTAAAACTATAAGAAAAAAAATGTCTTAAATGGCTATTCTACCACGTTCTTAAGGTTGATAACTAGTTTATAACTTTAACTGATAACTAGTTTTCTTTTATAAAGAAAAGGCTTGAGCAGATCTTTGGATCACTTTAATACAAATAACCATCGGGTGGGGCTCCTCGTGTTTCTGGTCTAAAACTTGTGACATTCAATGAACATCATTCAATGGCGTCAACATTCAATGAACAGGACGCAAGTCATTTTGGGTTTTCCTGACATGGACTTCAGGTCTTTAATTTAAAATTAATAATAATTAATTATGTTCATTTTACATAGAAGTAAAGAACCAAAACCCCTCCTGTATTTCTTCTTACCAGTAACACAAATGGCTCTGAAGGGCAAACAGATACTCATTGAAGCTCTCGATAGGTTTCTCTTGTAAGACATAGTCAATGCGGTTCCCTCCATTCAGCATTCCAATTTTCACAGCAAGGTCATCCTCCTTTATCTGGTCTGGGCTTTCTATCATTTTGATTTCTAGAAAAAAATCAAGGTTAAAAGTTACAGACAAAAATGTCTCATGCAGAAGTGCCTAGAGAACCACATAAAAATTTTTGTATCATGAGACACTTGCACTTTAGAAAAAAAATGTTCAGCTGGATTATTTTTATATATTCCCATTACCAATATACTGTGCATATTTATAGATGTCTCCTACAAACATTATAGATGAAGACTACTCATACACACAGCACACTCCCTCTGAAGGCATCACACAATCTGTTGTGAATCTGGAATTTCCCTGCTGTATTGTCCATAGCACACTTAAATTCAAGGGGACTTCCTTCTACTCCAGAATTATACAAAAATACTCTCCCGTACGTTATTCCAAGACAACTTCAAATGATGGCATCCAGATCAGATTTCGATAATCTCAATCAGATAATCAGATTAATTATGAATGCATGTATTCATTTTCATATTTAAGGATGGCAGATGAAAGTCATAACGAGTCTGTTACCCATCATAAAATATATAAAAAAGAAATACCATTTATAATACAATACTTAAGCCTGTATATTTTGTGTTTTAAGGGGTCCTTGGAACGGATTCACAGAGCCCTCAGAGATTGTTATTCCCGGATAAATAACATATTAAAGCAAGTATAAGATCCCTCTTACTGTAAACAAACAACAGATTCTGTCTGAGACATTGCTGTGTTAACCCTTTGCAACCAAACAAGTCAAATGTGAACGCATTCGGATTCCTGTGAATCAAATGTTGATGTCAAATTCACTGCTATTAAAATATCTGGTTGTCACCAGAGCCGCTTTTTGTCATCTTCATGAAACTGAATTTGTACATGTGGGAATCCCTGTCAGGGGCTCACCTTCGTCAACCTGCTTCTCCTCCTCCTCTTTGATTTGGTTGGCCACTTTCTCCAGCTCGGCCTGCAGCTGTGGAGAGGAGGTGTGAGCCCGGGCAAACTCGTTCAGGGTCTGCCAGGCGCTCTTCAGGGAGCTAATGAAACCTTGCTTCAAATCGGAGCCCATTCGTGTTAGACTTTCTTTAAGTTCTGCAAAGCAAAGCACACCGGGTCCGGCAAATACAATACACCTTGCAAAGGAAGTGTTAAAACCCTGCTAACAATGTGTCATTTATGCCAGAGCTTGCCAGGACTCAGTTTTGCCAACTCTTGGCTTGGCAAGTAAGTTCATAAGTCCAGTGCTTCAATTCTAAAAGTTATTCTTTTCAGTACGACCTTTTCTTTAAAATTCTCAATGCAGCTTCATGAGGGTGCTTGTGCATTTCAAGCTGTACTACTTCAAGCAGAAGGAGATGTGTATCGGTGTCTCTTAGGAGTGCAACAAGTTAGTTGTATTTTCCACCCTGTATTCTGATTGAACGTCAGCGGGACTTTATTTAATCACCATAGCTGAGGTTATAAAATGAGAGGTCATAGCTGGAGTACTTTGTATAAGTAGATCATGTGGTTGTGATTGTCTAACATTAGTGCACACATTAGGCTTCACATTCACAGCCATTTATTATTTAGAATGTGTAGCAGGTCTACCGTCACAAAAACATTGCCACAAATTCAATCGCAGCACATTTAAAAAATACTTAAGTGATTTCGTGGGCTACAGATCACATATTTCATCACAATTTAATTACTTGATTACCTCATTTCCAAACTATGGAACTACAAGCTAAGGCAACAGGGAAGCTGATGAGAAATAGGGTCATGCAGTTTTGACTAGAACCACAGAAATGCCTATATAGTTTTGTACATGTCAAACTTCTGCTCATTCTGAAGAAACTGGACAATGTTGATATGGGCACGCCAGGAACAACAACTGTGCCAAAAGCAGGATTGTGTTACCTAACGAACATTCTTACCCAGATGAAGCCTCTTCCTTCCCTTGTGATGCGGAATTAGGACTGGCTTTAAATCCAGGTCAGGAACAATCATTGGTTCAATCCTGTACGCCACTGGGTCCAGCTGTAAAAGGAAAAATACAGAACAGCAATGAGCCCTGCTTCCAGCTGAAGGACCTCCAACCCCCTTAACGGGGAACCTTCATGTGTATAATGGATTTTGTGGGGAAAAAGCATTTTAGTAAGAATTTACTAAACCTTATTTACTCTTCATGGAAAAAGGCACTATAAAGAACTGGATTTCCTGCAACTACAGTGGCTAGAACTTCTAAAACGATCTGACATTACACTCAAATATTTGCTTGGATGTCAGTATATTTTTTATAATGCATTCACAGCTGGTACTGGACACACACTGGACCTGGGGCCATACACCTTCATCACTTGATCAAACAAGGCCCCTGGAGTCATCCTTCCTGAAGACCTCCGTTAGATCTCTGCACATGGCCATCAGAGATGCAAGCATCTCAAGTGCTGTTCCTCCCAAGGAGACACGCAAGAGCTTGAGGCTGACGAAGAAGGGGTTGCTGTGACTCACAGGGTGATAAATATTGAAGAAACCCCTACAGGTGGGCAGGTGGTAGCTTTCTTCAATCTTCTCCAGCCCCCGCACAGTCAGAAACATTCCGATGGGGGAACCCAAGGCAAAGAAATTCATCGGTTCAAAGACCAATGAATGGTAAACCACAGACACCTACGATAAAAGAGAGAAAACAAAAACCCAGAATAATATAGCCTTTTACCATGCACAGATGTTAAATAGTGCCCAACAGTGAAATTATTTCAAAAATATTTGTAAAAGCTTTGGTGTCCATGGAAGTTATCACATAATAAATACACACTATTTTATGACTTAACAAATGAAGGGAATCTTGAAAAAAAGCAGGTTAAATATACATTTGCAATACAATAAAAAAGAGGGTAATTCTTTTTCTGTGTTCTGGTACTGAAATATGATTGATTCCCTTCTCCTTTAATTCACACAAAAACTTTGATGAGGTACAGTTCATCCCACATCATCTTGTGATTTTTTTTTGCATTAAGCAACTGATTTAATTTGCTTTAATTTGGACCACCCCTTTTCTAAGGCTTTTAAAATGTTGGTAATTTGTCATACTTGCAGACCTGTGGCCTTCCAGGTCTGGACTTGTGCACCTCAGCACTAACCTAGCAGAGTAAAGATCTTAATGTTGAAATGGTTTCCGTATCCCAAACAAGCACTACCAATGAGACAAACGAGGATTAATAAGATAAGATAAAACCCCTCCAATATTAGCCTTACATTCAATACTGTAGAAAATGAAGAAAAGATGTCCTAAAGCCAGTGACACTGTTTAGTTGTCAAATGGCACAGCTTTCAGAATGAAACAGCTGCATATGATATGGGTCTTATGCAGGCATTTTAAAATGGGATTAGGTTTTCAGAAAAGTGAATGCACTTCTGAAGGGTCTACCATAATATTTAACATAATAATCCCCCTTTATCTTTATCTCTGCGGGAATGTTGCAGAATCAAAATGCTTGAACGCCCACAGGTTTCTCGGTATAGCAATAAATTAAAAAACCTTACATGTCAATTATCTTAATTTACAAAGAGGTTTTATCTAATCACAAAACAGCTTCAGACCTAAATAAAAACGTGAAATATATGTATCCTCTTCTGCCTAACGAAAATTCAAAATGCTTCAGATTTTACACAACCATACACTAAAAAATCAAAATGCTGAAAGGATAATAACTAAAGTTACAGTAGCAATACTTTCAGTTCGATTTTGGGCACTACCCAAGTTCTGTTTATTAAACTAACTTCACTAACTCAAAGCAAACTTTAGAGCTCCAGAAAAGGCAAAGCAAAGCATTTTGCAACTTCATGAGCACACTGACCTGACCAGTCCCATTCTCAAATGTTTTGTACCCCGAATCATAGCAATAGGATCGCTAATTAAAGGAAAAACAAAGGTTAGGAGAAGTGACTGTTAGTGTTCCATTACTCATGATAAGACAAAAAAAAATCAATAGGGAGGGTTGAAAAGGGCATTTCCTGTTTCTGCTAAATCAACCTTTTTGATTTTTGTCACTTAAAGATGTGGTTAACGCACATACCACTGGTAGAATTTTCCCCCTTTAATATCAACACATACCGCACAGGACAAAGTATTCAGAATGTGGCTCTTGGTCTCAGAACCCACTTATCTGGGACTGCATCTCTCTCCGCAACCCCCCACCCGCCAGCCTCCCCCCTTTTCCCTCTTCATCACAGCTGACGTGGAGGCCTAGTGAGCAATCTTGCACATTCACCCACTTCCTAGCCCCTCCAAGTAACATTCTGGGTGACCTTTCAATGCCCCGGTTAGGGAGACAACACATTGGACGCAGGCAGATACAAAGTGTCACCAGGAAAATTTTGACCGTGCCTGTTTATTCCAAAACACCTCAGATGGTTAAAACCGCAATGCCTCCCACCACAGAAAACCTTCTCTCTCCTGTACAGGGGACATTGTTTCAGAAGGAGAGAAAAATTATTCTTGTTAAATCTACAGATGGAATGATACCCACTTGGCCTGTGCCAACTTCGAAGTAGTCGTAGTCCACATGCATTGAAGAGACTGTGCCGCCGACGGAGAGCCTCCTTCTGGAGGGGTCTGGCTGCGAGTGGGAGAGCTGAGCCGCTGCCGCCGCCTCTTCTCTGGCCTGCAGAGCGGCCTCCTGCTTGGCTTTCCTCAGCGCCTCCGCCGCTGCCTTCCTCTCTGCTGCAGCCTTTCGCCTTTCCTAACCAGGGCGCAGTCCCAAACAATTAAAAACAAATGAGGCCAATTAGTGCTACCAGCTAAGTTCAGTGTAGCACTACATTCAAGTTTACTTCAGGTCTTTAAGACTGTTTACACCCTTAATCTGTTGAGCGCATGACTAGGTGGCAATTAAAACTCTCAACTACTGCATAACACAGCACTTACTGGAATCGGAAATTCACTGAATTGCCCCAGCCTAGCAAAGTCCTACTTCCATCCATGTACAATACACCAGTGTGTGTACCCCACCGCCACTGTTTAGCCAGATTCTGTTTCCACATCTATACTTAATGATGCCCAAGCCATGCAATGGAAAGCATTTAAAAACCCTAACTGCTGTCTGCTAAGAAAGTGCCCAATGACATCACCAAGTGACACTAAAGAAAAACATAATGTAGCATCATCAAGGTCTGTGGATTAGTCCCAATCAGTTCAGAAATCAACCCCAAACAGGATATGAACCAGTAATGACTATGGAACTGGAAAGGAAAGACGTGCCTACCTGCTTGCTAACTCTTTCTTTGACAAACTTGGCAAGTTTTTTCCTTGGCCCCAAGGGAATTCCCATCTCCTTCAGGTCATCCACAGTACACATGAGCTATTGAAATTGGGAAGAACAGAAAAGATGAATAATAATGGACATTTTCTAAGAAAGAAAATTCTAGTTTTAATCTAAGATTAACTTAAGATTTCCTAAATGAGCATTTCTAGCATTTAAAAGAAGCTACACTGCACTTTGTGAAGTATTTAAACTAAGTTTTTGTCTTTATTCTGACCAGGGACTCCATATCAATCTTCTCTTTCTCAAAGGTGCTGAGATATTCTGAGAGGCTGAGCTGCTCCAGAGCTGCAGACAGACTCGTAAGCTCCTCTCCTTCCTCCTCAACCTCCTCTTCCTCTACATCCTCTGCAAGTTCACCACTGGCAAGCAGATCACTTCCCTGCAGAGCGGGGTTTGAGCCCCCCATCTAAAATGCAAGAAAGAAAAACAGAATTGGCATCAGTTTATTTTAATATTAAAAAGGAGATTTTGCGTCTCCTGTAATTGATAAAAGTGAACAAAATATGAGCATAAAAATCGCAAACGTTTCACAAAGTTAGAAAATGGCAATGAGGTGTACACGTATAATCGTGTTTGGGAGGTGCATGGATATTTTATTATTAAAGACATTACAAAGATTAATTAAACAATGCAGGTTAGGAGTGTGTGCCACTTTTGGAAGTGATGTACACCTGGGACGCATGCTTTGCACCATTTAGCAGATACCATGTGATGAGCTTCTGTCCTGCTACTCTTTTAGTTCAATTGGTTGAATTAGAGCCTTGTTCATTGGTCTCTGATCTTTAAATGCCACAAATTATCTTAGAAAACCCCACATAAAGGTTCGCTAGGGCTCAAATCTGGTACATAGGTCATCTGTGGCATAACTTTTTGTTTTGGACAAATTCTTATTTCACAAAAAAGCCACTGTTACCATGGCAGCACGTGCATTATCCTCCTTAAATGTTGTCACAGCAGGATGAGCCTTAAGGAGGGACAGCAGGGGATGTCCAATGATCAATGGAGTTAGGGTACCATTACATCTTCTAGAGAAGACACATACGCCCTGGCACTTGTACCTGTTTGAGGTTGCTGGCTTCTGGAGGGTTTCCACCATTGGGAATGGAAAGTGCAGGGGCTGGCAGCTGGGAGGTATTGTTCTGATTAGACAACAGGTCGAAAAGAATAAGGGATCCTGCAAAGAATGGAAACATAAGTAAAAATGGTAGAAGAGCTACTTTGAAGCAACATGACATGCATTTTTCTATTTACAATATTTTCAGGTATATAAGATCCTTTTTTCTCTTTGCAAATTCTCCAAAAATATTAGCCTTATATCCTGCAGATATAACTTCAAGATTAGTGATGATTGGTATCGTGCATAAGCCAATGTACTAAAGCAACCTTCAGTCATGCCACAAGAAACAAGTTACCTTTTGCAAAAGCACCAGTATCTGTATTATAAGTTGCAAGTAAACACAGGTGCTTGAGAAAATGCATAGTTTTGCCTTGTTCTGAGAAGTCAGAGAAGGTACTGCTGACTGTCCAAGGCCTATGCTTGAGCCAGCACACACACTGATTAGTGCAGCTTCATACTCCCCTGAATTTTTTTTTACCAGGAGTAGCACTGATAATGAAAATAACAGCAGTGAGAAGAACTTTGCTGAATTTGAAGACCAGAAAATTGGTTATGCTGCACCGTTTTCTATACTGGTAAGAGAACAGACTTACCATATGCTCACTAAAATATTTTCCTTTATACAACATTAATGTTTTGTTTCATAATGATTATAGTAATGGTATCTATAAAAACACATTTTTCTGTCCCATTAATTACCATAATGATAAAAGCAAATATTTAAAAAACCTGATATTCACCAAAACATCCCATGCTCTTGGTATGTCTTATACTTCTTACTGGCAAAATGATAAAGTGACAAATACACTACTAGAAAAGAAAGGTTTATCAATGAAAAACACTGATGAGTGGCATGTTTCAAAATGAACATCACGAGGGATCCAGTTAATATTCTGTTAGCATATTTTATCTACTTTTTTTTAATCCCCTGTACTGAAATATCAGTTTTTGGTGAGCACCATATTCTGAAGCTCAGTAACCAGCAGCTTCTGTTCTTAATTCTTGATCGAGCAGCAGTGCTGAATTGAGAAATACAGTAGTGCCTTTACCTAAACTGTGTCCAGCTACTGAAACGCCTCCTTTAAAGTCTGGGTTTCGGCTCATGAACAGCGCATGCAGTCGATTCAGTTCCAGTGCCACTTTATCCACAATAGTCTGGCAGTAGGTAGGACTGTTGTAGAATAAGACGTCCAGCAGAGTCTCATTGGTGAAGTGGCGCAATCGGCCTGTACTTGGCAGCGTAATTTTCTTGATTCGCCTGGATGAGAGGCAAAAAAAAATACTCAAGTGCATCTATTGAGCAGTCTCTTGTACCATGTTATTCTAAAACATTATATAATGACTCACAGTAGGTAATAGTGAGATGGAAGAAAAAAGAAAAAAACTGCTTTGTGTCTAATATTCCTGTGAGAGCTTAATGTATGAAGCTATAATGCCATTAGCACATCAGAGCCACTGGAATAGATTACTTTTAGTAGATTGGAATCCTCAATGTAGAAATCAATGTCATTTTTAAGTACATTCCCAAATAAGAGAAATAGGGCGGGGCGGTGCGGTGGCTCTGTGGCTAAGGATCTGCGCCTGTGGCTGGAACGTTGCGAGTTTGTATCCCACGGCCAGCAGAGGAATCCTACTCCGTTGGGCCCCTGAGCAAGGCCCTTAACCCCAACTGCTCCAAGGGCACTGTATAAATGGCTGACCCCGCGCTCTGACCCCAAGCTTCTCTCCCTGTCTGTGTGTCTCATGGAAGACAAGCAAGTTGGGGTATGTGAAAAAAGACAAATAATTCCTAATACAAGAAATTGTATATGGCCAATAAAGTGATCTTATCTTACAGCATTGCTTGCTCCTCATTATTAAACAGTGTAACTAGCTGACAGACAGAGGCCAGTAGACTGGTAGTCCCCTCTTTAGAACAGGGAGCTATGGGGACTTGTGGTCGAGGGCAGTCTGATCTCTGAGGGAAGTCGCAAGTCCTCACCTGTCCACACCAGTGGCGTCCCCGTGCAGGGCTGTGTGCCACTGAACTGGGAGGAACTCCACGCGGCTGATGGCTCGGTCCTCCAGCGCCTTCTTGAAGTGGCTCTGCAGCAGCTTGAGAGAGACGCTCCGGAAGTCATCCACTGAAGATGCAACGTAGAAACGTTTCCATGAAACGTAACGGCAGTAACAAAGAAGGCGATAGCCGAGCCTGGCAATCTTTGACTAAACCACCTCTGTGAAGTTGGTCTCTATTCTGATTAAACAGCGCCCTCCAGTGGAGGAAAACTAAATCTCACGGCAGAACAAATTAAATCCTTTTTTTTTTAAATGATTAACTTCCTATGGTATATGCCCCAATCAGATACCAATGAGTTTTCCAAAAGCATGAAGGTAAAGACAGACATGGGCAGCAGACCCTTGTACAGCTCAGATGATTTTTTTAGGTCCTTCACCGCTGTAATCTTTACACTTTTTCTAGTCATTGACATTTAATTTAAAAAACACTATAAAACAAGTGACAAGAAATTAAGGAAAAGGATGTTCTTGTGCTTCTCGGTAAAAAGCACTACACTAATGCCGATCCATCCATCCTATTCTAACTGCTTCTTTCAGTTCAGAGTCACAGGAGAACCATGGGCACAAGGCCAGGTACACCCTGGACAGGATGCCAGTCCATTGCAGGTGTCAGACTAATGCTGTTGACTTGTATAAATAACACATATATTTATGGTTCTACTTTAACTGCATGTGAGGTGACGTGAAGGCTTACCGCACTCAACCATCGACCTAAACCTGAGGTCACAGACAGGCCCTATTCCGTGCACCATGAAAACCAGGTGATCCACCTGACGAAGCTCTCCTGCGGGCATTAAAAACATCAACACAATCTTCTACTATGCCATTAATGTAAGTATATTATAAATGTAAAGGTTTTGTTAAGCATATCTGAGCAAAAATTCAGTTCAATGGCATCTCAGACTAGAATGAGGAAAGACAAAAATGAAAGACTAAAAGAACTAAGGAGATAATAAGGAAGTTCAGAACATTTACTTCTTGAATTAATATAAAAAAATGTCCAAATCTTATGACACATTCTCGTTTATACAGCTGGAATACATTGCTCCTCACATCAAGCAGGCAACTCAGCAATTCTTTTTGCTGATGTGGATTATTTCTTCTGGAGTGACTATTTTTGGGTTTTGAAATACATGTTTCACAAGCATACATATTAGAAAGGGCTCTTAGAAATGTTCGAATTGAAAAGAATTCGGTCATGAAAAAGAATCGAGACAAGAGGAGTCTTTTTTACCATCAGGGATGTCATCGTGGTCATCATCAATGCCTCTCTTCACAACCCTGGGCCTGGTCTGGCCATCCTGTGTTGTCCCCCACTCATCGGGCATTGCTGAGGGCTGGAACTGCACTATTACCTGACACCAACCAAAAATCATCATATCACAAAGAGAACTGGCATTAAAACTTGACTATTAAAAAGTAGTAAAAAGCACATGGTCAAGAAACACGGTTATGTTTAACAACTGCAGGCCATCTGAGGATCACAGTTTCTTCATAATGGGTTAAAACATTATAATGAAATATAATTGTTGTTAGGTGACTAGGAATGGTCTCTAACAGTTTTAGATAAAGTGTGTGACTCTTGGCATTGAAAACACTTCCAGTTTGACAGCAGTGGGGATGTTTGCCGAGATGTGGGGGATGCCCTGATCAAAAATATTTACCATGGTGTACCTAGGTAATTAAGTTGTGGGTTAATGATTGTTAATGAGCAGTCCAGAAATACACTATATAAAATCAGATTAAGACCACAAGAGGCGAGAAGGGAAGAATAAGAAAAAAACAGAAAACAGAAATGACAAGAAGAGAGGAGAGACAGAAGGTCAGACCTCGAGAGAGGAGTTGGAACTCAAAGCTTGCGTCAGGCGAGAACTCCCACTTCATGATCATCCAGACAAAACCTGATTGAAGCTAAGTATTTGAACCTTGCTGGAGAGGGCTTGCTATTCTTTTTAGGGTTTCCTGGGTAAAAGGATACTTCTATTACAGACGTCTTTCCAGCTTGTGGGTGCATTTTTGAATAGGGAGAATAGGGAGCTCCCATTTATTTTGTGGCATCTGGGTTTGCAGAGAGAGATATTTAACTGCAGATTGTATTGCATTTATTTAGAATGCAGTGTCTCTCTTATTTTGGCCTCTGTAGGCATTATTTAATACTTAGATCAGTCTGAGGTTTTCTGGGTGTTTAGGATGTTAGACCTCTAAAACGTCTTGTCTGTACATAATGTATATATAGTAACTTGAGTGTTGTATATTTTGTTGTGTGTAACAAAGTATTTGTCTTGTCATTGCTACTAAACCTTTGTTTAACCTTGTGTGCCTGGAATATTACTCTTTTCACCAAAGCTGTGCGAGAGAACAAAGAATCAATGTGCCTTTAATTATACCAACCGCTCAGGTGTATTCTGGAGAAATCACTTACTAAGTGAGGGCTTATGAATGTTATTTTACTTATTGACTAAACCACTTAGCCAATTCCTGATTTTCACCATTTCCGTGACCCCCATTTGTAACATTTTATTTTATTGATATAACCGTTGTGAAAGTAACACAATCCTTTCTTCCTATTCACAGAAATAGTTGAAACATTTCAAAAACAAAAATCAAGCAATGAAAATAAGAAGCTGACCAAAGGAGAGAGCAGAAACAAGAGGGATGTATGGACCATGCTTCCATTTTTAACTTCATGCAGAAATTGTCATTATGCTTCAAGACGTTGCCTTTGGCTACAAGAGTACCTTGGGATTGTGCATGACAATAGTTTCCCCAGTGGGAAATTCCAGTCTCCGGTGCCACTGATTGGTGGTGACAGCTTTCTTATATTCTCCCTAAAGAAACCAAAGACCAACGGAGTCAACATAACTATAATGGCAATGTGAAGCATTCAACGAGCCCAGATCACTTCCTTATATGTCAGCTGAAAAAACTCCTAAAAAAAAAGGCAGTCCATTAATCATACCACAGCCTCTCCTTCTGAGCAGGAGAAATTGGTAATATGTGTCTTCGGCAGAGTATGAGATCAATAAATTCTCAGTCTCCTGTATACAGGTCCAGTCTCGGCAAGACAAATTGGGCCTAAAGCAGACAATATATTTATAAAAACGACCAAACACAAGAACAGATACAACATTCAACACAGCAACATTTTCCAGCACATGAAGCCATTCCGAGACGTACCTCCAGCTTTTCGCTGAACTCTTCTGAGTAAGGTATGAACCTGCTGTCTGTGTCTCCTTTGTAAAACCAGGAGCAGCGCCGGACTTCTGAAGGCTCCTCTTCCCAGTACACTGCAGTTCTTATCCTGTCGTAAAGCTGCACGTCGTAGCGGCCCCCATCTGTACACACCACTACATTCTCTGGATCTGGCTGAACTGGTGTTGAACAGAAACCAAATAAAGAGATTGAGAACAGGAAATTCTTGCAACGAGATGAGTAACGAAGTGATCAAAAAGGCAGAGCTTTCTTCATTCACCTGAGTTAAAGGTCTCCTCCAGTTTGATGGAGTCGATGATGCTGAAGGGAAACCAGATCTCCTTGGACTCCACTTGCTTGCTGTAGAACCAGTGGGGCTGAACTGGCTCATACACATTGTAGGTATAGGGCATCGTGGGTGGGGCTGAAACCAGGGCACCGGCAGGGTGAACTCCAGGGGGAGGGGCGTGACTCCAAGCGGGAGGAGCCTGGGAATCAACAATAAAAAACAGTCAGAATAATTCTTCCTTCAGTCAACCTACAGTACAGTACCTCTCACCCTCTTCCTCTAGAGCACCTGTCCTCCGTGCGTGTGGAAAGGGCTTCAGCATATCCTACTGGAAAGTGAACAGCACAATTGTTCTACCAGTACAGGATTAAGAATTTAAATCATCAATGTGCCCTGTTTGTATAAACAGGCAATGGGAAATTTAACAGACTAAGGTTATTAATATAAAAGTTATATATAGCAAAACTATGCAAAGCAGAATATTAGCATAAATCTGGCAACTACATTTTTTATTTTAACAATAGTTTTTTTTTAAAAAACAAGTAGACTCATTTCTCCAAAAACAATTTTGATCAAAAGAATACACATACGGGTCAATCATAAACCCATGGAACCTGCTTCCTAATAAATTCGGCATTGTTTTTATAAAAAAAAACTACAAGTGGTACATTTTATAATTGTGTAGATATCTCTTATATATAACAACTCACATAATTACTACTCTATATTCCAAACTAATTAATCACAGTAAAGGTGTACAAACATGGAAAACTAAATTCATTATTTTAAACAGCCAGAAGGTCCTAATATGTTTTCATAATCGCACAAATTGCAGTTTGGTGCTTGAGACTCAGAAAAACTCTGAAAATGTTTATAATTTCTTGAACATTCCTGAATAGTTGCCCTCCTCTTCAGCACCCACTGCCTTACTCCATCTCATGAAAACAACAGGCACGCAAGGCCTCAACTAATGTTCAGTAGTGCAGGGTTGTAATAATTAAAAAGCCCTCATCTGGACAGCCTTAATAACATTTCACAACCAAGTCACTGGAAAGCAAGACTACTAGCGTTAGCATTAATGTCAAGTATTATAAAAATCAACAATCCCTGTCTGACATTAAGACAAAATGTTTTATCAACCAAATGAGTTAAACTTGCATATCATTGCAGTGCATTTTTTTACCCTAAAACTTAAATAACATTAATACCAAGCTATTTTCAATTCCCCCCTGATAAAAAACAGAAGATACACAACTTTGAAAAATAAGCCCTAACATACAGTATATAAAAAGAAAGCCTTCTGGTATTTTTATGGTATGAATTCTATATATTTTGTCCTTGACTATAAAAAAAATTGAGAATGTAAATCCTTAGAATTTCACAATACACATTTCTAAAACAGAATCAAAGTGGTTTCAAAGCAAAAGTCATGAGGGAAAAGCAAACACTGACACACAACAAAATAACCTAATGTTAGCAAACTGCATGATCCCATTTTGTGTGTTGTTATCTGCCTATTGCCGCTAAAATAAAATCAATTCCTTGCATTCGTATTGCATTTCATCCCACTGGGTCTCTAAGCACTTTATCAACGGGGGGCACCCATTTCATCAGCCACTGACATGATCTGCGTGATACACAGGGGCCCCACTACACATTGAATCAGGTGGAGAAGTAAAAAAAAACGTTACTTCACCAATTAAGGGGATAGTTTAGACAGACCCAATTGAGAGATAATATAATAATACTACAAAAACATTAAAAAATAAGAAAAACAATTTCAGTCATCAAGCACACAGGACAGGATATGGTATTATGTCAGCAATAAGCCCTTCAAGTCACGTTCAGCACTACTATATAAGCCTAGTTAATCTGATTTAAACTAGTTTACCACGTTCAGTTCCAATAAACTGGAGTTTAGTCATTTTGCAAAAAAACAAGGAATGAGCTAAAGCAGTACAAAGATGCAACAATATAAGAAGACTGAAGCTTTTTTGATACATTTGATTTTGATATATTATTTTAATTGTACATTTTTTTCCTGCAGGGACATGTATAGTTTAAAAATAAACCACGTAAAAATGCCTCATAGGCTGTTGGGATTCCCCAGGAAGTGAAACATTATCTTGCTACGTTTTAGGTTAAAAAACCTATGAATAAAGAAGTAGTATTTAGTTAATTAAAACTAGTATTTTATGGCATACTGCATAGAAACCCGTCAGCAGGCACTTTAATCTATGCACTGTAATACAGATGCATCACTTGTATGCAGGCAGATCTGTAGACTTGACAGTCCTTCAACATCTTTGGAGCTATCCAGGTCACAGGTAATGTCTCCTAATATCATAGTGACCTAATGACTGTCCCTTGCTCGTGCAACAATATGAAAGACTGGACGAAGCAGTCACCTGTGATGGCGGCGGAGGCGGAGTCTGGAATGTCTGAGAGGGCGGGGCAGTAGGAGGAGCCTGCAGGAAAGCTGCCTGCTGAAGCTGCTGGGCCTGGCCTTGCTGCAGCTGGGGTGGAGCCAGATAGGGGTTGGCCCGGCTGCTCAAGGGAGTGTGGCGGTAGGGGTTGTATCCCGCCGGCTGAGCCTGTCCACTAGGTGGGGCTACGCTGCTCGGCGGTAGGGTGTACCCTGCCTGAGGGCCCGGAAAAGCTGCATTTCCAAACTGAGAAACCGGGGGCTGAGCGAAGTTTGACGGAGAGGCCGAGGTGGTGGGGTACACATTTTGTCCTGGGCAGACGGAAGGCAGAGAAACAGCCGGCCTCACTGAGGTCACTGTCCCTGCCGAAGATGCTGGAGAAGCACACTGCTGTCCTATCGAGGCAAAAGGATCACTGCTGGTTGTGGATTTAGAAAAGTAGCTGAAGGTAGGTGGGTGGTCTGCATTTTCTGATGTCTGGCCAAGGAAACTGTCCTCTTCTCCGACATCCGCAGAATCCTCTGTTTAAAAGAAAAGGCACAGAAACATTAGGCCAAGAACACAGACTTGGCAAGCCCAATGAGCTACATAATGCACCAAACCTTTTCAGTAAATCCCAGAGTTTAAGTGTAACTTACTCTCCAGACGAGCAAGGACAACAAGGCAAAATAGAATTACAGGAGATGACCTACTTCATCCACGACGAAGTGTAGCACCTACCTGGATGATACACTACAGTCATCACCACCCCTACCCTCTACACAGCACAACAGGTGAAGTGGGAAACTCCTTCACCTGCTCAGTGAACTTCATGCAGGCCCAATTAGACAGGCAAGCCTGGAGCAAAGTCTAGGTAGAACAAAAGGGTTTACACCCCAACTACTCTCATGAAAAGTGCCATGGGATCTTCACTAGCCCATTGAAATTCCAACCGGTCATACCCAAGCCCAGACAAAAAAAACCCGCCATAACCTGAAATTATGGTTGTTTTCACATTTTGGAAAGGTCAACTTTTTCAAGAAAACAGAACTGCCAAGTTTAGACCTCTGATCTAGCTGTTCTGGAATGATCATTTCGTACACTCCCCTTAAGGTGCGTTACATACAGTAGGAAACTGTTGCAAGGAGCTGATTAAGGAATCCTCTGTGAGTTGCAGTACACTGCAATTCTCTCACACATGCTAGATGACAGGGCACAAGCCAGGACATGACACATGAGCAGGAAATGGAGCTTCATACCCACCTCCATCCATTGCTTCAACTCACAAAAACAGCATTTACACCTACTTTGGATCCTGACCCACAGCTGAAGAGCCCATGTGTTACAATGATTATCATTCTGTCCAATCAACTCTTTTTTGCCACACTAAACTACTTTCTATGTTTTTCACATTTAATCACAATAATACTATTATCTGTAAGCTTAAGCTTCCAAAGACTACGATTAAGCATCAAATTTCATAATTCCTCCTCACCTCTTTATGAAAAGAATGGACACATAGCTAGAGAGAGTAAAAGGTCTAAAAACTAGTCCAGTTTAATGCAAGACTGCTTGCTGTTGACTAGATTATGACTGAGACACTGCTGCTGAATCGCTATTGTGACATCAGTTAGATGGCACCAGCAGGCTTACTATGATGTCATTACGACAGAATCTGAAAATATTTTACTTCTTTATTCATAGGTTTTGCAACCTAAAAGTGGAATGAAAGTGGAACGTAGCAAGATAATATTCCACTTCCTGAGGAATCCCAACAGCCTATCAGGCATTTTTACTTGGTATATTTTTAAACTATACATGTCCCTGCAGAAAAACTAAAATAATATATCAAAATAATAAATAAAAGCTGTAGAAACACAAATACTCCTCTTATAATAACTAACAAAGATGCATGGCACTCCATGCTCAGAGTTCATGCATGTTAACCAGTAGTAATCAGTTCAACAGCAACACTCACTCTGGTATTCTCTTCATACTTTTACAGCCAGGGCTACAGATCCAAATATAACGGTTAATTGGAAATGTTCTTGGCTATGACTTCAAAGTAATTCATGCAGCAAAAAATCTTATCAAGCGACAGATGGTGTTCAGCATGGAACTTCATGTTTGAAGACAACAAAACATAAAAAGGAAAAGAAACAACTACAAAACAGAACAAATACTAAAATTAGGCTCAACCTAAGTTGCTTCCCACACTAAATTAGGACCTAGTGACAAAGATCTTGGGTAAATTTAAGCTGGCAGCTTTTGATATGGTGCAACCTCCCTGTTCTGTAGCACTGGGCATTTCTTCAAATAGTAGGTTAATTCCATGCTGAAAAGAGAAGAAAGAAAACACAATGTTTCGACCGTGGAGCCTTCTTCAGGTGTGAGGATGAGGAGGTTGCTCACACCCGAAGAAGGCTCAATGGCCAGAATGTTGTGTTTTCTTTCTTCACTTTTCAGCATGGAATAAACCTATTACTTGTTCCTTTGCAGCCTACGCATGCTGACACAGCTACCCACCTGAACTATTTCTTCAAATATATGTATACAGTATGTATTTTCCAGAATGATCTCTGAAAGACTTAATTTAACAGACCACCTATTTGCGGTTCACAGTTATACTGTTACAGGTCTTTATAAATTGATTAAATGGTTACCTATAAGGGCACGTCTAGTAAAAAGCATACTTAATACTCAGTTTCACTGCTTTAAAGATAACACATAATCAGAAAATATATCTGTAACCATTGTGTAATGTACACTTTATTAAAGAAATACTCAAATGAGGATGCAATTATAACATTTAAAAGGCAGGAAGCTTAGCTGATCACAGCTTAACTGTATGCTTGCTGATATGATAATGACAACTGAGACAACAACTAATCTCGCCCTCTTATACTACATAATGCCTGTTTACTCCAACACGACGTCGGTGAGGTGGCCAGTTTATCTTTGTGCCGGGCACTCTTCTAAATGTCACACTGACAGATTTTTCGTTTTCTAACAAAAAAGTTCATTTAATTCTGACCTTGCCATGATCGTTAATAGCAATAAAATATATTTCTAGTTTGATCCAATTAAAACGTAGCGAATTTTAAAGCTGTCTAGCCTCACACACACAAATATCTTTAAATGTTGGGATTTTGAAAGTAAATAGAGCGCTATCAATACAATCGTATCGAGTATCGATCGATCATAGCTATTTACAGTAATTCATGACGGTTGGTGATGATCAACATTGTTAAGTTATTAATTAAAAAAATACTTAGGCAAATCAAAGTTTAGATCTACTTTTATAACACACTTCAAAGTGAAACGGCGTTGTGGCCTTGGCGTGTTGGTCTTTTAAAATCAAATGTAATCAATGAACACCGTAAAACTGAAACGTAATTGATAACCCTGCTTGTTCACGATATCAACAGGGACACTAATACGATTTTCGCACCGAACTGCATAAAAACTTCAAACAACCACAACAGCATTTTTGTGCTCACTCGAAACAACTGAAAAGCACAGCTGGCAGTTTTTTAATCGTCAGGTTAAATAAAGAGGCAGGAATAGACGGGACTATTTAGATTAATAATACTGCACCCGATTACTTCTCCAGTCTGTGGTACATTACCTCCCGAAAGCACCGCAGGCGCGGTGGCTTGACTGACAGGAATAAACGGTACGCTGAAGTTAAACTCCGGAGCCGTGGAGAAAAGCAGATTTGTGCTGGAACTGCTGTTCTGCTTCTTCTCAGCCATTTTCAGACAGCAATTACACGTATCCTACCAGCTTCAGTTCTACGGACCGGATCTGGGGTAAAAGGTCGAGGTACGTCACACACAGCTGATCCGCTCATTGAGTAGCTTGCCACTAGTATCTTTGCCAGTAACCAAGATGGAAATCAACAGCTCTGAAGATGGTTCAAAACCAGCTAACAAGCAAAGTTGCAAAAAAAAAATCAAATATACTGTTAAACAGGAAACGTTAAGGTTGTAATGGCATTTTGCATTTCTTTTATTAATTAAATTGTATAATTAACAGACTATCACTTAATAATTATTATGAATGCAAGCATAACATAATTACAATTCAGAAAAATAGGAATTCCCTCATAAAACAGAATTTTAGACCGGTATTGGATGGCATAACAGGATTTAGCATTATTTATCAAATAAAGTATTGATTTGTAGTGGTTTTAGTGATATGAATATAGTCATACCAAATTTCAATACGACATAACTGCATGAAACTGATATTCCAAAATCCTGAAACTACAGACAGTATTGTAGCAGGTCTATGCATAAGCTGTGGGGTTATCCATAAACTGTGGGCAGCCAGTTGATGTTTATAATTGTAGAATTCTTTGTAGCAGGTCTAACACCTGTTCTTAAGACTAAAGCACATTTGTCTGGCAGGCCTTTAGTCTCACTATGTAACAAGCCAGTTTTTGTACCTCCTACAAAGTTGTGTGGAAATGGTATATGGACTCTTTTACCTCACACAGAGCTGAACCTTATCGATTCGAGGAAAGAGCAACACTAAGCACTAAGTGTTGCTGTTCAGGGAAAGCTCAGCGTTCCTAAAAAAATATCTCAAGCTTTTATTTGCTATGTAGCACTTTTCTGTTGGTTGTAAGAGGTGTTGTTTGAGATGCACAGCGCAGTCCCCTCTCTCCATTTTTTAAATCATTTTCTGGTGCTTTTGATTGGAAATCAAATGGTAATGGAAATCACAGTCATCTTCTCAAATGCACATCTGTCTTCCAACTGACAAAAAAATAATTCAAGAAGGCATCTGTGGCAGAGTGCATAGGCAGCAAAGGAACAAGTTAAGGTTTATTCCATGCTGAAAAGAGAAGAAAAGAAACACACTGTTTCGGCTGTAGAGTCTTCTTCAGGTTGTCTTTTCAAAAGACAACCTTTTCAAAACAAAAAGGATTCTATTTATATGCCTGATATCCCTAGAAATAAAGCTAACACAGGGCAAATTCTTTTCTTCAAAGCCTCAAAGCACCTAAGTATGGTGAGGCTGTGGAAGGTAATTTCCTTATCATTGTACTATTCTCTAACATATATAATGCTTTTTTATTATTCTAACAGATGAATGTTCGAAATAAAAGCAGAGGTCCCCACTTTAGGCATTTATGGACAGTTATATCTTCTTTAGCAAATGGTTTAAATGTATGAATGTATGGCAGTTTAAACATTCTATATTTGGGAGTAAATTTCATCACGGGAAAATAGTTCAAGGAGCTCAAACAATGTTGAAAGTTCAACGTGGAAAACAAAGAAAAACGTGTTAAAGTTAAAGTCTCCCAGCATGAAGACGCCCACAGTAAAAATGGCGTCAAAGCGGTTTCAGTAGGTCTCTGACGCAATACTTGCGGCAAAGTTCAGAGGTTCATCTCTGGTGACGTAAATTTCCCGCCATTGTGAATTGTCCCTTGGAGCTGCGTGAGTTTCTGAATCTGGTTCCTGTAGTGAAGAATTGTATTTTCAAATTTACTTTTCTCGCGCTCCAAGCAATCAACTACAGTTTAAAGCAAGCAAAGATGCCTTCTGCTCTAGACTGGATTAACAGCCCTTTAAGCGTTGTGCAGGGATTTTTTGGTAAGTGGATCTTTTTGCAACGATGCGTTTTATGCAGTTTCTCAGCAAATTGCGATCCAATTTGAAATGCATGTAGCCTATTCACATACCGAGTTTATGTCATATAACAGTAGTTTAATATCTATCTTCAACCGCAGAAAGTAGTGCTACAATTTGTTTACTGTCAAAAAGTCACGGGAAAAGTTATGGTTCCTGTTTCTTAAACTTTCACAGTACGCGAAATGTGTCCAGAAATCGAATGTACATTCTTCAATATTATAGTATGTCAATATTATAAGAACCTAGGAAACAAGATCTACTGATATATGATCTGATGCTGGATGTTGGTAAAGGATAATTTTGGTTGCTTTAACCCGTACTAGAGAGATTTAAACCGCGGATAGAGAATCTGATTTTGCCTATTTTATAGATGTTTAAAAAAGTAACTATATATGCTCAGGATGTTGTCTATAACTATTTCTTTCTGTTGTGTGGCTTCCTATGTTTGATCATGTTCGCCACTCACTGTTGTCACATGTTGCTGGACTCTTCTGAGCCTCAGGCGTGGTGTAAACAGTGCAAATCGAAACTAGGGGATTAGATGCATTTCATCCGGAGAAGCACGGTCATAGAGTGCGAGAAACAAAATCCCTTTCGGACATGGATTTTAGCCTCGTTGCAGGAATTTGGCAAAGCTAAATGACTGAATTGATTTAATTGCACGAATTAAGTGCTCGCTTTGGATCGGGATAGTTTATCTACCCCGATCGCTGTACTACCGCGGAGCAACTACTGAGATTTTTTAATTAATAGCATAAGATAAAAAAAATACGTGTTTTAAAAAAAAACAAGAAACCTGTAACGCCCTCCCTTTTCCAACTTTTACGTTAATTATTCGATTTGTATAATATCACTGTTAACTTTTCGTTTTAACGATAGAATAATGTACTGTAAATTAGATCATTACTTTTTCATTAACGTATTAAGTATAGATCAACTAAAAAAGTATGACTCTTTGAAGGTGGTCACAGCTCATTAACCCAGATGTTTGTGTTTAATGAGTAGGCTCAATTCCATGTAAAAGCAACCCCTAACTGAAAGCAATTTATATATTTGGGCGGTAGGAGTTTTCCACTACATCAGGTAGCAAAAATCTTAACTAAATATTTTTCCACAAGTTTTGCATTTCGAGACGAATGGGTGCACCTCTTATAACAGAATGGGTAATCGGTGCACCTCTCCTCAATCTAGTTCAGTGCTCTAGTTCACTCTCCGCGTTCTTGCAGCTCAGACCCCCAATCCTGAATGGGAGAAGAAAGTGGTGGAGTATTTTAAAGAGAAGCTAAAAGTGAATGATGCAGCAAACTGGGTAAGTCTGAGTTTGTCCTCTTACCGAAAGGATCAAAAACAATGATATTTAGATTTGAAACCTCCATATATAATTGTAACTATTACAGTACATACTGTACTTGCTCGCTTTTCTACTTATCCTGCATGTGTATTGGGGCTGCCTGGGTATAATAACCCAATATAATAGAGTGTCGCTTAGTTGGATACAGCACTGTGCTGATGCTGTGGAATTGTAAATAAATGCATACATGCTGACGTGTAGTTAATTTCTCTGTTGTTCCATGTGTGCTTGCCACAAGCAATGGACAATCCAATGGATCACACACTAACTAATAAGGTTAAGTGTAACCTAACAGCTATGAATAGTGCTGTTTTGTTTTACCAGGTTCCTTCTTTAAATGATGTTCCTCTACACTACCTGAAGCCTGACAGTCTGGTCAAGTTCCGGTGTATGGTGCAGGACATGTTTGATCCGGAGTTCTACATGGGAGTGTACGAAACCGTTGACCCCGTTTCGAAAGAACGAGTGAGTACCCAGCCTGTCTCTTCTGCCTTCCCATCGTTTGGTGTCATCACCCTTCGCGGCTGCTGTGGACATTACTGTCGTAAGGGGGGTTTTTGTTTGGTTCGCTGCATCCTGTTTCACAGGATGGCAAGTCTGAAATGCTACTGAGAGGAATTCTTTCCTTTCATGATTGCGGGTCTCTTCATAGTTGTCACTATAATAAATAAAATGCTGGATGAAAACATCAGAGTAATTTGCTTACGTATAAAAATAAAGCAGTCTTTAACACTGGAAGTTGTGAGTATTTTTGGTTTGATGAATTCACAATCAGAATTGTTGCATTCCTTAATTGATGACTGCCAGGCAATAGTTGACTATCGCTCTGCCATCTTCTCTGTGCTTTTGTACCATCGTTCACTTGCATATATCCATCTGCTGTGATTCGTAAGGAAAATAGCTTTTCAGCCTCTTAAGACTTAAACATGATTCGTGATACTTGCAAAACTGCTGTTTTGTTTCGGCATGGCTTTCTGCCATGTGACCATCACACAGCGACTCCTATTTTAACTGGTGCCTTGTTGTTTCTTGCAGATGTTGCGATTTGGAAAATACAGAGACATTGCAGAATGTGGGGTAAGTGATGATCCTTTTTTCTACATGTATATTAAGCTGTAGAGCCTTGCAGCAATAACAGGTTAGGCCAGCAGACACTGTGTAGGACGGTTTCTGTATCAATGCAGTGCATGTGTTTGCACCATGGAATCAGGTGGTTAGGAGAATGCAGTGCTGCTACACGTGATGGAAGCCATTTTACTCCCTGGACTTTGGCACCCTGTAAAAGACTGAGAAATCCCTGACAACCGTACTTTGGTAAAACACAACAAGGTTTAAACTGAGCAACTTGCTTGATAACGACAGACCTCAGGAAGGTCACAGAACAAAAGACCTTGGTACAAAGCTAACAGGCAGGTTCATGGTCTGTAAAATGGATGAGAGAGCCTAACTCTCTGACCCAACCAGCTGGAGGCCAGTCTGACTATATTAAACGGTGAAAAGGTTTCACCAACCATCAGAAACCAATGCACATTAGCCACAACCACATGGTTTGGGTGTGGAGGTCTTATAAACTTCACGTAGTTTAGTTTGAGATGAAATATACAAAATGTCACAGTTAAGAATAGTAATTCAAGAATAAAAAAATATGAATAAAAGGCTTTCATTTGGCATATCTTTAAGAAACCTTTTGGTTACTGTTTGCTTTATAAAGGTACCATGAATATGTGCCTGAACCCTTCAAGGGTAAAAATGTAAGTTCATAAGATTATGATGTTTCTAATGGATGTGTTTTTATATGACCATTTATTCATTAAAAAGGCTAAGTCATGGACCAGGGTTTCTTCCTACATCAATTTTGTTTGAAGAGTGTCTATGTGGGAGTAAATAGAGTGTTATTCTGGATACGGTTTTCCATTAGGGGGCAGCAGAACTACATTGCTATCTCTGCATTTAATCCCAGAATGTACTCACTGTTAAAAAGCTGATAACTTCTCTTTCTAATTTGAATGCTTTTAGCCTCAGCAGGAAGTCGACCTGAACTCGAACAAGAGTGTAACTCTGGAGAGACAAACCTTCTATTGTGTGCCTATTCCTGGAGAGTCCCCTTGGGTGAAAGAGATATCCTTTCATTTGTTTTTTGAAAATATGATATAGGGTTAGATTTGCCGATTGATCACACTTGGCATTTTTGGATCTGAGAAAGCCAGAATATCAGAACTGTCTGCCACTCATTTGCTGAACAGATTTTAAAGTCGGTTGGAGAGCATTTAAACATCAACTAATGAAATGTCCATTTGATAAAGAATGTAGGTGCTTCAACTACTTGCCAAGCGTCGACTCAAAATTGTAAAGAATCGTGAAAGAAAGGGTAACAAGCATAAATCTTGTGATAGAGGTAATATGCCAACTCAGATGTTTTTATTTAAAACTCATTCAGTATTTTTTAAAGCTCTGTGGAAGAGAGCCCCACCTGTAAATGGTAAAAGTCTGCAGAAGAGAGAACTCAGCAGTGTGAACATTCACAAGTCTTGATAGTTTTGAGTCAGTCAACAGCAAAACTCAAGTTGTTAATGTGTGCTGGAGGTTAAGGAGTGGCAAAACAATTTAGAATGTTTCTGTTAGCATGCAAAATCTTTGTTGATTCAGAGACTAGCCACGCACGTTCTGTGTAATTTAGATGGCTCTGGTCTGACTCTGCTAGGCTGGTTTGCACTGTAATTGATCTTAACTTTGTCGTGCACACCTACGCCTGTGAAAGTCAGGCCCGTGTCAGTCCTTCAACATCTTACACACCCTGCCGTCACAAGCGCAGCTATGAGGAGGACGAAGATATGGACATGCAGCCTTCCAAACAAAAAGACCAGCTTTCAGGTATCTCAAGCTCTTACATCTAAAGAGAAGGCAAAGAGCAAGGCTTCTGTTTATAGCCGTGAATTGTAATTTTGACTCTGTTACCTTGGAGCTCAGAGCTTTTGCTTCGTTCTAATTTTTTTCGGTCCACCCAGAAATTGTTCGGTATTTAGAAACAAAGTCTACTCATTATAGTGTTAGAATGGAACTAGCAAATCACAGTTTGTCCTAGGTAGAAGGTTAAAGGAGTTGGCTTCCCCCTTTTCAGGACCGCCAGGGGTTGCTGAATCCCAGACCAGTGGAGACTCCAAGCGTCTGGAGACAGAAGCTCCATCCAGCCAGAGCAACTCTCTGCCTGGTTGCTCCTCCCCCCTTGACCTCAACTTCCCTCTTCCAGGAGAGAAGGGACCAGCCTGTCTTGTCAAGGTAATACCCTGACATGATCAGCACTCTTTAACTTTAGCTCTGTAGTTTTTTTTTTTGTCCATTCTGCTGTAGGAGGTGTGCCATAACAATTGCAGCAAAAAACAACTTTGCAGCGACAAAACTGTATCCATTGCCATGATTAACTCGAAATATTTTAAACAGAACTAATCCAAATCATGCTGTTACTGCGTTGTAATCAAAGTGTTACTTTTCAACGAGCTTGAACATTTATGTGACTAACTGAGAAAGCTGTGTAGTAAAATATTTCTTCAGAAAGAAAGACAAAATACCCCATCTTTATTTTTGTGTATTGTAAAGAAGCGTAGTAGGATACGAGTGTCCTTAAAAATGAAACACTGCTTGCACAGCCTGTAGCTCATGTGGCCTCTTTCTGTCAGATGTACGAGGACTGGGAGAGTGTCAAGGTAAACGACATGCTGGAAGTGTATGGAATCCTGTCAGTAGACCCAGTGCTGAGTGTACTGAATGAGGAAAGGTGAGGAATTGTTACATTTTGTGAATAGTTGTTGATTTGGAATGGATCACCAATATAAAAAAAAAATACTTACCATTTCTTCAGTGTAATGGGGTGCTAATACGTGGGTGAGTGGATGACCCCTACAAAGTTGTGGGCAAGACAGTCCCCCCCACCTCAATTGGCAGCATTTGAGTTTTACAGAATATAACTTACCGTGGTCTGGATGCAGGAAGGCTCAGTTACTTTTCTACGAAACAGGTCACAAACCTGTAATTAAATTATTCCTGTGATGTGAAGTAAGGGAAAAAGAAGCATTGTCATTGTCACGTCCTGCAGGGACGGTAGCTCCTCGTTCTTGGACACTATGGATTGCACAGAGAGCGCCGAGGAGCAGAAGGTCCGCAGTCCACCCGCCTCCCTGGTGCCCCGGCTGCACGTGCTTCTGGTGCACAAACTGGAACACAACAACCCCCTGCTGCCCCAGCTAGCCGACCAGAGCTGTGAGTCTGCAGTAGGGTGTGAGGACCCAGGAACACATGTACAGTAGGGGGGAACGTAGTTTTCAAAAGCTTTGTGCTTGATCTCTGCATGTAGTGATCAGCTTATTAGATGCATAGTTTGAGATCTCAGGCTCACTAATTCATTGAGTGCAATTGTTTTTAAAGTGTACTCATTTGTCACTCCTTTTACTAAGTGTGTTGGACTATCAAGAGGAAGTTAAGATGCTCGAAGTGAGCTAATTAATATGCATGTTAATTAGTAGCAATTTGTTTGAATCTAATTCTTACATCTGTCGTGAAATGGGTAGTTTTACGTTTTGCGGCTCATGTAATGTGTGCATCCTTGCATTTCAGCTAGGAATCAGATTGTCGCCATCTGGCAGGGTGCTTTGGTGCAGGATGGGCATCATAAAGAATCGTGTTTTCTCACTATCGTGCAGTTGTGTCCAGTTTCCTAAGTGAAGTGACGTCGGTGAGGGCTGAACTGCTGGGGTACTTCACCCATGTGCTCCTGGGAGACAGTCTGGCGGCGGAGTACCTCATCCTGCATCTCATTTCCACTGTGTGAGTCACTGGGGGAAATGTGTCCTTAATATACCTCATCTAAGGCATGAGCCCGCAATCCTTGTATTGTGTGTGAAATGCTGATATTGTGGTAAAGCTTTGGCAGTTTTGAAGAGGCTTATTACAAATCACAAAAACTATTCTGAAAGGAGGAAGAAAGTGCAAGCTGTACGCACAGTATTTTTTTAAATAAAATGGGATTAATAGTCCAAGAATAGCAGTTTTTAAATTTATTTTAGAGAAGTTTGTTAAAGGGGAATTGCACTCAATATTTCTCAAAACTACATTATTATGTTTTGGGAACAGACTAAATTCATTGATGTTGCAGAATAAAAATACAAATTTTGAATTAAGCACAACATTGTGAACTTTGTGAAAGTACTGTAAGTCGGCATGTTCCAAATTCGCGTTCAAGTTCCTAAGAATTGCTATGCATAACTAATGTCACCGTAATGACTAATGTACCACGTTGTGCGAGCGGATATCTACAAGTTGTGCAGCAGAGTTTTCACCGTAGAAATGTTGCAACATGATCTGCATGCAGAGTTAACAAGTAATTGGTATTTGTAGGCAAAACCATCGCAAGGTCAAGAGCAATATTTCTATTGGATGCAAAGAAATGTATTCTCAAGTCTGTTTCTTTACAGTGTTATAAGGCTACATCACATTGCCTGAAGTTTTGTTGCCACATTCTGAACTGTAGTACATGCCGCTGCACATACCTAGAAATGTAGTCTATTTTGTGATGTATAAATTGGAGGTCTTACAAGTTACTGTGTACATTTTACTTTAAATGTTTGAAAAGCACTCATCAACGCTGATGCTTTCTAACTCCGAAAAAAAATAGCATTACGTTATCTATCAGTTACTATCTCCTGAGCAGGTTAATGTACCTTTGTGTACCTCAAGTGAGTGTGGTATTTTTGTTAAAACTATTGTTGCATTCTGTACAACTCGGGCAACCTAAAAGACGAGAAAAAATAATGTTTTGGCCATGTTCTCCTCGCTGCAGGTATGCAAGACGTGATGTCCTGCCCCTGGGGAAATTCACACTGAATCTGAGTGGCTGTCCCCGCAACACTGCCTACACAGAGAATCTGTATCGCGTTATACAGAATATCGTTCCATCTGTGAGTGCAGCTTTCCTGGAGGTTACAATTTGGTCAAATACACCACAGAGTGTTTTGTCTTTCGAACTTCTCTAATGTGCTAGTTTGTCAGTTTTTCTGATGATGGAAGGGATGCGCGTTACTAAGGATGACTCAATGTAAGAGACCATAAGTGCAGCTCTTCTTACACAGGACTTGCAAGCAGGGCTTACAAAGCTGGTCCTTAGAAGGAGCTTAGGAACGTAAGGGACCAGTGTTATGGAGCACTTGGCTGATGGGGAGAAGATGGTTAATTTAACCGTGTTTAAAAACCTGATGAGTACTGGGGTAGAGAAGACTGGCCTGGGTAAGTATGTTCAAACCACACTGCTCCCAGTGGAATTCTGTCTTTATTTTGTTTTCTGTTTTATTTCCAGTCTTATCTCCTCGGCATGAGTCTGCACAACATGAACAGCTTGCGGTTGGTTCCACAGAAGGACTACACAGCCAACCGGCTGGTGAGCAGTGTCCTGCAGCTGGCCCGCAACACCAGTCTCTTCTTGGATGAGACGGTGCTGGAACAGGGACAGCTGGACACCGCAGGTGACCCCGGCTGCTCTAGAGCTTCATTTCCTGTGAACTCTTGACAAAATGTCATTGAACTGACATAACAGTTACACAATGGGATAGGTCAGCCTTATTTGTGAAATGGTTTCATTTTCCAAGAAATGTTTCTTGGTAAACCTCCTAAACAAACTCTCACTCTAGCCCAAAACTGTCATTCTTGCAATCAATATTCAGGTGCTTTTAGGACTATGTATTTCATTTTGTCAAGTTTGTGTGTGATTGCTGTATTATAGTACAATATATAATTACTCCATAATTTTAGCCATTCCCTTTCAAGTTATATTTAGAGTGTGGGATCCAACCATATACTGCAAGGTGATAAGCAGTCTTTAGTACATTTGTCTGCAGTATAGAAATCAAAATTTGCAATTCTATCCTGGATGGTTAGAAACTCTACAATTAATCCTGTTTTATGGAGATGGCTGCTAAAAGCAATCAGCAGCTATGCTTCTAGATGGTGGTGATGTTCCTCACCTTCCAATGCTCTAAATTGTGGTTTCTGTCTCTAGGTGTGCGGAATATCACTGCCCTCGGTAACCTGATCTCGTGGCAGAAGGTTGATTACGACTTCAACTACCACCGGATGGAATTCCCCTGCAATATTAATGTGTTGATCACATCAGAAGGCAGATCACTTCTACCGGTATGGACAAAAGCCTCTTTGACACAGATTGACGTGAAGAAGAGAATACACCATGTTGGAATTCAAGCTGATTGCATCCTTCAGCTGACTTGCGTAAGGCAGGCATGAGATAATTGCTGGAGGCAGAACCAAATGGGTTTTCTTTTAATGCCAAGTGATGGCATTAGAAATTGTTACTGGTTGCAAGATTGTTTTAATACTGCTTATTATCAATACAAAGCTGAGGTCTGAGCACTTGCATTCTAAACTGGAGCCCAAGCGAGAGAGCCGCTCATGAGCATATTCATACATTGAACCTAAGTTAAATTGTCCAGCTACATGGGTTCGATGTGGCTTCCAAACTTTCAACTCTGGAATTTAGAAAAGGTTGCTTCTTTTTGTAACAGTCTTTAAATTGATTCTGGACACTCTAGATTTAAATTGTAAATTGTAATTTGTAATTTTAAATTTAAATTGTAAAACATGGTTTTCTGTGAGTATGGGAAATTGCTCACAAAAGTGCGTTTTTCTGCTGCGAGTTCAGTATAGCTCAGCCCTCATGGACAATATTGCCACTGCTGAAACTGTTGTCACCCCACAGGCCGACTGCCTGGTCCATCTCCAGCCTCAGCTGAACCCCCCCAACATGCAGGAGTACCTGAGCGCTTTGCAGGTGTCTCTCCTTCCCTCCCTGCTCAACAAGTTCCGGGTCTACCTGAGCCTGCTCAGGACAATGGAGTACAGCATCTCCGAGGAGGTGACAAAGGTGAGTTGCTCTCCACTCATGGAGATGGAAGCTAAAGGAACAGGTGCTGCTACTTTTGATCAAAGGATAAAAGTGGCTATTTGTAGTGTAAGGTGATTAGAAAAACAAACCTATGCAAATTAGTATCACCAATCCAGTTGTAACAAAGAAATCTGTCTATTGGCGAACCCTAGCATGAAGAGAACTACGTCATAGTGTCCACATTGGGTTTCTAAGTCCCTGACATGCCACATTAAGGAATGTTACCATTATTTTAGGTTTAAGCTCTGCCAGCACTAATGTGTGTATCGGAAGATAACAGCAAGGTCTTCCAAATAAGGACCTAAATAAAACAAGCGTAAAAATGTAAGGAGAATGTGTTTCTGGTATGAAGAAAAAATCATTACAATTTACATGTAATTGTTTAATGATAATTTAAATTATATTGTATATATCATACTTTATATTCAGTAATTGAAGAATTCACATTATTCAGTTGAAAGTGAGCAAACTGTTCTAAGGGAACTGCATTACAAAAGTTCTGGTTTTGACATGTCTTAATCACTGTAACAAAATCATTTAGCTCCTATGAGCTATATTTAATTATAATTACATAGTTCACTGTACTTATAACATGACTAGAACCAATCAATTTATACTCAGCTATCATAAATTACAATGATCTGTCTTAAAATCATACTCCCTGTCTACATCAATACAAATATCAAAAGAGTAATAAAATATACATGTATGATCTAACTACACTAATTGGAAAACTTTTCATGACTGACAGTGATTTCCCCCACGTTCTGAAACACAGTTCATTTGGCTGAAAGTGAAAACATTTTGTTATGGTGCAAGAAAATTGCAACTAATTTTCCTGTCAGTTTCAATTCCTATTAGCCTATGCTAACAGCTTTGGATTAAGTCCAAGTCTGCTCATTGCTTGCCAAAATCTGGGAAGGTGACACACAGAAACAGAAGACAAAGCATTCAAACCTTTAGCATTTTAATAAACAGGCTTTCTGAAACTTAGTGAAAAAATCAAATCAGTGAGGAAGCTTACTTGGAGTCTGAGACTTTAAATGCATGATTACATTCATTGTGGATTTAAACAAATTTAAAAAGATATACAAAGGTATACTTGCCTGTATTTGAATATGATTGACTAAAAATAAAACATTAAGGGTTTAATTAGAATGTTCACCTATTGGGAGCTAATTCCTGCTATTGGTAATTAATTGAAATGAAACATTATTCTCAAGTATATATACTGGGACTGCATAACGTGTGACCATTGTTTCTATGGGAAAAAATCTTAAATTTACCTTTAAACTTACCAATTTAACTTTCAGCTGACACCCGAGTTGTCATCACACTTCAGTGGAGATTGTAATAAATGCAATGCTAGTGATCCCAAAGTCCTGAAGTTATTTTTCCCTGCAGGCAGTGGAGGATGACTTTGTTGAAATGCGCAAAAATGACCCCCAAAGCATCTCTGGCGAAGACCTTCACAGATTGCTCGTTGTTGCCAGGTATGTGTTGAGGTTCTGTAGCGTTTTTTTGTCTTAATATCTCAGTTTCTTTTACCTTAACTTTGTAATGCTCTGTGGTAGAGAGTGCCAGGTTTGAGTTAAGCATATCAGCCCTGAGTAACACTTGGCTGCCTGTGCAAGAGGTCTCAGATCAGTAGTTTTCAGCTGCCTTATAAGATGGTCTGCACTGTAGCTGAACATGTTTAAAACTTGCCTGCTTTTTGAGAATCATTCAAAGAAAGTGCTCAGGTAAAGCTCCGATGTGTTTAACAGGTGGCATAAAGCATGCAGTATTCTGTAACAGGTTGGGATATGCTTGGATGTTGATGCTGATGACGTCCATAAACTTGAGTCTTTAGTAAAGACTGAATTTACTGTTCACTTTTTTTGTTACACTGCCGTTGATCAGGGTTTGTTTGATTCCCCCTCTACAGGCTGCTGTCTCTCAGCGTGGGGCAGACCACACTCTCCCGGGAGAGGTGGACAAGGGCAAAACACCTTGAATCTCTGAGAAAAAACAGGACTGAGCAACAGAAGTGTGTGAACGGGAACGAGCCTTAAACGCCCAAGCTACTCTGTTCACCGCAGAAGCCTGAACTCTCCTGGCCCTGGGGCGAGTAGAGAATAGCCCTGGTTGGGCACAGGAATGCCAAGGAAAAGCACTGACCATGGAGCTTGGTGAAATTGTTTAAAATTTATACCAAAACCATTTTTTTCCCTGAGAGAATATTATTATGGTTCGTAATCTTGTTATATGTAATTAACTCAATGTCTGTTAAGTAAAATAATTCTGGGTTCTTTTTGTAAGATGGGAAAACTGTACTGTTATCTGTCCAATAATCTCACCCCACACCTCGTTACAAATAGGTTTTTATTTGGATGTATTAAAGAATTCAGTTTTGTATAGTTTAGTGTTCCCTGGATGGTATTTGTTGCTTTTCGGTCTTATTACACCCCTGAATTACAGATAAGGTGTTTTTTGAGGCTAGGACAGACTTTCCAGTGGTGTCACTGCCAGGTCGACATCTTGCTGCTGAAAGGTGCCCGGTACACAGGAAATGAAGCCCAGTAAACATCAGGGCTCTTAAATGAAATATTCCTTCTTTTAGTATCTGTTTTATTTTTCGCTTTTTATAAAATAACATTTGAGGGCCAGAAAAAAGTATGCTACAACCTGAATATTTACTTTTATTTTCAAAAAATCATTTTAAAAACAAAAAAATATTCTAGCTGCCTAAGACATTTTATACAAATGCGTAAGACCAGCCTGTCATTTCTGTCCAGGTTCAAATGTCTTGTTTGGTAGCTTTTACAAATTCACAGAGGCTAATGCATCCGCACCATTCCTGTGCCTCTGTAAAGTGATCTGTACACTCACCTCTGCAGTCCAGTGCCTTACATTTGGTCTTCACGTCAGACACTTTTAGCTGTGTTGCCAGCCGTAGAGTTTCAGGAAGGCCATTTGTTAAAATCCCTTCAGCCTTCAGCTGTGCTTGAGACATTGTATTTCAGATTAGTTCTTCCTTCCCAAAATACAGGTCTCATTCACCCACCTTTTATTGATGGGTTTCTTCATGCACATGCCCAGACTCTTCTTATGAAGTGCCTTCTCAGGTTCTATCTTAAATGTTAATTTCCCTGGTTGTATACTGTATGAAGTCTTAACTGCTACTAGTTTCACCCTAGCCTTTATTTCACTGCAGCCTTAAGTGCAAGCTTTATTATAGTTACTAGCCACAGGATACAAACTGAAAGATGCCAACTGCTCAGCTGTTAATTATAATTCTCACTATGTTAAGTTAGGCTTTTGCTTAAACTGTCTTATAATGTAATTTTATTGTGGATCCAGTAGGGATTGAAGACAAAGGATTTTCTTTAGTGCTGGATGAGTTATAATTTAATATGCACACGTTTTTGTTTGTACTGCTGCATCTTTACTGTTTTGCAAGTATGATACAGTATGTACTGGTATCGGTTTTCTGCCTGCCTAAAATAAAGTTTCAGTCTCAATATACTCCCATGTTTTTTAGTGTTCTGCTGTACTGAGCATCACCTTATCGAAGTTATAGATTCTATCCTGATGGATTCTGTTCCCTTCTTCTCACATAGCTTGGTCAAGCAAATGCCTGGTCCCTGGTCCATGAGCCCTACATCTTGCGCGTCATCCCTGCTCATCCAACAAAATTTTTATGAGACTCAATTCTAGCAATTAGGACAGCAGAGTCATAATTGGCACATTCTTGTAAAATGTCTGGTAAGAAAGCGGTCATTGCACAAGCAGTAGCATGAGCATGTGATGGCCTGGTGGAATCCTGTCACTTCTGGATAAACCCACAGGTAGGGCAGCAAGTGAAGTACCAGGACCTGATCAGAGAAGTTCTGTTCAGTAAGATCACCATCAAACACAATAAGGGGCTAGGTGGTCCAACACAGATCATCACATACAGACCTCCCCCATCAATGCTGGTATATAATACAACATTAAGTTTATTAGTATATCATCCTGCATATCTAGCCCACACTTGCTGACATCCATCAGCACATCTACACAAACCCTTGCTCAAGAGGACAAGGCTCCACTGCTAGCATGTCCACCTGAGGTGACTTGTGACTTAGCTTCCAAATATAGTAATGCTATTGTTCTCTTGATAAGCAGAGAAATACTAAGGAACCAATCTTCCCTTTCTTGTTTCTCACCAAGCTTGAAATTCAATGGGTTAAATGTGTCCACTCCAGAAATGTGATCATTAAACGAAATCGGTGAACTTGATTTTCCTAAAAATAATACATTGTTACACGTTTCTTTTGTTGCTTAGTATATAAGCTTGTACCAAAGGATACTTCAATGTTCCCAGAGAATACGTTTCCATGTTTGTTTTCCAAAGGCCTACAGTTCTTAGCGGGATAAGTTGCCTTGCAGTTATTTCCAGACTCTACATTCTGAAATCCCACTGTATCTGTATCAGGCCTGTACATACATCTGAAGTTATTGTTGGGTCTACCCAAAACATGCACGCATTAAGAAAATTATCTTTAGTTTCAGTTTGGCCACCATGCTCATATTGCTTTTTATGTTTTGTCTGACTGCACAAGATCTTTCCCCTCTCTCTCTGAATGTCCGTTTATGCCTAGATGCAGACCAGTCATTTTGCACAGAGAATTTTTCATAGGGTGTTTCACTTGATTTTACAAAAGAACTTTAACCAAGTTGCATTTTACAGCACAAATCACTAATGTTCTGTCTACTCTACGAGTGTACTGTTTCTTCCATAAGGAGGCAGTGTTTGTACAGTAAACTTTTTTTATAATTTTACAATAACAATCAGTCTGGACTAAACTGGGAGTGAAGAGAGTAGTAGTATTTTATCTTATGAACTCTGTTCCTGTCATGTGTGGCTGGTTGAACAATTTTGGTAGGAAGCCTCACAGAAACAACAGGATACAGATATGGCAAAGATTACGCTACAGTATGTCATTCAACTTCACAGAACTCAAGCACTACAAAGTGTTCTAAGAACACAGAACTAAAAAATAAACATCGCAAGAACTTTCACAATCTGTATTTTTTATTAAAATATTCCAATGTACATCCCTCACATCTTAAAATACAGCAGAGTTTATACCTTTAATGTAAAGATGTTTTTAAAACATTTAACACTCCAAGAGAAAACACAGTACTGTGATAAAACAGGAATAAATAAGCACATTTAAAACATGTACAATAAAATTTTGAATACCAGAGGTGACAATGTTTCTGCTGATGTTGTACCTCATTGCACAGAGGTTTCTGTAAGAGACTCGACAACAAAGACACTTGAGAATTTGCTTATAACGTGCGACACATCTACTGTACGAGTACCACAGAAGGCTTTGCTCTAAAACACTGGCTCTAATGTAGCTATACATTAATTTAGAGCAATCTAATAACAGGTTCATATACTTAACTATGCCTACATAGAATTTTAGAATTCCTTTTACAGAAAAGGAGAGGTCTTGCACAGATGTGTCTCATTACCTTTATCCATGGAGTCCTTGTTGAACTGTATATTCCAAAAAGAACACAAAAAAAAACATTTTAATAGCACTTGGTGCCTGAATTTTTAAAAGGAAAGTTGGAACAACTCCACTGTCCCTGCAAACTGAATGCCTTAAGAGAGGAATAGTCATTTCAATATGGAACAAAAAAAAGTTCTACATAAATGAAAAATATATTTTTCATTTTGCTTAGAAAAAAGAACAGACTGCCAATTCAGCCTCCGGGAATGTGAGAATGTTAAGACTTTTAAATATTTTTCTTTACATTAAGTTTAAATATAACTTATAACCAGTTCCTACCCTTCTTGATTTGAGAATGCTCAATACCAATGTTTCTATGGAAACCTTTTCTAAGGAATACATTTTTATGTTGTGGGAAAACAGCTCCTGGCTCAATCCAGTGTGTGTACTTTAAATACAGCTTGTAAACTCCCTGATATTCTTCTGAGCTGACAAGCCCATGTATCTGTCAGCCTTGCTCTTTAGCCAGGAAGCACCAGCTACCTTGCCTCTTTGGCAGTGCCAGTATACAGAATATTGAGAGCCATTATGCTCAGTACCAGGGAAAGTCATTGTAGTACATAATAATTAGGTTTACAGGTACTGTATATAACAGAAGTACCAACAGAAGTGTACTTGTACAACTAGCCTGATCCTTCCCAGAGATAATACACAAAACCACTATTGCTCTGATTCCAGCCTGAATCAAGACTAGATTTAGTGACTATGCACTGTATCCCCAAATAATGATCTATTAAGGCTTAAAATATAATTTGTGCCACAGAAAATATTTTCCAAGCATTTTCTCAGCATTTTGTATGCAAACTACCCTTACATATGAGTAGCTGTTTTAGACCTCAAGTGTAGCAAAGAAGCAAATGCTATATTAAAGTTACTTATAAATAGCATTTTACAAGATCCAGAAAGTCAGCATTTAACATGAACATCCTTAATTTATACAAATATCTCTATCAGGACAATTTCACATACAAGTAATGGGGCAATCTTTGTTTTGTTTTGTCCTTTTATGAAAATCTTCCTTTTATGTTGTGTATTTAAATGCAGTTACAATATTATTAAATGTCAAATTATTCATCAAATTATCTACAGAATAAAACAAAATCCTACAATTTGCACTGCTTTATTGCTTTCTTGTTTTTCACTTTGAAAATCAGTATTCACCACAAGGCCAGGGAGGCAAGTCTAAAGTCTGCACTATCCAAAAAGACCTGGGTATCCCAGGAAATAAATAATTTGAAGTCTGTCACTATGGTGAAACAGCATTAATTCTTATCAGCTAAAAATATGAATGAGCATTGATTGTATAATTATGACTTCAAATTAGAAAGGCTCATTTTTTACTAATCTAGCCACACAAAACTTAATTTGCTTTGACTTTGTGCCATTCCTTCCAAAAGTTCCTTGTAGTTCATTGTAAATCTGATGAAATATCAGTCTATGAAGATAATTTATGGGGATAAAGAGCACAGCCACTCCTATCGATATTCTGTGCTACAAAATGCTGTAAACATTAGTTAAAAAACAGTATTTGGAAGCATGATTCTTAGCTACAGGTTGTGTCAGTCTTCCATGACAGCTTCTCATTGTGCAAAGCTTATTTCTACTGATGCCTAACAACAAGCCACAGAGAGAATCTACAGCAAGCCAAAACAAGAGGACTAAATCTGGATGATTCTTGTCTGGCACTGTGTAAACATTGCTTTAAGTTCTTTTTGCTGGGTTTCATCGATGGCCTCAGGCTCAGGGCTCTTTTGAACCTTTGCCACTGCAAAGTTGATCCCTTGGGTCAGTCCAGCTTGAGTCAAGCTGGCCACCTGGACCATGGAACTCTTGATCTTGGCAAAGGGAGACACCACTCGACTGCCACTGCCATCTGCTGGGGAAGGGCCTGTATTCACCTCCAGCTGAGACCCCAAGCTCTTCTGTGAAGAGGACGAAGCTGCAGAAACTGGCGCTTGGACAGCAAGGAGGCTTCCATCTGAAGTAGAAGACAGCACATCCAGCTTGGATGGTCTGGAGGGCTGCTGATCATTAGCGTCTAATTTCCCTTCCTTGTTTGAAGGAGAGATAGTGCTAGGGCCCCTGTCCTGATTCTGCTGTTGGAAACTAGGCTCTTCCTCAGGTGGCCCCTGGCTTTTGATTTGTGCATCCTGGACAAACTGGTGGCAGTAGGCATCAATGGGAGTGCCAAAGTCAATCAGTACAGGATCCTCAGAATCTGGAATTTCCTCTGAGTTTTTCTTGTTGCTTTCAGCCTCGTTCTCTGGCTTGCTGTCACAGTTGGTGACCCGGATGACAGAAGGGATGCTGGGAATGCTGATATCCACACTATTAATTGACTGAGAGCGACTTCCTAGGCGCGGGGCAGTGGCCACAATGCCACAGCTAGGCAGAACATAATCTACATCTTCCAAGGAATTAGCTCGCTGGTGGTCCGCCTCAGCCTTGGAGCCAGTGAAGAATTCATTGTCTGAGTGGCAGGAGTCTGTGTCCGAGGAGATCTCCTGATCTGATCGGTCAGTGTGATCCTTGATGTTTCCAATCCCAGGATTGCTGTCTGACGTCTCCAAGCTGCTGTCAGATTTCCACAGGTTCACCTTCATGTTAGGCTTCAGGAAATTGACTTTCACATCAGGTTTAGAGAAAGTGCCCAGTTTTCCTAAGGGTCTGAAGTTCCCAATGTTCACATTGGATTTGGTTTGCTTTACTTTCTGGTTTAGGGAGGAGAACTTGTTCATGAGGAAGTTCTTGCCCTGAGCCAGACCAGTGCTGCCCAGGACTTGACTCTGGTTCTTTGTACGGATTCCAAGTATGTCCTCATGGGGCTTACTGTGCTTTCTGAAAAGAGCAACAATTATAAAATGGTGAGAATTGTTTTCCTGTTGTTTCTCATGGGAGATTAAGTCGCTAGGTAATACACGTATGTAATACGAATTTGAATTAACATTTATTTCATCAGCAATTTTCATCTCAAATGTAGGCGAGCACATATGTTTTTAGGAACATTAGGGCTGTTATATGTAAAACAAAGGGCTGTATACCTACAATTCATCCATCCTCAGAAAGCTATTTAACTCCTGGTAAGGTTCACAGCAAACTACAGTCTATTCTATAAGCATGGTGACTAAGGAATAACTACACCCTGGACGGCACACCACTCCACTGCAGGGAAATCCCTCACAAGGGACACACCAGAGATACCATTTAATCCATGTCTCTGGAATGCAGGAGTGAAACAAAGCAGCCAGAGATAACCCTCATGAACACAGGGAGAATGTGGAAGCTCCAAACAGGAGATGCCTCAGTTTGGTGGGAATGAAACCCTCAACCCAAGAGCTGTGGAGCTGCACTCCCCATCATGTTACTGTTACATACAATGCTAGCTCCAAATTTTCGAACCGAGGCAAGATGAATGTTCATTTAAAAATAATACAATGCTGCTGAAACAGCAGGACCTTCACAAAATTGATTACAAAAACTGAAGTTTCGCATTTGATTTGCAAGTTATCTCCACGATATCAGTAATAAAAGATTATTTTCAATATTCTTATTAAACTACACGATAGACATTTTATAAAGATTCCATTGTAAGGGTTAAATTGTGCAAGCCAGTTACTTTTGCCTACCATCTCACCACCATTTTTCATACCTTTCAGGACACCTCAACTATAAATAACATTTCTCTTTGATCTTTAAATATCATGAAATATTTCAGTCTGACTTTTGCCTACCATCTCACCACCATTTTTCAAACCTTTGTGAAATAACATTTCTCTTTGATCTTTAAATATCATTAAATATTTCAGTCTGCCATTTATTAATATTTGTGTTGACTTAAAAATGTCAGAGGAAACAGAAACGATTTTGTGATGGTTTACTTACATTCGAACTGTTTACTTGTACATTGTCTACTGTGTTTGTATATTGTCTTGATGCAATGTCTGCACTTTGTGTTTTACAATTGTTTTTAACAATCAAGAGGCTTTCCGTAAGCAAGAATTCCATTGTTCCAGTACATGTACCGGTTACATTTGGCAATAAAGTTCAAGTTCAAGTGATTTTGACATAGAACCGTTATATTTTTGTGCTTCAAGGGGTCTTTCTAGTTTTATAGGCAACTTCTCCTTTGTTAAAAAAGGGCTTTTTTGAGACTTAGTTGTGCTGGCTTCAGAAATTCTCAAACTGCACTGCACTGTTATTGTCCTGTCAAGGGATGCAGTCTGGTCTTGCACCCTGTATTTCAGGGACAGGCTGCAGGTTGCAGTGATTGCACCACGAATGAGCAGCGTTCTGATAACAGACAGAAGAAAATAATACTTAAATTCTGTTTAGCAAAACACAAACACAAATATCATTTCACCAAGATTTCATATAAACCAGCAGGTTTTTATAAAAACCAGCAAACATAAAATCCAAGTATTTTAAAAGCCACTGACCTATCCTTTTCAAGTGATATTTCAGAGAGAAGTACAGGACCACTAACAATTTTGTTAATTCAATTCAATCTGTTGAATTCAGTTTTTTCAGATTTCAAGGTAACTGTTCTATAGACAGTCATTTATTGCAACTCTGTGAGAACAACTACAACCCTGATTGTTCAAAAGCCGCCGACACTGGAACAAGACTGAGTGTGCAGATGGACAAGGCCGAGTGCATAAAACCAGGGGGGGAGGAAAAACAATCAAGGTGTGAACAAAAGGAACCGTTGAAATCAGTATTTTTACACTGCTCATCAAGTTTACAAACTACTCCACAGCCACAGAGAAGTTAAATCCCTGTGTGCTTTAATAACTGCTCAAGTGAGAAGACAAAACAGCTTTCTTCAGTTCATTAGGAAACAAGACTAGTAAACCTGCCTCTCCAGCTTCTTCTCCACCACCTGTAAGTCCAAGCCCATGGCCTGTTTTGTGATGCGTAGCATCTCAGCAATGCACTGCAAAGTATCTGAAAGACAACGGGGAACAGTTACTGTTGAGGGAATATTAGCTGCAAAAATTACACTGGCAACTTCAATAACACACCGTAGCGTTTCTGATAGTGGTAAAGCTGTACTACTTAGTTTTAAGAAATTAGTGCTTTCCATGACAACCGGATTAAAATAAAGCAGGCAACAACAGCATTTTTGTTAACTGTAAAGTTTATTGTCCTTTACCTTTGCCATCATCTTCTGGATTTCGTGTCACTGCTCTCAATGTGTGAAAATATCCACTTGTCTCCTGGTTCCTATAGTGAAGCCTCATGCAGCAGAACTTGGGTTTTCCGAAGAGCGTTGGTTCAGGACCTATTAAGGAAAAAGGAGCAGAGCTTCATTACTTTTTTTTTCCCAAAATGAAATGCCAGATTTTGTTTCCTCCTCCCTTTGTTATCATTGTTCTGTTGATCCCAAAATGTTCTCACTCCTGTTAAATGCTACATGAACAGCAAGCAAATGTCTCCCAGTATCACTTCAGAGCCACTTGCTTCCATATGGCTGATGGCTGATAATTTGGTTGCCAGGTTACTAAGCTCCTGCTCAACACAAGCATTCTCCAACTGGTCTAAATATGCACCTTTACCTACACTATCATTTTGGCTAAATTAATTAAATCCAGTATTCAGCTCCTTAACTTAAATCTCGTTCAGATCAAAGTCACACTACAATCAAATTAATTTACAAATTCATCCAAAACTAAGTCAATGCATCTCCAGTATATAGACTGTGATGCCACCAGATCTCTCAAAATAGATTATTTTATATGGTCTTCCATTCAACCAGCTATTCTAAATACTTTTAAGAACATCTATGAATGAGACAAACTGTAATAGTATCGAGAGTAAAAAAATCATTTTAGAAGGGAAAAATCTCCTTACCTATTTCTATTTTCTCCAAGCCTTCCAGGCTAAGTCGCTGATATTGGTTCACTTTGTCAGCTTCATCATCATAGCTGAAGAAATGAAGAAAGTTAACAGTTACGGTGGTTAATAATGATAAACTATGCCTGGCACTCCCCTAAATCAGTAACATGAGTGTGGTGTTCTTATTTCTTTCTACATTTATTTAACTTTCTTCCACTGCTGCATTAATACTGCTTAAATTTTTAGAAAACCCTAATTGTTTAGGAAATCCAAATGTCAGAATAAAGAATGATCCTTGGGAATGGGAAGATTTGTAACATCTAAAGTCTTTCAGGACACATTCCCAGTTTTGAGTTGGCCAATCTCATAGCTTCCATTCATTGGAGGGTGTAAACAAGAACAGTTGTACCACATAAAAACATATGTTAGTAGTTAATAGTGAAAGTCCTGTTAATTGAATATAGTGGTTTGTAAGATTCATGATCCACTTATGTACATGGATTCACACAGGCAAACAAAACAAGAAGCAAACCATACTACAGAATTTAACTTTTTCTTTAGGAGAGCAAAGTATCCAAAAACGTACTAGGCTACATAGTAGGCACAGTTTGAAAGGAGGAGTAGAACATCAACATCCTTCTGGGTGGCATCAATTAGGCTGTAGGGGGAAAAAAAAGGATTTTAGTGAATAAGAAAATATGATCTGTCATTATGTTTGTATGTTTGATATGGGCAGAGAAAAGACAACTGAGCTCTCTTGGCTTTCTAGGGGTTAACCTTGTTAAACAAATTCAAATGTTATATAGAGATTTATGTCTTGGTGCTTTTCCAGCCTTAATGTCACATCTTTTTATTTATTGTTTTTCTCATTCTGTAAAGTGCTTTGCGAAGCCACCTTTAAAGGCGCTATATAAAATAAAGTTTATTATTATTTTCTTACTTTTATAAATAATTTCCCCAAAATTATATCAAACCACTACACATATACAGTACTGTGTATAGTTGAATACCCACTTCATCCATCACTAATTTAATAAAGAGGGAATTTTAGGGAGGCCAGATTGTATAAACCCAGAATGGATTTAGCCATGACACCTGGGTTAACACCCCAGCTCTTTTCAAAACGTTCCATGGTATCCTTAATGACCACACAGTAAGGATTTAGGTTTAACATCTCATCAGATGGATGACACTTCCTACAGCTGTGTCCCTCAATGCTATCTAATGAAAGCTAGCACATTCATTCTTCAAATTAAAAAAATCTCCAGAGAATTTATGTATTATACAAAGCTCTAACAAAGAAATAACATCATTTACAAATACTGTATACATATAACAACTCTTCTGCAAAAAAAAAAAAACAACTGAATTGCACTCTGTGCCATTACTACACTGGTGCTCCAAATTGTGTCCTCACCCTAGCACAGATATGTCATCTAGTACAAATAGTGTATCTTCTTTTTCTCTCTTATTTTTGCATACAGCACAACAGCAGAACCTGAATTCATTTACGTCTACAATAATAAGGATTTTTATTTTTTTTAAAGTGAGGTCATTTTGAAAGTCATTGCTAACGTGTGGATGCAAGAGGGACAGCTGAATAGATATTAATAAAGACTGGACAGATACTGTACACAGATGTACCAATTTAGGTGAATGGACACAGAACAGGAGACAAGAGTGAAAAGATGCTGGATGCTGGCCTGACCTGGGGTCACAGTCGATCAACGCCCAGCCCCCATGAAACTTCTCCTCGTCCGGCAGGAGCAGCTGCATGTAGGTCTGCAGCAGCAGGCTGACCTGCTCCTGCTGGCTGCGCTGGCTCTCCTTCTGCAAAGCCTCGTGCTCCTTCTCCTTGGTGAAGATGGAATACAGGTCCTCCGTCACGGGTATGCCCATCATTAGATCTGTACAGAGTCAACACATGCGAGAATGGTCGTCAGTATCGTCAATACCCTGACTGAAGGCTGCAGAATGAACAAATACAGGCCACAAATCATGCTTTCCTTGTACCTGTTATGATCAGTACTCCCACCTTTTAAGGGTTTAAGCAACAGATAAGAAATTCTCACCTCAGAAAAGCAAACATTAAATCAATTATAACAACTTCACGTTAACAACGCAAGGCCATTTTGATGTTCACAATAAAGAGCATTAACCAGGGGAAGTACTTCAATAAGAGGTAGCTAAGTCTGAATTGTGTTAATGAAATGAATCTACTGTCATGAATCTATTTGTCAGAACAAATATCTGACTGCCCAAGCATAAAATAATGCTTTTTATGCATTAAAAAACCACTATCAGACCTAAAGGCAGCTCAAGTTGGTGCACTGAAAAGGCACTAATGGACCATTAAAGGAGAACTAAGTATTTCAGTCAAAATGTAATAGAGTTGTAGTGATTTTCTTTTGTAGAGTTTCTTGGTTGAAAATTAATTTGCCAATGAATAACTGAATGTTTATTAATTATATTTTACAACACATTCTACATTACAACATTAGATAGACTGCAGTACATGAAAAAATATTAACCACAGGAGACTTTAAGGCAAGCTAGATGCAACTGTGGAGCAGATATGGTCTCTGAATGTGCAGTAGGTGTCACTGTGGTGCTGTGATACTGAAAAGAGGTCAGTAGAATGAATACTGTAAATTGCCCATCAATTTTCCTTCATGCTGCCTGTAAATTGCATTTACATAAATTCAAGCTGACTGTCATGAAAGATTTCCTGATTACATTGCAAAAGATGGGCTTTAACAAATATAACAGAGACTAATGAACTCATTACATTGTATAGCAGATTTAATTTTAGCACAGCTGTGACTTTTCAAGGAACTCCTCATAACAAAAGCAATAACTGCCCTGATTTAAAAAAAAACAGAATCCTGCAACAGATGTTAATGTTTTTTTTTTTAAATAAAGCTGCTTTTATCCCGATTGCACACTGAAACACAACCCCAGAATCAAGATAAACTGAGGGGACAGACATCTGGATAAACCTGTAAAACCTTAGTTAAAATTCTGTAAATTTAAAATAAATTACTGTTTCATCCTTTTTAAGCATTTTCGGAGACATCTGAATATTATATACTGTATGAGTAGCAGAGCAAATTCAGATAAGTACTTCTTCAAAACTGATCCACATGTTAATAGATCAAGTTTGTAAATTGTGTACTATAAACTAACAGACACAGTTCTCGGATTCAATCTGTACAGAAACTACCAGATCAGACAATTTGGTAATGCTTAACACTAACATATCCAACACATGCTACAAGAACTTGATTGCATCTGCTAACATCTGCCTTACCCATAAAGATTTCCAGTGTAATTGCTGCCAAAGGTTCACTCCACCAAATATTGAGTTCACAGGTCTAAATATCTATGCAACATATCAACATATTCCAGTATTTTTCTACAGTTTTTACTGAACTTTACTGTAACTTATCTTATCGATTTAAGTTTTGAAAAAATATTAAATTAAAAAATGTATATGCATCATTTTTTATTTTTATTTTGTATTTTAATTTCACAAAACTAGATACCATAGAAAGGGTCTAAATACTTTTTTGAGGCACTGTATTTGTAATTAGATTTAGAGTAAGCATATATCATTATTATGAAAGGGGAGAAGTTGAACAGGGCATCGACAACTATATTGTGATGAATACATTACAATGTGAGTATGGCTATGTGAACAGAAATTTCCTTACCGATAACAGCTTGCCTGTAGGCATCTCGAAAGCGATTCAGATAGTACCGGTTGGCAGAGTTGACCCCATCTTTCATCACACCAGCCAGTTTTCTCTCCCCTGTTCTGGTAAAATCCCCCTTTCATGAGAAGGGTTCGAATGTCAATAAAGAAACAGCATAAAAATAGTTTCCAATGTTCATAAAACTGGTAAAACATGTACAGTAATCACAGGATGACAGTTTGCCATTTAAATATGTACAAACCTTGAAAATAATCTCAAAACCCACAGTTAATTAACTGCTCACAGCAGTGACTCACACCAGAGAATGAGAAAGTGCAGACTCTGGCTCACCTACCCATCAAGAAATTAATCTTTAGCTACACTATTACACTTCGTTCTTGTCTCATGTGCAGAAGGTTCAGTACCAACTGGAAAAGCATGAGCCTGCAGGCACCCATAAAGTTGCAGAGGTCACGATTTAACTTGAATTTAAAAACACCCTCTCCAAATAATCATGATACTTCATCTTAAACTTCAAAGGCTGGAGGCGTCTGCCTACACTTCCTCATTCTCAGCCCATATGGTGCAGGGTTTTCAGATATAAAGCAAGAAACAATTTACAATTCTTAATCAGATAGGTTTCTAGTGAGAAACTGGAGATTCTAAAATTTAGGAACTGAAAAAAAGACAGCTGGAGTGGTCTGATAGAGAGAGTGATATCAGAGATGTAGAAATGACAAATAGGTGCATTAAGCATGCCTACCTGCACTTCTGTCCCTGTATCAGACAGATACACAAATATGATGGTGTGCTAGCTACCCTTGCATAACCCTTGCGTATTTCAAAATTTAACTTAAAAAAACTTAAACCACAATCATTTTATTCGCTGAGTATAGTTCTTCTTGAACCAATATTCATTGTGTTCACATTCATTTTTGTGTAGTTAGCAAAAGCTTTACAGTTCCAAAAAGATCTCGGGCAGGAAACTGAGCTGAAAACGTGGCCTGCTTTTCCTCTCTAATTTTGGTTATGATTATATAGTCTATTGTGATACAAAATGTGAAGGCTGACACTCACAGATACATTTCTCCAATCTGCAAATGCAAAAAAAAAAAGAGCTTCATTACAAGATACACGCCTTGGGCATAACTTCCTGAAAGGTTTCCGGAAAGGCTTGCATCTTCCTGAGCTCCTCAGCTCTGCTTTAATTAATTTCAGCTCAGGAAAGATGTGCTTCAGTAAAGGTTACTAAATTTAGGACACTGCGAAAGGAGGAGCCCAAAAAAAAAAGGAGAAAAGCATACCTTCAAGGCCGCGGTGCCTGCATACTGTCGGCTGATGGTGTCTCCATTGTTGGCCCACATGATCTGGTAGATCCTGTAACACTTCAGAGGCAGCGGCTGCTCAGGAGGCATCACCCCCAGCTTCTTCAGCTGCATGGACCAAGAACAGCCAAGAACCAGCATGGATCAACTTCGAGTCTGGCTTAAAGTCACCAGAGGACACTGTGACCTCCAGCAATGTGAGACTCCTGTTTTACAGGTTTGCAGAATAAGCTTCCAGTGCCAAGGTTACATCACTTGTAGCTTAAATCACTGACGTGATATACACATTCAAAAGAAAAGAAAAGAATCCCCATTCTTTGCTCATTTATTACTACTAAACTAATTGTTCATTTCTTGGTATCGAATATCATCCTGGGATTAAAGGATTTTATTCTGCTTCCTTTTACTTTCATACAATGCATTTGTCATAACAAATGCTAAATAGAGCACCTCAAAGCCAGAAAAGCCAACTCCAGGCCTTAGAGACTACTGTATACACCATATACAGTATGTTTCATATGCCTCTTTAAATCTCATCTGGGAAATGTGTTAAGCATTTGTACTGCAAAAACAAACTAATAATTGCATCAGTTGAATAACCAGCTTACTCAAAACAAAATTAAGATCATATATCCCTCAAGAACCAGAGAAATGCACTATTGCCTTAATTATAGTTTAAACCATTCATCACATACTGTAGGTCGCAATTCACTCTTAATTATTGTTTCCATTGAGAAATAAAAGCACTATCACTTCATTCCATGCTGTTGGCTTCGGTCAAAATATTGCCAGGAACCTTAAATGAAAATGTTATACATAACAGGCCACCAATGGGTTAAGAAACGTTGCTTTAAAAAAAAAATGAGAAAACCTTGGTTTTACATTGGAATTTTCTTCTAAGAAATACTTGCTATTATACGAAATATTAAAAGCACAAAGAAATATAAACTCCTGCACAACAGCAAAGAGAAAAAAGGCAGATCCAACAGTGTTAACAACTGAATGGTGATAATGTTGTAAAGGATGTGAAATGTCATCTTACAATAAAGAACAGTGTGAGAAGAATTGAAATGTGAGACAATTCACTGCAGTGAATGGATGCAGTTTAACACTGAAAATTGAAAGAGCTGAATGCAAAATGACTAGCCAGTTTCTTACTGTAGGACTGTGGCTTCACACAAATAATATAATGGCTGTACAGGAGAAACAGGAATATAGGAAATATAAAGGGTGTGAAGTTCATAATCACTTCAATACAAATCAATAGCAGAAGAAAGGTTTGACCATGATTGTTTGAAATGTTTACAATGGGAAAGCCACCAACATAAAGGCAGAAAATGCTGCTCCCTACCATTTTAATCTGCCTGACCAAAAATCTTTTCCATATTGTGCTTTCATAATGAAGAAAATAAGAGTGAACATCACATGTTCCATAATAGTCTATCACTGGTGTGCAACATGATACCTGAGTCAGATATCAAAAAACAATGCTGAGCTTTGCCAAAATACAAAATTAAATGAGTGAAATGGAACTAAAAAATACATAACTTAAAGGTTCTACCTGTCAAAACACTATCTGCACAGTTTCCACAATTATTCAGTGTATTGGCATGCAAATGTATACAGTGACACCAGATTATTTTTTTGTGCTCACAGACTCAATAATTGTCTTATATTAAGCGGTTTAATTAAAGTGGGCAAGTTTGTGTTCCTTCAAAACAGATGTGTGTGCACAGTCAAGCCTTCCCTGCACTCTATTTTACAATTATTTCATCTTCAGCACGCAGGTGCGTGGTTTTGTACGAGAGTGCTTAATGTAATTGTCTTTGCAGTAATCTACCACTGTTTCAAACCCTGAGAACTGCATATGAAATATGAAAAAGTTAGTTTTTTGTTGCTATCCAACAGACCTCCAAAAATTAAAGTTTTGTTTCCCCATTATCTTCCTCAAATGTAGATTTACAAAGGAAATATTTACATACTTTATGAAACTTGAGTTTTGTGCCTAAAAAAAGTTGTTGTTTTTTAACCAGGAACAAACAAATCTTCATTGGGTTAGCCATCATTTTGTTGTGTTGATCAACCGAGAGAATCCGAAATAGCTCACCTGCTGCTCCATGACTATGCGGGCAATAGCTGCTTGTACCACATTGGTCCGGTCCAGGCAGTCCATGCAGTTCACTCTGAAAATGCCTTCCTGTTTACAGATCACTCCAGCCTGGTCCACCCTGTCGGCATGGCAACACAAGAACAAGCTTACGAACTGAAGGGTGGACTAGACCGCTTAGGAAGTGTTTTGACTCCAGTCCCCCTTCCCTCAATTCAACCTAGAAAGTGCTATAATTGATTTTTGAGAATGCCTTAACAGAGTGTGTCAAAGTACAGGAAGTCCAAGAATTTAAAGTAGATTAGAAACTCTACTTAGAACCACATTAGAGAAGCTGTTACAGTAGTAGCTCATTCAGAAGTGGGATGAGGTTGCCTCATTAACCATGCCTCATATAAGGCCTTCTGCAATACATTTTAATAAACTCTACTGACTTGAAATAAATGTGGAGTGTATTTAAAAGTATATTCTTCTGTAGCTGTAAAAAGTTACATATACAGATTTTTCACTGAAATGGCACAAGTGTATTCAGCTGTGCTTTTGTTTTATAGAGCACAGAACAATGGTGTTAACAAAGAATATTATAGGGCAGCATAATCCAAGTTATAGAGACCGTGCATACACTTAGAGTCACCTGAGTTCCAGAAAAAATGTTTTGTCTTTCTATACATTGCATTGGGAAGTAACAGTTAACACCATGCGTTTTGGCACTGGCTTTTGTCCTGTGAAAGACAATACATGTTCACTGCTGCAGGCTATGTCAATAACAAAGCCTAAGATGGGGAGCCCTGGAAAGCAACCCAAGATGTCTGATCACTATTCTGATCAGTCAAAGCAAAGCCACCACACTAAACACATTTTAATAGTGGAGAGCTATGCTTGCTGTTTAAAATCAGAATGTTTTTGAAAAGATATATTAATGAATTCAGAGAAAGATGGTGGAAATACAAGATAGCAAAGCCGAAATTCACCCTAGAGAAGGTTCAGTCCAGCATTTACAGCATCAGATCTTACATATTTTATTAAGGACTGAAAATGGATGTGGGCTGAGCTGTAACTCCAAACAAAGTAAAGAAATCACAAATTTGTCCCTGGTAGTTCAGTGCTGCCCACAACTGGAATCCTGCCTTTTGATTTGTACTAGCATTCAGTCTAATGGGAATGACAAACCATGTTTAACACAGTATGCAACACAAACTCACCAGCCCCATTTCATGTCAGTTATGATGTCACTGATGGCATCTGTAAGAGTCTGGACATTTTCAAACTTCATCCCCCGGCTGTGAAAACATTTGCAATTGTATTGAATAAGATGACACTGTACCTCATCAAATTAATCAAAACCAAATTTGACAAAACTATAAATATTTAGAGGCGAAACATTTAGTTTAGCTCCATGTATTTTAGATATAGTCATTTAAAAAAACAGTAGTCTGTATCCTCCTTTCAGAAAGCAAGTTACAGTATATCAATGTGGAAGTCAATCCATGCATTAAACTGTGCTTTAGAATCTCAGGAAAAGACCACTATTTCACCTTTCAATATTGTGATTTTCGTCTCCACCTATACATGTTTAGATATTGATGGTTTCATCTGTTTATAGCTTAATATTTTCAGCCATTTGAATGACACATTTCTGCTCTCCAAGGCTAAAGCCAAGTTCCTTATAAAAACAATAAATGAACAATAAATAATCAAATAACATAAGCAAACTTTTTTGGTTTAAGATTTATGTGGTCTTGACTTTCAAAAATACATTGATACAACCACCTCATTTGCTACACTGAGCCTTCTAATTAACAATAAAATAACTGAGAAGCTGACATCTGCAAAATTGTGTAATGGAGTGGACTAAGTGAGCCACTGATTGAATAGCTCTGCTCTAATCTGTAACAACGTGAATAAAGTTTTATTTCACTTGAATTTGCAAAAAAACATTACTTTAATTAGTGAAGTCCTCTCACATTGTGCAGTAAAGAGAGCAAAGCTGCCCCTTTGAGGATATCATATTCTATTTGTCTTAAAATGCATTGCATGAAACATTCAAATAAAAGTGTCTGCCAATGATAAGAACCAAAGTGTTGCAGGTTTCATAGGGATCTTCAGGTAATAAATAGCTTAAAACCCACAAACATTTACTCTCTCAATAAAGGAAATGTAGGTTAATTCTAACGTAGTTTGTCAACCTTCAAGTAAAACACTTTTTGTCACCCTTCAAGTTCAGTCGATCTGCCTTTTTCAAATACATACAGTAGCAATCATTCAACAAAAAAGAAGTATGTAAGGGTTTTAGGAACAGAAATATTTACTTAGAAGTATACAGTATACCTCTCCTGTTTTTACTGTGCAGATGTACACGTCACTGAGACATGAAAAAGCTTTTATTTCAAAATTATGGATGTGATTAAGTTAATCAGAACTCCATTGCTGGCATTTAATTGTGCAGAAAATACTTGTGCTGTTCTTTAAACTGGCTACTTCATGCCACCTTAAGGATTTGCAGCAATACAATAGTACTGTACATCATTGTAATACAATTTAAAAGGATACTGCAGCAAAGATTACAGTCTTCCCAATAGCTAACTCAAATTAAATGAAGGCAGATATTGAGTGTACAGTGGACTGGTCATGGCTTAATTGTATTTTTAATGATGAATTATTTCTTAAACATTGTTTAACTAGAGATTGTACAGCAGAAATGTTCCATGCTCTGCGTGTAGAGTTAACAAGCAGTATTTGTTGGCAAAACCAAAAATCTCAAAATCAAAGCAATATTTCTATTGAATTAAAAGAGATGTATTCACAAGCCTGCTTGTCTACAATGTTATAGGGCTGCATCATGTCACTAGAAGTTTTGTTGCCTCATTTTGAATCCTAGAATATGGTGCTGCACATACCTGCAAATTTAGTGTTTTGTGATGTAAATTGGTGGTTTTACAGGTGACTGTGCACATTTTACTTTTATCGTGGTTTGAAACACACTCATCAGTCCCGACTCTTTCTAACCCTGGGATATGAAAATAGCGTGCCAGTTCCCTTTTAACTGTGAGCAACCATAGCAACTGGTATAAAAACAGTTCTCGGTCCTTAGCATCTTTGACTCTTCCAAGCTGATGTGGAAATATTTTCAGAAGAAAATAGCAGTTCTACATGGAAATAAAAAGGCAGGTGGTGGTAGGGGGAAATATTGTTAAAGCACTGAAACACCATCTGCGTTGCGTTCCAGTGGACCTAACAAGGCTTTCACTAATAGCATTTTTTTATGCATCCAGTCACCTCTAAATTAGAACAAAAAGAGTGAACAGAGAACAGGAGTAAAAAGAATTTCATAGACATATGGCTGGCAGATCAAACGTTGACCTCAAAATCAACAATTTAAAAACAGCTCACCTTTACAATCATGTTCTTGTAATGTACATACTTTCCTCTAAATCTTCCTGGAATCTAAACATGCTTTAGAGATCTTTTTAGCTAGAATGTTGATTAGATTGCAAAGCAAAAATGAAAACAATACATTCAGGTTCCATACTGTCTGTCAGACCACACTTAATTATTGTATGATATGATAATGTTATCCTTCCAAAAAAAAAGAACCAGCAAATTTTAAATAAAATACTTCATAAAATTTACAACTGTAGCATAAGCTACAGTACATTAAAATAATTACCGATCAGTCCACCATATCTTAGTACAGGGCTAAAAAAAAGAGCACTGCATTATGTAAACACCTATTTCCCACAACAGAACTAAGCTTTCTTCTATTCTATATTTTGAGTTCTAAAAATATCTATTGAAAACCGAGATTTTCTTTGGAAATAGGTTACAAAACAAAAAAAGCTAAGCAAAACAGACCATGTAATTAATATTTTACTTTATCAGTTACAATATCTGACTACTGAAGAATGAACATCATGGAACTTTCTAGAAACATGCAGGCTCAATTGATGCACCTTTTGCAAGCCTGATTAGCTTAGCAGGCCATACTGCGTCAGGCACTTACTCTGAACAGGATCCTGGGTCATATAAAAGCACACTAATCAAGTTTATCCAAGCCTAGCATAGATTTTCTTTCTGTGGGTGCCCAGGCAAACCTTTAAATCAGTGTGACCAATAATGCTTATTTATAATAGATACAAATAAAATTACCTTGTTTGTGGTAATCAGCCGGTGGGAATACAGTTTCTTACTCAGCTAACTCCAACCCACTCCCTCGTATTATCTCAATATAATTCCATTCGTGAAGACATTAGCAATCCATCCACTCTCATTTTTAAGTCCATACTGAAGGCTCATTCATTTTCTCTTGACATAGTGAAGCAAATTAAATTGTTCTTAGGTTTCAGATGAGTTTTAAAATGTCATCTTGACTTGATCCTCAAGCAATCATTCTACAACTATGCTGCACTCCTATCAGACTGACTTCAGTCAGATAAAATAAATCATCCATGAAGGTGAAAAAATATTAATAGAAGGTTTGTTCAAAGCAGACAAACTGGGCAGCCAAAGAGTTTCCTTGACACCAGGGGCATTACTTGGGGGAAGCTGGAAGCATCGAAGTCACCCAGCTTCTCAGAGGGATTTCCAAGCGATTTCTAAATTTAACATGCTCCAAATTTAGAAATATGCCCCCCCACTCACTCCCGCAAAGAATTGTGTAGATGGTGAAACTATTTAAATTTAAGGTCTCCCACTTAAAATTGATGCTTTTTATTCCTGGGAACCACTGTTTAGGGGAAAGCAATCTTCATTAAACAATCTGCTAGCTGTGCTTATCCTCCCACTCATCACTTCTCGATTCCCATCCTTGAGAGAAGCAGTAAACGTTAGAACGCAACTGAATTTCCTTTTCCAGAACAATCTCCAACTCCACAGGCTTGGTCAAGAACTTTGAAACTAAAGGACTAACTGAAAGAATAAGAGAATCTCAGTGAATTGCCAGAATGTCTTACCAGTGCTCATGGAAATCAAAAGACACATAGGTCAGGTTGGGATTGTTGTAAAGCAGAACTTGCTTGAGGTATGCATCTCCAATCAGCTTCTCCCTTCCTGTTTGATCCACTAAATTAATGATAACCTGCCCAAATCCAAACAAAAGGTTAATTTGTCATTTGCCTTACAATTGAAAAAAAGGTCAGTAAAAACTAAAATTGTATCTTCTAAATGGGATTTAGCGTCTATGTATTTTTACCAATACTGGGCATTCAGTTTATGTTTTATCTTACATTAGCCTCCTCAACAAGGTAAAGATGTATAGGATAAGCATTCAAGCTAAAAAGTTGTTTTCCTCTTTGAATCACCAGGTGACTAGGGTATAGCTTTATTACAGACACCCTCATGTTATTTTTGGTATTCTAGGCAAACTTTAGATGAAGAAAACTGAAGAATATTTGCATTGCTCAATGCACAGTGCAATCTCATCCCATTTATTCAGGCCACACTCACCTGCTTCTTGTAAATCCTCAGTTGCTCCTCAAAATGAGCGGCAAAGAGAGGAGCTGTCTCTTTTTCACCTGAGAAAAAAACAATATTTGATTCCAGCATTTCCTGGTAAGCATTTGTACTGTTTTTACACTGTTTCACTTGTTCTCAAAATGGGCCCTTTTTTTGAAGGGGATTTTCTAAAAGCATACTGTACAAAGGACAGAGCCCAGCAATTACCTCACATTACTTCAACAGTAACAGTTTAAACATTTCTGCACTTCATTTATCTTGACTCTGAAATAAAACCACTCTTGTTACTATGATAATTACACTATCTTGGTGCCCTTGGTTCCTACTTTTTGCAAGTGGAAATGTCAAAAAAGCTTTGAGAAATTTAAAAAGAAGCAGTCTCTTAATCAAACCAAGTCAAATATACAAATTTAGGCTTTGGAATTGTCTATTTGCCCTTCACTGCAGTCTTGACAGTAATGCAATGTTATTTTCATAATTTGGAGACCGCAAAGAGTCAAAGAATTATTCAAGTTACATCAAGACTGTTTTCTCATATTGAACTAACGATGATCTGTCAAATCTATAGCTAAGCCTTCTGTTGTATATTGCTTATTTCTATTATATTGCATCCAGTATATTGCTTATTGTATGTACATAAAAACTATGATTGCTAAAACATTTTCAAACTCTTCATCTTGGACAGGTTCTAGTTAGACATTGTGTGTTAGTCATGTCTGCTTCATACATGTAGAACTACAGTACATTCTCATCAAAACGTGACCTCTTTATACGAGTAACCAGTTGTATAAATGGATGGTAAAAATCAATCATTCAATTCATCAAAGGTTTTTTTGAACATCCCAAAAAATATTTTACATGCTGCACATGCATCCATTTTACACACACAGCAATAAAAAATATTAGGCAAATGAATACAAAATGCTTGATTTGCACTCATGCCAACAACCTAGGATATTACTTAGCTTCCAATTATTGTAGCTTAGCTACAGACCTAGCTTCCAATTATTTTATTCCTATTTCTGTGTTTCTGGAGCACATTTCCCATCATCATTTCAATCATGTTTTTAATTCACAGCTTTAGGTACTGTCTCTGCACTGGCAATAGCTGACATTGCTCGAGGCTTTTTTTTCCCTGGTGTGTTGCTATTCTGATGCACATGGGCAGCTTTCATCATAAATACCCAACATGGCAAAAACTGCAAACCATCTGATCAGTGACCTAGTATGCTGATACAGAGCAGGAATAATACAGAAACAGGGCAAGAGCAGAAACGTTTTCAGCAGTAAAACAGTGAAGTGTAGGACACTCAGAATCTATGGCAAACTGTACTAAAACAAATAATATGATAAAAAGAGGAGAAACTATAGAATGACAAAAATACAAGGCATGCCATTGCAACATATTTAAAATGAGAACAATGTTGAACAATGAAAACAGAAGTTCAACAATGTGACTAGAGCGAATCAGCATGGTGTTGAATGGAAATGTCTATAAAGTGGCTTAACAGCGCAACAGAGTTTGTCTGCTGTTCAGAACATTTGCCCCTGACACTCCTGTACTTCCCAGTGGATCACTCACCCTTATCCAGTCGAGGCCGAGGATTGTAGCGGTACCCCACCTGACTCCAGAAGACCGGGACAGAGCCCCTTGTCTGGACGAAGGACAGAGTGTGGTTGTGCACATGGATCAGCTGCTCCGTTTCGACGTAATTCGCTACATGTCCACTCTTGTCCACACCTCTCCGTTTATACCTCATCCCTGAGAAAAACAGAAACACAGGGAAATACAGATTCAGATGGGTAGAACAGTGTCTTTGCACAGCTCCATACATTCTTTCCAAAATACAGTAGAAAATAAATATATTTAAAACAATGCTGTCCTATAAAAGTGTGAAACGTTCACCAATGCAGCCACAGAGTGTGAGATTCCCAAGTCTCAGGTTCTGACTGCTTTCCTTCTAAAGGGGTTTCAAAGAGCTTCTCTGGTAAGAAAGCATCCTGATTACTGAAGGGTTGGAAATTAGAAACATATACCTGCAGCTCATTTTATAAAACAACAAGGGGAACAGATTTCTCTTTTTAAATCTTTCATAAATATTTGTAAGTAAGTGAGAAATGTAATCACTACTTTTGTGTACTGTAGTTAAAAGCCTGTGTGCTCTTAATATCACTGATCATGGGAAACCTTTAAAAGAAGTTAAAGAATAGCATCCTTTCTTTTAAAAGATACATGCAAAGGCACAACCTTTATACTCAACTACAGTGTAGGTGTAGAAAAACTAGCTATCAAATAACATTTGTAAGGAATTAAAATTAAAATTTTTAACTGAATGTGCCATGCTTTTATTAAGTACCTTGAACAGTCACTGTGTTTTATATTTCTATGACAGAAGTCTAATAAAGAATTTTCAATGTCATTATGAAATATTTTATTATTTATTTTTATTTATTTTTCATTTTTGGGGAATTATTAGCAACAGTTCAATAGATCTAACAAAAAAGGAATAGCTACAGTTAAGGTTGCATTTGCCCCAACAGGAAATGTGTAGTTCCGTTGATCTACTTCCGTCGATCATACTGTGATATGGAATTTCCATATATTTTGGGTATTGGTCCTATTATTTCACTTGACAACATCTTCAAAAGAGCTAGTCATAAAAACAAACATCTTTGAAGTATGTAGTGTTTGCAGTTTCAGACTGCAGGGAGAACCAAGCTTCCTCAAAGGAATTAAGACATTAAAGGCAATACATTTTCAAGTATTAACTCCTGTTAGGAAACCACCCCCAGCCTATAGTATGTCAGTATTTCATTTTAAAGTACTTTTCTTTGACCATCATATACAAAAGGCCAATTTTTTTTTAAGATGTGCTTTCTGCTAAACCTGTTTCTTGTTCCATTAACTGAAGAAATAATTCTTCTCTGTCTTAGCTTTTACAGATCTATACCCATAAAATCTCAAAACTGCAACTCAGAAGTGGAGGCTTTCGTTTACCACCAGATTCCATCATCAAGGCCCATGCAAAGCTAAACACATTTACTGCGCAACGCATGGAACACTGTGCCATACACCTGTTTCTTCAGAAATGGCAGATCGTGATGAAAGAAGTGTTCACAGAGCAATGGCAATGCCCACCTGCCCGGTGCCGGCTTCTCCGTGAGATCAGGGCTACAGTGAAGTGAGGGTGAATGTCATCCACGCAGGTGACCTCCTGAGGGGGCGTCTCAGGGCTGCTCTTCTCTTCATCTGAGCCCTCACTGTAGTTCACCACCAGCTCCTCCACCTCCACGAAGCCCTGGATGATGGGCAGCACCCAGACGTCTGCCTGCGGGACCCCAGAAGGAACAGAAGCAGACTCCAAGTGAGTCCCAATTATTTGTCCCGCTTTTACAGGAGGGATTACAACTGTCAACTCGCTAAACCCGGTCACGAGGTGCGAACACAGCTTTGTAGACAGAAAAACCCAAGAAACCTCCAGGCCTCAAAATGATCTCATTTTGCTATGGTGAAACGCATCAACAGCATAACAGCAAAACGCAGCTCAGCTGGAATCCAACCTTGTAATGACCTGGACAGCAGTGTATTCTGGCTGCTCACATTAAGAGCAGAATTAGCAATTCACCCTCTCCACTGATTCTTAATATATAATCAATTTTCTTTATTAGGACTCTGGTCATATTGCTTTCAATTTCATATACTTTCTTTCAAGTTCATTATATGTAAACAGAATATCTAGACCCTTATGTGAAATTTGTTTTTAATACATTTCCTCTTACACAGGGAAAAAAAAATGGTACAGACACTAAATTTAACTTATGAGAAATAAAAGTATTACTTCTGTATAACAACTGAGCTTGGCTACTGTTACAGTAAGGTGAAAATAACCTAGAAAAAAGAAATACTTGTATCATTTTAAATTTTCAAATTATAAGCATTTTAAAGATACATTTGATGCCTGCTGATATGTATAGAAAATTACCTGTACAAGGTAAATAAGTGAGTCATTGTCATCAGAGAAAGAACTTACGCAATTTAAAACTCTCTTCTTTCCTAATTACAATAAACATTTAAAACATTTTTGTCATTTTCCCTGTAAATTATTTAGTAACTTACACCAAAATAACACTTTCCCCTGTGGAGTTAGACAGAGCTGAAGATTTGATGTTGTATACATGTACAAATTAAAACCACAATTCAAGGATTTCACACTAATCTCCAACAGACTGTGAAATTCCCAAGAAAATGGCAGATCTGAGAATTACTGTTAACAGAATCAGGAATTTAGCAGTTATCCTTCTAAAAGACTCAGTTCAGCTGTTAAGGGGAACTCCATAATTTGGTTCATTTTAAACCATGAACAGTCTTATCTTTGTTTTAAAATGTGCAATTCCCAGGTACCACAGACAACAGCTCCCGAATTTGATCCAGCTGCCTGCTTGCATTTGTGCTTGCTTTACTTTCATGCAGTTTCAAAAATAAGTTTCAGTGCTGAATTTATTTTTTTCCTTACAGCAGTAACACCTCAAAGACCCAAGGAAAGTTCTAGAATTGCACT